GCAAATCCATTCGCGGTCCATGAAGTGATGAAAAAAAAAAAAAAAAAAAAAAAAAAAAAAAAAAGGCCATGCCCAATTTATTATCCGGCGCTCTGGCTTCGCTAAGCCACCTATGCTGGTGTCCCTTTCCCAGACAGGGGGAAAGAGAGAGTGTATAAAAGAAGGAGTAAAAGAGATGTCGCGAATTCAGGTCGAAAGAGTCAACGACACCGGCCTCCCGTAAGCCCCAAGGGAGGAAAAAGCCACTGCCACATTCAACCCAGCCTGCGCACGAATTTGGTGCCATCCCACGCTAACAGCTCTCCGCTCCGCGCCCGCCGCAAGGGCCTTGGGGCCTCCTCCTGCTGCGCCGGGGCGTGGGCATGGCCATCCCCCCCGCCGCCGCTCGTAGTGATATCTCGGCGCTCCGGTGTTGTCCGGTTTCTTCTTCTGCCCTGCTAGTGCATTCCGAATGTCGCCCCGTGTGCGAAACTCAAGCCCAGCTGCTGTGGCACCGGGCCGCAGCGGCCGCCGGTCCCGTAACCACCACCCTCGTTGACGGTCTGCGGTATCATCGAAGTGCTGCCGTGTGGAGTCGCCGAGAACGGCTGTTGTTGTTGTTGCCTGAGATCAGTGTTCTGCGGTAAGAACGGCTGCTGATTTCGTTGTATGAGATGAAGGCTCTGCCGTTGCGGCCCCAAAAACGGCTGCTGTTGTTGTTGTTGTCTCAGATCAGGTCTCCGCGGTAAGAACGGAAGTAAGCGTTGATGCTGTACGAGATCAAGGCCCTGCGGTTGCGGCCCCAAAAACGGCTGGTGATGTTGTTGTATGAGATAAGGGTTCCGCGGTTGCCACCCGTACGCGCTCTGCGCCACGGATCGTGATGATGATTCCGGCGGCGGAAGCGCTTGTCCTGTGGGCCATCTGCCCTGCTACTGCATCTGGCTCTGCGCCCCACCAGTGCTCATGCCCGTGTTGCCGCCGCTCGCGGTAGTCGGGAAGTTTGGCGCACCGAGAGACCCCAGGGGGGGCAGCTGTTGCGAGAATGGAGTCCCCGCGGCGGTGCCGAACGATACGCTGGGATAGAAGGTCGGGCTAATCATCGGGAGGGGGTGCCCGGGGGCAGGGTTGGCCCCTCTAAATCCCGCGGGACCCGCATTCGACGTTGACGTTGGTTGCTGAACCTGGAGGCCGGCGCTCGACATGTGGCCCATGTCTCTAGAAGTGTAGAAGAGGCTCTGGTCGCTCGGCAGAGCCTGCGTCGCAAGGTGCGGTGTTAGTGACCCATACGGATAGCAATACCAGGGCAAATTGCTGGAAGTCATTACCCGCTCACGAGTCGGGGGGCTCTGCTGCCGAGGCGGGGCTCCAGTCGAGCCACGGCTGCCTGGCGCGCTAGCAAAGCCGCCGGCCGGATGCCCTGGGTGGAAGCTACTATGGCGTGCGCGCGTTCTCCTGCGGCCTTCGGCCTCGGAAGGGGGCGATCTCCTATTCGAAGCACCTTCCTGGCGAGCCCTGGTACGGGCAGCGTCGAGCTGCTCATGTTGTCCCATCATGCGCATTAACGAATCGTCACTGAAAGGAGTCAGCGAAATAGATCGAAGCCGGGGAGAAAGAATGATGGGAGTTGGGCTGCACGCACGAGGCTCGGACCGCAGTTAGCGGCATCCTCTGGCGCATACGCATCAGGTTCTGGAAGGCCCGCAAACCAGAAGTGACAGCGGACTCGGATGGGAGCTTGTCACGGCAGTAGGGGCAGCTGTCCGACTCGAGTAACCATTTCTTGATGCAATGATCTCCAAAGACGTGCTGGCACTTGGGCAGGCGCAACGGGGCCTCGATGACACCCTCCGGGCTCGCCTGGCCGAAATCGTTGTAGCAAATGACGCATGCTGCACGGGCGGGTTAGCATCAAGGACACACCGTGGATGAGGCCACGGGGCAGCGAGAGCAACTTACTTCTCTCGTTCTCTGGGAGACTGTCAAGATCGACGCTCTGGAGCTGGTCGATAGCCCTCCTGCTCGCCACCCGTCTCGTGCTCAGCTGACCGCGAAGTAGTTGGGCGGTGCGGATGGAGGCCTCTGGACCAAAAGAGCGGAAGTTGGCCGGATCTAGGCCAAATTGGTCGATATAACGCATCATGTACTCGTCCTCATCGGCGGATGAACCGAGGTCCTCGTCGCTGTCGTGATCAGGCTGCTGCATACGGCGTGACATCGGATGGCGTCGTTGGCTGTTATTTGAGAAGCCGGTGGTTGGGGGTGGAGGGATCGACAGACCAGGATTGGGCAGCGGGTAGGGGTCATTGCGTTGGAAGCGGGGGTAGAGGTCACTGTGAGGGTAGTGGGGGGGGAGTGACAAGTGGGAGTTGTGTCTCGCCCACGACGATGGGCCTTCCCCGGTGGTATCGTTAGATGATCTCGCTGGTTCCGTAGGAAGTCCAAAGGTGGCCGGACGGTTGGCTGACGAAGTTTGAGCGGGTGGGCTCGACTCCCCGGACCTGGATGTGGCCTGGGCAGCCGGCCGGAGGCTCGCCAAACGCTGATTCTGTGTCTGATTCTGGGTCTGATTTTGAGCAGAGTTAGGGTTCAGAGACGGAAGGGTAAAACCTCCCCGCCCAGTTGGCGGAGGCGCACCATCTTGCTCGGCATTCATGGTGGCAGATGGCGGGTGCGAGCTGACGGTTTGATTTGGCGGTTCCAAATGGTTCTCGTCGGACTGGCCGTGCCTGTTTGCCTGGTTCGAGAGTTGAGGGGGCACGGGAAGGACGAGGGAGGATCGCGGGTAGGTCGCAGATCGGTGGTACCCTTGGAAGGAAACTGGCGAGTACTGGTCCTGATGTGGCAGAAATTGCTGGTTTGGCACCAGAAGAGGTTGCACAAGACCAGCCCCGCCGCTACCACCGGAATCGCTAAAGGATGGATCAGAGCCCGACGGCCTGGTCTGCGAGTACGCGTTCGAGTGAGAATGCGAGTGAGAATGCGAGTGAGAATGCGAGTGCAATGCAGGAGCGGGCCATCCGCCGACTTGATTCGAGACGGCAAACCACGCTGCGCTGGCAGAGTGCACCGGATCGTAGGGAGGAGAAACGTGCGAGTGCAGATGGGATTGCAAATAGGGCTGCGGATACGGAAGAGTCGGGTGTTGGAGGGGTGGGAGTTGCTGTGATGGAGGCTGAGGCTGCTGCTGAGGTTGTGTCTGCGTGGAAGAGGAGGTCTCGGAGCGTGAATGTGAATGTGAGTGCGAGTGTGTTTGAGAGTTGGTTTGCTGCTGTTGCGGCGCCTGCAAGTGGTTTCCGCCTGCCAATGCACCTTGATAGACCCTGCTGCTGCCCGGCCCGCCCTGTGCCAGGTGTGCCAGCTGCGACAGCTGCGGCAGCTGGTGCCCGGCCATGGGTTGAAATCCCTGCACCGGAGAGTCGAAGTGCTGTGGGTGAGGAAGGCCCGACCCGTGCCCCTGGTGGTGCTGGTGCTGTTGCTGTTGCTCCAGCTGCTGTTGCTGCTGCGAGCGCAGGTACGGGCATCCCTGATGCTGTGGCAGCCCATGGAAGCCTGTGCCTGAGGCCTGCCCCCTCGCAACCTCGGGCTGGTGCATCAGATACTCCATCTGATCCAGCGCTGCCATGGTTACTTCCCCAGAATCGTGAGTTCAGTCTCCTGCTGCAAACAGTTGTTCTCAGTCAACCCTTTCTTGGACAGTTTCCCCAACCCTGGAGTGAGATTAAGTGAGACGCCACTGACTCAACTCACTCACCGACACCACACAGTTCTAGCCACAGGGGCAAGAGATTGCCCAGTCGAACGCCGTGCGGTCTCTGCACCGTGATGAATCTCGGGCACCTGCAGTGGCCTTGTCTGCTGCTAACGTCCTTCGCTTCTTTTCGTCTCGTCCCCTCGTCCTGCGTCCGCAAGCCAAAGGCGAGCACCGTGAACAATGTGGGCCAGACCTGCAGTGAGTCTCCTGCTGCTGGTTTTCCAACCCGCGATTTTGGGGAATGTCCTCCTGTCCCCTCACTCTTATGCACCCAAAGATGTCTTGTTCCTGGGCTCTTCAAGTCGTTTCCAAGCCCAGTCAATACTCTCCCACTTATGCCCGCTTTTCTTGCCGCCTTCCGGCAATGTGCCCCCTTTCAAAATCCCGGTAACGCGAGCACGCGCGAAGGAAGCCTTGGGAATCGACGATCGGTCGACAAGCGGCAGGTATGAAGGTTCGGTATGGTTGGAAGATGAGGGGCGAGGCTCCGTCCGAAGAGGTTGGCATCCGTTGCATCCGCTGCTCCCGTTTGCCCAGTAAGCCGGAGGTTTTGCCCGGTAGCTGTTCGTCTTCCACTAGAAGGCGGAAGGCGGCCTTGGCTGCTTGAGGTTTAGAGATACGGGGGAAACTCAGCACTCGACAAATATGTGCCGGGCCTTTATTCAGCCTGTAACTTCCTGTCGCCCTCTCGTCATGGGCTTGGTTGTCCAACTGTCGCCGCCGTGGGGGTGGTGACGATAAAGGCCGATAAGATATGGAGGGCCTGTTGTTGGAGTGGAGGTAGGGTTCTAGCACACCCCAAAGCGTCGCAATGTGGAAGATGTGTAGCTTGAGGATATCAAAAGCAGAGGGGAGCGGAAAAGGAGAGAGAGAATGGAGCGAGCATGGGCCGTCTCGGGATGGCGTCGGGTTTTACGATACATAATCAAGGGAGCCAGGGAGCACGGGAGGGATTTGAGGGTGGGTGAGGGGGGCGTCAGGGCGGAGCAAAGAGGCGCCTGCCAGGCCTGGTTCCAGTCAGGTTACGGTACCGAGTCGCAACAAGTTCACAAGTTTCCGGCAGGCCAAATCGCATTGGGTCACAGGCAGCCAGGGACATGCAGCCACCAAGACCTAGGATGCTCCATACAAACTGGAAGCTAGAGTGATCCTCGTGAGTAACTACCGGTATCGCATCGCTTGCCGGGGGGTGTGTTAGAGCCATGAAAATGCGCGGCGTCGGTGGAGCATGCGAGCAGCAAGAAGTACTGCAGCTTGGATGGCATGTGTGTTGGCCTGTTATGTAGCTAAACAGGAGTTGCAGTCAGAGACAGCAAGCATCATGAGGTAGTCAACGATTTGAGCACAGGGGTGGAAGAAAGAAAAAAAGACCTTGCGTTTCCAACCAACGGAGCTTTCGGAAACGCCACGACGCCCGCTCCCAACGGCAGTAACAAAGCAACAGCCTGGTCGGCCAGCTAACTACTGAATGCAGCACAACTCCCGTGCCAATCAATGCTAATATGGTGATGCGAGCGACACATCACAGGGGGTTTGTAATTACCGTAAGTGTGCAAGCCCAGCCATATGCGCCTCGGTAACGGAGTGCTGTGCGTAACTAACGCTAGGCTTTACACGTCGGTCCTGAGTCGTCTTTGGTCTCAGGTTGACCTTGTTTGGGCTTCGCTTCGCAACTCAGGTTGCAGTCTGTTTTGTGTCACTGACCAGCCTGCAACCTTGATCAAGGTACCGCACTGGTCAGTTTGGACACCGGTGGCATGTAATCTGTACGTTGGCTTGAAAGGCCCATAGGTCACGGAAATCAGAGCCATCTGGGTGTCGGTTGCCGGTTCCGAGAGCGGCCTGAGGAGGAGGCCCTGCGTGCTTTCGGCGGTCCTGTGCCCCCTGACGTCTGAGGTGAAATGAAAGACAAACTCCGTATGCAGCATACACAGTAGAGGAACTGAAACCCCAAACAAGAAGATGCTGTGTCCGCACTCCTGATGTCTCTACGGCAGCGGGATTTGGGCAAACCATGCTGCCACAAAATTAGCAACAGCAATTCTGGCGGCATCTGCGTTTGCTGACAGCGTTCAGAGTATCGAGCCAACTACGGATTACCAAGAACCGGAATGGCAGGCCTTAATGACTTGGCAGTGGTCATGGGCGAGCGCCATGCCCAAGCGGGTCGCCGATTCCTGTGTTCAGTTGGGTGTGTTGTTTGCTGTGACGGGGGAAGTTCAGGAAGCTCAAGTACATACATCCTCATCGTAACGTCGGAAGCGCAAGGAACGGACGGGCTTTCCATTTCCAATCTGACGTAAATGCTGTGTCAACTTGAAAGGTTCTGCGCTGAGATGTACTTTTCCCATGGCTCAACCTGCGACTCCCTTCTCTCGTTAGTCTTTTGAACAACGAGGACCTGAACTCTAACTCAACTTAGGCAGCATAATTTCTACATTGGCCCAGATTGGGCCTCATAGGTAACTGTGACTACCCAATGTCCAGCTCTCTCTTTCCGAGACTTTTCCTCAGTGTACCAACTATGCCTGAGCCTCGTATGACCAAGTGCAGCATTTCGTCGCGGAGGTGAGCGCCGTAGACCGAGCGACCCAGATTACATGGTCTGCAAAGACCGTATCGAAGCATGTTATCACATACGCACAATCGTCTCGCTTTCACATTTTCAGGACCGACGCAGCTCAAAGACAAGGCCGTATCGGCCAGTCCGCTACCTACACAGCACCTTTGGATCGATATGGGGAATCAACGGATGTCTGCCAGCCATTTCATTAGTTATTTCGGTGCTGATGGGTGTCCGTCCTTCCTTGGCCACCCAATCCTGGAAGCTAGAGTTATTGTGGTTCTAAACTCTGCTTTTACATAGACATACACAAGCTGGATTTTCGTGCCATTGGAGCTGCCTATCCCAAGGCAATGGGGCATGCTGTATCGGGCAACCACAGCTTCTCAAAGCTGTTCCCTCTAATTCGCGACCGCTTGCTTTCTTTGGAATACTGCTTGGCACTAACTCTTCATCCACAGGTCACTGCGTCGCCTGAGCGGCCCACGGCGACCTGATCTGTTCAGCGCGTCCCAGTGTCCACGGCTGATCACTCACTCCAGCCCGATGGATGAAATCGCCGCTTATCTTTCCATGACGGCGGCGACTGTCTCGAGGGCCTTAGTTGATCAAGCAGGCCTAGAAGCCAGCCCAGCGGAAAAAAAGTGAGGGGCAAGGCTAAAAAAAAGAGGCAAATGTATCGGATCGATCTCTGCGTCGGCTTGAGTTATGGCTGGCCGGCTCGGCCGGCTACTTACGACCGCGGATGCCCAAGCTCCCGAATGGGGTGTTGTGGTGCAGTGATTTGTTTGATGCTCACCCGACGTTACCCCTCTGCAGCCCCTCTCTCTCTTTGTTTTTCATGGGCCTAGAACACCGATTCCCTAGGAGACTGAGCTTGGAGTCGGGCATTCAACCATGGTCTCATTGGGGAGCCACATGACCGTGTGCAGCCAAATGCTCACCCATGACCACGCCAACATTGCTCTACTTCCTCGGTTACCTGCTTCAACATTGCGCCGCTTCACTCGAGTGCGCTGAGCAAGATTCCCTTGCTCCATGGAGCCAAGTGGTCAAATCGTTTGCGTGCCTGTCAAACCCTCCCGTCTCGACCCTCGAAGCCGCCAACCTGCTCCAGCTTGGCGAGCACGGCAGCTTTGGTCCGGAGGCACACACCGCAACCTCTGGCGACGCACGCTGGGCGGGCGGGATTTCGCATGCAGAACACCGGTACCTCTGTAATCGTGATGTGATGGATGGCAGCCTCGATGGCTGACTCACAAGGCCCCCAGCTTTAGAGTCCCAAAACTTACGATTTCCCGAAGACAAAACCAGATTCGCCGTTGGACGGTTACCGACGTCGCACTACCCTCTGCCAACCATCAATGACTGAGAAAAGGAAAACAAATAATTCTATTGCACCTTATTTGTTTCCATTCTTGTGGCCCAAAAAGCACTCCGACACGAATTAAAGCCTGAGCCTCTCTCCCTCTCTCCCGCTTGCACCTTGCTGTATTTGCCGCCACCCGACACCCGCCCTCACCGCATCCCCGCAGCGAGAAGCGCATATCCCCCAACTGAGGAAAGAAAAAAGGGAAAAGAGAACCGCCCGCCGCAGTTGCGCCGGACTTCTGCTCCCGTTTCGTCATGTTCGCAGGGGGGGAAGAGGGAGCAACGTTGGTCGCAGCGACGCCGCCATTTCTCCCGGCGGCCCATTCTTCGCCCTGCTTGCCTGGAGACGGGAAACAAACTTCATCAGTTGCAAAGTGGTCTACCGCACTTGCCCTCACCCCAAATCTCTCCGCGAAGAAAAGGCCAAGACGCAGTCATCAAAAAAGTAAATATCATTTTACTTTGGTGGGTTCTGAGAAAACTCCGGTTGACTGCGTAAGCGTTGCAGCATCATCCTGTAGCCGTGAGCGCTGTGCTTTCAACTTGAAGGTTGCGACGCTATCTGAATTCGATTTCGGCCTCAAAACGACAGATTAATCGGGACTTTGTCCGGACCCGAGTGGGGCCGCAGGGTCCAGCAGGTGGCCGGAACCGGGCGACCCGGCCCCGCAATCCACTCCGAATCACCGCTAACTGCCCCCACCGCGTGCCGCTTCAGGTAATAAGATATTCCACACTTTTCCGTCGTTATCCCCTCCATCTATTTGATGAACTTTGCATTCCAGAGCAAGTATGGGTTCTGCCGCCCTCCCCGGGCATGCGCTCGCTTCCGATTTCCCAATTTCAACCCCTGTTGGCTGAGGACCCACAAAGGGAGTTGGCGCATTGCCATGTCCTTTTATACCTGATCAATGTAATCAAGGCATTCGAGGTGTGACTTGAACGAAGGAGGAAAGAGGAATATAAACCCAGGGAAAACCATTGAAAACAACTCAGGAAAAAGCGTGAATTCGGAGGCATTCATTACGCGGTTGAGACGATACAATTATCGTGTAAGGTTACACCATCTTTCGCATGCCTTCTGGATGCACTTGATCATTTTCTCAAGGATATCTCCAGCTCAGCTGAGATGGCGAAGGAGCTGTTCAATACCTAAGGTAGTCGTTATATCCCGGTACTTGGTTCCGGGTTGTTTGAGGTCGGCAAAGGAAAAGAGAGACTCGAGAAAGCTGGTTCAAGCGACGTTACGGCAACACATGTCGTCTGTTGGTAAGAATGGGAGCCGATCTAGTCGAGGATTTTCTTTGCTGCGCCAACCTCAGACAGATGATGTTGCTGAAGAGCGACTGATAAACCCGCGGTCCCGAGGTCAGTGGGAGTTCAGACTTGTGCTTAACTAGCTCCCCACCACGTTGATTAGCTCAATCTCTTTCTATCGTGTCCTTGGATGTCGGATTATGTCCTGGACATTGTGTCTCTGCTTAGTCAGACAGTGATGTTGGTAAATGGCAGATGTAAATGGAAGGGGAATCGGATGCCATGTGGCATCAGTGGGTGGCCGACAAAGCGAAGGTGGTCCGGCTTCAAAAGACTACGGGGACAACACGAGCTGTATATGTGCATGCACTAAAGCATCAAACTCTCCTAGTCTCCTGTCAATCTTTGTTGACTGAATATAGGCGTAGACGAGACGGGGATGGTCATCTGCGTCGACTACCAGCTGGGTTGCAGAAGCAAGTGTTGGTTTCACTCACGGCTGTGTTCGTGCAATATTCTGGGAGATTTAAACTGGGGGCTCCTCGCCGGCAGGCTAGAAGCTAAAACTGGTACCAACTGAATGTGCAAGGAGCTGCTCTATTCGAATGGAAAAGAAACTGTGAGCTTGGAGGGTACCTGTTTAGTCCACCAGTGTGTTTAGAGTATCGAAGGAGGGTTCTCGATCATCTTTCTCGGAATCACATCTGCATCAGTTGCCGTGACTTCAACCTCCCTGACGTTCAACGCACAGTGCAGGGGACATACATCTGCAAGCTAGCAGCCTTGACATGTGGTCTACTTCTCTATTCCCATCGCCGAATACTCCATGCTCGGACTCGCATCCGGGTCCCATCCAGGCATAACGTCCAAATCAGCCGCCCTCCCAGTGAAATCGTCTCCGTTTAATCCCAAAACTAAGATATGCAGCAAGCCCATGAATAACCCACCCGAAAAGATACCGCCAGTGCCCTGTTTGAGTCGCATCTACTTCTTGACAAGCCTATACTTCCCCCCAATAACTTCCATCTTCCCCTCGAGCACCTTCTCCCCTAGGAAGTCCTGCAGCTCCTCGTTGCTCCAGGGGAACCCGTCGGCAATCAGCATCTTCATCATCATGGCCATCTGCGCCAGCGGCATGCTGGCGCTGGCGTTCGTCAGCATACCCTGGATGTATCGCCAGTAAATCTCGCGGCGCTCGCGCTCCTTGGCCGAGACGGCCGGCTTGGCTGCTGTTGCGGCAGCCGCTGCTGCAACTGGCTCCGGTTCTTCTTCCATAGGCTGGTGGGTAGAATCAGTCGGCGCTCTGGTGGCAGTGGCCTCGGCACTGTTGGCACCGGCGGTGAGAGGTTCGTCGAGGGTTTCCGCGACAACGTAGGTCTTCGGCGCGCACCCGACACGCCGGAGGACGCCCTTGTTGACCCAGAACTGCAACGCCGCAGTGATTAGGTCTTCGTCCATCTGCAGCTGTTCATACAGCTCGTCAACCGACTTCTGCACCGGCGGAGCGTCCTCGGCCTCGCCAATACTCCCTGGCCGCTGAAACGCATAAATAACCGTCGCCTCGACAGTGGTACACTCCACCTCTACCCTCCGATCGCTCAACTCAATCTCCACCCTCGCCTGGCCCATCTGATTCAGCCACGTCAGCTTCCTCCTCGACTTGAGTCGCTCGTAGCCCGCTTCATACGCTCGCTGCTGCTCAACGACCACCTCAGGCAACAGGAAGTGTTCCCTATCCAGACCAGGCCAAAACAGTCTCGACAGGATTCGCGCATGGTACTCCAACCCCCGTTCCGCACCCCCTTTCCTCCCCCTCTGCTGAATCCTCACATCCCACCCCCTCGACTCAACGACATCCCTAACCATGACATCCACCCCTTGCAAACTCGCCTCTCCAAACCTCCGCTTCAGCAGCCTCAAGACCCGGAGTTCCTGCTCAAACTCCAACGGTACCCGATCATTTTTAATAGTGGCGCTACTACTACTACTACTACTACTAATACTACTCGGCGGCAAAAGCAATCGCTCCGCCATGACGGTGCTAAACTCCTTGATGAAGCTCTCCTCGCTGCCCAGCGCCGAGATGAGCGTGCCAATCACGTCCTCGCTGCGCGGGCGCCGATAGTTTGCGCCGGCGTCGATCGGGTCCGGCAGCCACGACATGTCGTTCCAATCGAGCTCTGGGTCTGGGTCCCGGTCTGGGTTGGTGCTGGTGGTGGTGGTGGCGGACGGGGTGCGGTGGCGGCGGGGTTGATTTTGGGAGGAGTTGTTTAGGATAAGGGCAAGCTCGACTAATTTTGTGGGGTGGTACCCGAGGCGGTCTAGAATGGGTTGTGTTGAATTCATTGTTGGCGAGGTGTTGCTGGACTTGGTGAGAGGATTTGACGGGCCAGGGGTGGAGGAAGAGGCGGACGGGGCGAGGCTTATTGTATGCTGCTTGCCGCGGCCGGCGACGGCGCTCTGAAGACTCTCGCGCAGATGCTTTGAGGCGTCTTCGGCACTTCTTGCAGCGCGGATTTCTTCGGAATTAGCCAGCAGGCCGGAGACGACGACACGGACGGCGTCTTCACGCTGGCAGAGGTACAGTTGCAGCCCGGGCTCCACGTGGCTCAGGAGCACCTTGCTGGGGTCGAGCGCATGCAGCGTGCGGATGATGGAGATGTAGGTCCGCAGGATCTCGAGCGTGCTACACCCGGGATGCAGAAGGCGCGTCTGTAGCGCGCGCGAGAAACTATCCGTCAGCTGCTTCCGGCGAGCGGCCGTGGTGATGGTGGCGCGCAGGTCATCCAGGGCTGGTCCGGAAGCAGGCCATGCCAGCACAATGTCGAACAGCTCGTGAGTGCGGAGAGCCGCCAGACGGCCCAGGGCAAGCGACTGGTACGTCTTAAGATCCGCCAAAGAGACTGGTAACGTGCCTTGGGGATTGGGCGAGATGCAGGCCAGTACTTCAAAACTCAAGCGGGCGAAGTGGTTTTCGACCCAGTCGTTGAGGGACATTGTACAAGGCGACGCCACGGATAGTGATGTGCCCTGCGATACTGAGCCCATAGCGGCTGAGAACGAGCGAGGCTCTGGCGTTGACCAGAGACCGGCGTACGCCCCGGTCACATACTCGGACATCATGCCGTCCATTACCTCGGCGAACAAGATCTGGAAGCGCTCGCCAGCCAATCCTACATTGTGGAGCTGCTGAACCAACCCAGTCAGGCGCTCCCTGGCAGCTTGTACTTTCAAGTCGTGTGGTCCGGGGGCCGCCGGCCGACGCTGCTCTCCTCCCGTCACGGCCTCATCTGGAGAAGAAATGCCCAATATCGCCCCGGCAAGGCGAATCAAGACGGCTTTGATGGAGTTCGTCAAGCCTTCTGAAGCAGAGTTACTCACAAGAGCATGGAGATCGCGACGGAAGCGGGTATTGAGCAGCTCGGCATCCTTGGCCACCTCGGGCGAAGCATCCGCCAAACGAGCGAAGCCCGAGAGAAGCTGGTTGAGACCAAAGAAATAGAGGCGCAGGGCCGCCTCCAGCGTGCGGATACTGCTCATAACAACCACCATGTGCCTGTCGTAGTAATTGCCCTTCCGCCGCGTCCGCGAGCGGCTGGCGTCCAGTTTCTCGTCATTCCCCGACTCCTCAGCATCACCCTCGTCATCATCCACGCACCCGGTCAAAAGCGGGATGACGTGCTGTGTAAAGTGCACCCTGACCTGGCGGACATGCCAAGCGAGAATGTCGTCAGTGCGGGTAGCGCCGGGCAGCAGGGAGCGGGCGTTGACGAGGACGGCAAAGGCTTCGTAAAAGTCGAGGTCGATGCCGCCCCAGGCAGTGTCTGGTTTGCTCGACGCCTGCTGCGGCGAGTCAGCGGCAAGGGCGCCGAACGAATCATCGGCCGTGGCAGACGAGGGCAGGGCGATGCGGGCGGTCACAACCTGCCATGCCCGGTCATACGTCTCCTGGTCTTTATTTGGAGGGAAGAGTGGCTGTGCCGATGAAAGGAACGACTCAGGGGTCGTCCTTCGCAGGAAGAGATGCTCTCCTGGAGAGGGTCCATGGTGTTGCTCCTGCTGCCGGGGCGTCTGGCCGAGCAAGGACGCTGCGGGGCCGCCGAAAGGCTGTCCTGGAACCAAATTGAGGCTGCCTGGCGTTGACGGAGGCGTGGGTTGGGCGATGTCTGTCCGGAAGACTGACTGGAACACCTGCCGCCGCCGGTCCCTCCACGTGGAGGCGACAGCAGCTGGCATGCCGGGCGAGGTTGTCGAGATCGCCGGTCGGTTATCCAATCCTCGTGCTCGGCAGGGTTACTGCTAGCTGCAGTGACGCGGGTTGAGGCAAGCTGTCACCAACTGCCCGCCCCAAATACCGTCCGCCCCTTGAGTATACCCCAAACAAACACACAGCCCGCTGTCTCCACGTCTTCCTCCTCTGGCCGGCGGATCTGGCCGCTCAAATCCCGGCAGCCTAATCAATACTAATCAGTACCCGTCCGGGTGGCCGACACGGAGCCGCCAGTTGCAAGGGACCTGACCCAGCAAAACAGATAAGCTCAAGCCAGGCCAGCGTCAAGGGCGGGCGGTTGGGACGGCGGCCCAGAATGGCGGCCCCAGGTAGCCCCTGATAACACGTGGCGCGTGGTGTCGCCGGTTGCGGTCGCTTAGGTCGCTTGTGGCGCGGCTCAGTGGTGCAGGAATCGAGCCCGGAGTATTATTCGAACCGATGTCGAAAAAGCAACAAGCGCCCTTTGCTGCAGCAAAAAGCGGTAAGGATCGATGGTCGTGCAGGCGGGAGGATCGAGGTTCAACGAACGGTCAGGCAAGCTCCGTTCCCAATCCTTTTGGGTCTTGCTGACGTGACACCGATCTCCTTTTCCCGGAGGCGACGGTGAGCCTTGCCAGCAGTAGAGGCAAGCTACGTCGGCGACGATGGTGTTGTGCTCGGCGATGGAAGCTGCAGTCAGGGTGGCATGGATCCACGGTTAGGTGCATCTACCACTGGGGTTCGGCCTGCCGTCGCAGGAGATCGGCGTCTAGGCGCCCGCAGGATCAGAAATGCACGTGGAAAAGACCAATGGAAACGGCCGACCCATCTGCTGTCAGCATTCAAGTTGGTGTGAGTGATGCGCACCTCGATGCCGCTTGTCAAGTGGAATGGCAGTTGCAGGTGCCAAGCCGTTGAGCCAAACAAAATGCACTTTAGCGTTGTTCGTAGCCGCGGTGACGCGCGCTAAGTGACGACCCAAATCAAACGAACACAGAGCCCGCTTAGGTACCTACAGAACAACCTGATTGACACTGGAATATGCACTAACCAAAGGACCCTGATTCGCAATCTTCGTTTCCATGTACATCCGTACTTAACGGTACCGGTTTCATACCCTCGAAGCCATAACACGGTTTGAACGTCTCTCATGCACCAAACGAGTTCTGTTCCACAACATTCCCGTCTTATATCCTGCCATACACACGTATACACAGTATATGGAAAGTTCTACATCCGTAATCACCTACACACAGCTGGGGACATGGGTCCGGGCTAGACTCCGGGTGGGCTATCCCTGAATTCCATGGCTTTGGTGACACTCACCATGCCGTATCAAGTAAATACGTCGTTGCCGCCAATGGATCATCATCCGTTGGCGCTACCCAGGTCCTGGGCACCGCGAGCCACGTGGTGAGTCTGTTCATTTCTTCGCTTATATGGATTGGACTTGTCTGTAATTAGGGTTCTCGCTTGAGGAGTAGCTGGGGTGATGGAGACGCAGATTCCCTTCAAGAAGACAACTTTTTTGCATTTGCGGACTTCTCATCTCGAGAGGCTCAGCTGCCGGCAATGATCGTGTTTATCATCGCACCTTATGAACAATCATCGATGACAACAGCGTCTCCCGGCTCTCCTTCCTTGGTGGTGCCAGGTTGTGGACCACTTTGTACTGTAAGAAACCCCTCCCCTCCCCCCCAGGAACGCAGCGATCAGCGGGCTGGGTAGCGCGGGGGTGCAATTGGCACATTGGCATCAGGCGATTCCAGTCTGAGATGTGCTGATAGGCGTCCATGTCCCGCCTCCTTCTCCACAGTGAATGCCACCTTCATCTTTCTCAGTACTCGCAGCTTACGGATAGATACATACCTTGGCGGCGAGGATCGCCGATCTCGAACCCCGACCAGTGTTCGTACTACACGACACGACGCTAAAAAGAACTACCATCCCCTTTTTCTATAGCTCAGCTTACCTCAGCGGAGATCCTGTGTAGTCGATGGCATCACGTTTGCCTCGCTTGCAGTTGTGAGGAAGCGACTGGCAGTACATGGGCAGATTCGTTGTCCAACCTTCCCAATTCCCAGTCTATTGGTTCGGTGCATATGCGTAGCATCGACCGAGGAACTTTCGCTTTGAAATAGCCCGATCTTCCGGCCCTTGCTCCGCCTGCTCGGCGTCCACTTCCTTGATCAAGCAAGCAAGGGTATGCTATGGTAAAGTTGACGGGACATCTTCAACTGTCCCTCAACAACGCCCCTCGTCCCAGCTCTACACGTGCTGTGTACACCCACAACGGCCTGCCGGCGGGTCCGGAGTGTCTTTGTCTCAGTGCAACGGCTCAGTCGTTCAACTCGAGTCTTGACCACATTCCATTTACATCCCAATAACCCCTCAATCTCTGCCATTCGTGACATGAGGTGGAGGATGTAGCACAGCCCGTCGGCCATGTCAGCGAAAAGGCACAGCTCAAGCAAACCGCGTGGACCCGATACTCCTTAAAACGAACAGTGTTGGCCTTCCCGTCGTTTGACGTGCCATCTTGCGGAGGCCACGCTGCGGCGTAGAACTCTCTCTCTTCAAAGAGCACCGGTCTCTTGCGTAGCACTTTGCCGTTGCAATTGCGTGTTTCAAGTTTGCTGCCGGCCAAAGCTTACCCTTTCCCCCGCGTCGTGGGGAAGTTGTCCATCGAGGCTGTGCGCAAATTATTAGTCGTAGATGTTGCTGTTGTTGCCGCGAGGTTTAGCTTGTAATTCTATTATTTCGAATAGAAAGAGTGCGTTCGGCGGCGCAGACTAAATGATGGGGGACATTTGGTGCTGCCTAGTAAAGCTTTGCTGCCGACTATCACATGGCCGTCGATTCAGTCCAAGTGAGGGGGGTCTCTGTTTAAAAACAGTGTCGTCTTCTCCCCTGTCACCACGCGTATCGCCGATCTCACGGGCTCGAGTTCGGCTCCGAGAAGATGCCGCGAGGTCCGGGATCGACGGCGGTGGTGCCGAGCGCTAGCAGACAGCCCTAACTCCGCAGTAGTGTTTGCTGCGTACAGCGTCACATCGTTAGCGTCTTTGCTGGACGCTAACGTTAGTGAGATCCCTTCTATTCTTACACAGTAATTACTGCGGCACAGGGATTCAATCTCCGTAACGTTCATAGTAACGTTACCTGTCAAGAATCTGGAGGAAATCGTTGCAATCGTGGCCATACCATGTTCTGTATCCGTACCGGTCAATTTCTAGAGATCCGTACAAAATCCTTGGTCACACTCATCGGCTGGAGCTTACCAAGTAGTGGGTCTGCTGCACGGCGCATGCAGCTCCAGCAGCCGTTGGGTCTTGTTCCGCTGCAGCAGCGGAATCTTTTCCACTCATGACGTCTTGCTCTGTGGGCAGCTGTTCGAGAACGCGTTGGTGTCGTTCCCTTGCCAATCAGAAGAATCCGTCTGATTGTGTTGGTCGGCCAAGCGTGGAGACAAACCGGCGTGTAACTATCTCATTTTGCTTTCCACATTCTTCTCAGCCGAAAGATTTGTGCCACTGCATCCATACCCAATCCAATGATCCAAGTCCTTGTCACCGGGAAGGCCGGCTGGCTGGGCATGACCCGGGAAGGGGTGGTCGCAGCGAAACAAAACCCGCCAATTATGGGGCTCGCCCTGCCGTAACGGCTGAGTTGGTGCGACCCTGCAAGGGAAAGAACGTGAGGTTGCTTGTAAATATTCTTCTGCCGAGGTGAAGGCCCCGATGCATAGCATAGGGTGTGAATATTCTGTAACATGATGGAGCAAAGTCTGTTTTGTACGATCATGAATCAGGATGGACACAGCAAACCCGATAAGGCTAATTCCACAGCTCCACGCGGATCCAGATCCGGGCCCGACGTGAGCATCGCTGTTCCCTGTTGTGCAACGGCCCCAGGCGAAGAGGCGCGAATGAGATCGGCAGCTGCTTGTGAATGTCGGGGCAGCCACGGCACAGCGGGATGTCCTCCGGGCGATGGTCTGAGCGCATCCCGGTCAAGAGCCTGAGCTCAAACGCCGCGTCGCCGTTGAGGTCGTGCGCACCAGTCCCAAAGAGAATAATCTTGCGATATTGAGCCCAATTTTTGCGGTTTCAAACGATTATAATTTTCATGTCCTCGGGCAGCATCAGCCGAAGAGTTCGAAGAACTATCTTAGGATGACCGCCAGCGCTGTAAGAGCTCGGTTACCCGCTTCGTCGAAATCCGAAGTCCCCGATGCAATCGTTCCGGGAGTCCGGTCGGCGGTCGGGGTTCAACTTCGGCATTGCCCGTTGCAATGAAAGATGGTCGCCGACTTGGCACCGTTGCAATGCATCGCTTCAATGAGGTACAGTTTCAATATTCATGGCACTGTCACGGAATGCAATTGGGTGCCTGATTCTCTCTAGCATCAACATACGGAGTTTGAGCTCTGGTGGTCATGTCTGCGCCAAGACCAGCTATTTCCAGTGAGGCTGTGTCTCAAATCTCGAGCTCCCATGGAATGGGGAAATGAAGCGACAATGTTTTGAAACGCAAGTCTCCGAATAACGTCGAAAATCAAGTGCTGGATTTCAGTCAACAGCATTCTCTAAACGGCCATTTGGCGAATGCGACCTGAACCCCGACGATGCGGCTCCTCCTGAGCCTCCTCGGCTGAGGCGCCTCCTCGGCCTTGTTGTCAATCCTCAACGTCACTCCATGTTGAACGCTGGGTGTTTGCCTTTAACTCGATGTTTGTTCCAGCCCCCATATGGCCACATCACATCCAGTTTGGAATAAAGTACCTATGCTACCACATGGCATCGGCGAGGGCTATGCCATCGAGCCCATGTTGCTCAAAATAGCGGGAGTGGAGGGGCCATCAATCACGACATTGAGCTGGACGCGGGGTCAAGATGAGAGTGACGTCGCCAACTCCCTGTATGATTCATGTCGACTGTAACAATTTGAGACCGGACAGAGTCAATAGCATGCGGCGCATGGAGATGGCAATATCGGGTGACGCGGTTCTCGAACGGGCCATTGACCCGTGTAGCAGTTCTAGCCCGCGGTTGTTGTTTCTTGCAGTAAAGGCAGGTTGGGGGATCCGATGAGAGATCCAGTCTCAGCAGAGCATTGTAGTGTGAGCGTCTCTTCGCAGCAGGACTCGATTCACATGACTGCTGAGAAAGGGGGCGTGCATCGCTCTGTCCTTGACGGGGGGGTTGTTGGTTGTCTTTGCCTTGGGAGATACGTTAGGTCAGTTGTCAGTCTGACCAACCACGAGCCGACATCGGGAACAACATGCTGGACTTACCGCCATATGCATGATGCTGCGTTACGTCTCTGATCTATGTGGTTGGTGTGAATGCCAGTAGTTCGAGCATGGTCGCGCTTGTTGGCCGGGGACCTGCAGGACATAAGCGCCTGGCGTCTGGATACAGACTCTGCACCGAAGGTGACTGCCAATGGCTGGCCCAGGACACGAGGCAAGGCTTCAATTCAGACTTGAGCATCAAGCAATGCACCTGCGGTGCCTATCCTGAGCGGTCAGAGAGGGCATTCTTGGCTGTTGGTTTGGCTTGCCGTAGGATTGGGCCCCCTGCCGAGACAAGTTGAGCATCAGGACTGGAAGTGTCCCCGCAGACATCGCGAAGGGCCAGAACCAGCAGCTCCAAAGGTGCTTGGAACTGTTGTTCTGACTCGTGAGTTTCTGTGATGGGATAAGTGGTGCTCGGGTAGCTCGGGCATTGGGGTTCCCCATCTTACCTGGGGAAGTTGCCACAACAAGCTCGGAACGTGGCGGGGAAGGGGTGTGACCCCCTTTCCTCCGCGGCTCCCGCAGCTTGGGAGCGACTTTTAGAGATCTGGCTTCCGTCCGTCCGTACGGTGGACGTGTGTTAAGGTCTGGCAAGATCATCTTGGGGGGTCCCCGAGTCCCAAGACCAGCGGAAGGAGCTAAGCTTAATGCCTGCATGCAAGAACAGCCGCCAGGTCACAAACTATCACATTCAAGTAGACCTGGGGTCAGAACCGAGTCGTAGAGCGATGTGAAACTCGCAGGGCCACGATATTTCACTCTTGTGGTGTCAATGAATATAACTGCCAGTAAAGGGATATTTATCCCAACCATCCTGTTCCCAATGCCATAACGCTATGGTAGAAGTGATGAAAATGGAACGAAGGGCACTCTCGCCCTATATGCGCGTGGTATTTCCTTCCCTTTCCAGACGTAAAGTCCTGAAGTCCCTTCTAGTGACAGGTCCCCAAGCAAAGTAAGTACACCCCCTCATCAATAACGAAAGACATCCCTATGGTCTGAAACTCCCCATGCTTATATTTTGTACGACGCCTGAAAAGAACCCAAGCGCAGAGAAAAGTATATATCTAGAATGAGTTGCAATATCGTTGTCTTGGGTTGCAATAAAACGGCGTCGTGCCTCTGATCTGGTGGCACTTTGAGGTTGAAGCTGGAGCTCGGGTTCGCGTTTCGTTGGAGGCCCCATGGCCCCTTAGTTGCCAGCGTTCTTCTTCTTGCACTTGTCGTGTAGTAAGTGGCCGTTCCTGGCCGTCGTCCGCGTAAACTCTGCCCCGCAGTTTGGACATGTCGCCTTGGCCGCTTGCCCAGACTTCTCCCGCTGGTGCCTGAGGAGGTTGCTGAAGGTTGAGAATTGCCGCCCGTTGCACCCGTGCTCCCAACACTGTGGTTTTGGCCGGCTGTGTACCACTCTGACTTGCCCAGCTGTGTCGGACGGCCCTTGGGGGATAACCGGGGCCACGGGGTACATCCCAAGGTTCGGCTCGGGGACAAGTGGCCGACTGCAGAGAGTTAATATTAAGGACTTTGATGGCTGTCGTCGGCCTGTGACATACCCATAGTGCGACGGCAGGCTCGGGCCGGTTGATGGCGGATAGCCGTAGTCGGGCAGGTAAGACTGAGAAGGATAGTGGCTGTTGAACATGCTGGCCTGGTTCTGGTCTTGCAGCGGCGGCGAAAACGGCGGCAAGTATTGCGGTGCCGAAGGTTCTGTAAGAAGCGAGATCTGAGATGGTGCGGTCGTGTACACGGGCATGCTCGAGGCACCAGTCGTCAGGTCGGCTATGGTCATGGGCGGCGAATAGACCGAAGAAGAAGCGCTGTCTGTCCTGCGCCCGCGCGCTTGCAATTTAGAGTTGTGGCGGGCCTGGTCCCTCTGTCGTTTCAACTCCCGCTGTTCCGCGGTGAGCGTTGTCCTGGGAGGGCTTGCTGTGACCGATCTCGACTCGCTAGACGGCGTAAAACTGGCATCCGACCCGTACGGACCGAGCTCAGGAGGAAGGAGGCCAGTCCCTGAATCCATCACTGTCACGACTGGTAAGCAGGCGAACTCGCATGACTGTGGGCGAAAATCAATGCGGCGTGGTGTACCTGGCCAGGCAAAGGATGGTCTGGTGCCCATGTTAAATGCCGGGTCGTATGAGAGGGCCACGGTACTGTCACCAAGGTCAGCAGCCGCAGAAATGGGAAACACCCACAGGGGATCGGACGGGGAATGCACCTCATAGCTTCCGTCTCGGTCGATGGGATCGGAGGCGATGATGCCGAGGCTCCGAGCTCGTCTTTTGCAGGTTCAAGCCGGAGCAGTGGCGCGCCCTGGGTCCGTGATTGATCCGGCTCAAACCACCCCGCGCCGGAGACGGTGGGTTCAGATGGCAGAGACGGGAAGGAATCTTGGTGCTGAGGAAGACGGGTGGACAAGTAGCCCGGTGAGTGGGAGAGGCGCGAACTTGGGTAGGCGGGCGAGGCGAGGCCGCGGGAGGACGAAGGTCTGCTGGTGGTGTACGATGCCGTCTCGAAGGATGTCGTCGCGGTAAGCTGCAGGCTCTGGAGAAGTCCTTCTGTCGTAGACACTCCACTATCTGTCCTCGGTCTGGGAGTGCGTGAGTAAATGTCGAAGTCGTGACTTGAGTAGGTCGAGTCCATCTTCATGTTGGAGGTGGTGCACATGTAGGATGGTGCTGCGCGGATGATGGAACAGGTACATACGTGTGACTGCTTGACGAGGCCGGCAAGCTTGCTGACCAAGGTGCGCGAAGGTCTATATGAAGTGAAGATGGAGATCAGGTAGACAGATTTCGACGACGGCGATGATCTATCTTTGGGTCGCCCGAACTTCAGATGCACCCTCAGCCTCAGAGATCATGGAGAAGGGGTCTGGATGAGCTAGGGGCTTATAAGTCGATGAGGCAGTACACCCCACAATGCCATGGTGGTCGCGGTGCATGGGGTGGCCCCTGGTCAAGGCAAAAGAGCACCGTTACCTTAGCTGGGGTGAATAGAATGTACATCGCTGGCCAGGAACATGCTTCTCCTGCGGCAAGTGGACAAAATGAGAAAAGGCCGGCTACAGGGGTGGAACGGACCATGAACTTGAACTGGCAATGCAACGGGGGTGGTCAAGACCACTCACAAGGTATGGTAAGCCCGCACCCCCCCTTCCCTGCCTGACCCAACAAACCATCGAGGCATGGTGTGTGCGGTGTAGCAGTGGTATCCCCGAGGCGGCAAGAGGTTTGTTAGTCTTGGTATATGGACCTGCGACATCAGTAACGACCTCCCCGTTACAGTGAATAAGTCCCTTCTCGCCTCGCCCGCTTGGGTGCTTTCTGCTGCGGCGGTTGTCTCTTCTCATGGCCTGTACAGCATTGGCTGATTGGATCCCCCTCTACTAGTCTACAAGCAAAGAAAAACCAAACAAATAAAAAAAAAACACGCGCGAGGCCGAGGGAGCGGCGGGGGGCGTAACGGCCGTGGCTGCTCTTAGGCTACAGCATTTCTGAAGCTCGTCTGTGGACAACTGTGCCGCTCGCTGCGCTTTGGAGCAGGTGAAGCTAAAATGCGCCGTGGCCGGACAGGGCCACCGGCAAACAAGGTTGCGTGGGTAGAAGAGACGGCAACGCATCGACCTATCCACGCCTCAGAGTTGCACCTGGACCACGCTTAGCCCGGCTCACGGCCGTGGTTCCGAAAGGTGTTCTGCCGGATGGAAGACATGGCCGGTGTGTGCTTGATAGACGCGCACATCCGACCTGTCACCGGCGTTGCTTATCTGGTCGCGGCTGCTTGCTCGCTTTGCGCGGCTGGCGTTTGTTCAAGCCATCGCTGGCTGTTCCCTTCTTCAATCAAGGGGGGACACACACTGTCCATTCGGCCCCGGACCTGCAGGACTTGCTGGAACAGGGACGGGAAGTGTGAGTCCCCAGGGAGGGAAATAGTCCATTAACGGGGCAGGATCAAGGCAAAAACAGGGGTGGGGGTTCTGAGCGACTGGGGGCGAGAGGAGAAAGGTCATCGAAATGCGGAAAGTTTATCAAGGGGAAAAGTGTATGTCGGGGGTTGTGTCATGCAGCTGGAAGGACGGGAGAAGCAGGTAACGCCTTGAAAGTCTGATATAGTTGACGACAGGTTGAGTCTCGAGTGTCTTCTCACGACGCTTTGTCGTGCGGACTGGAAGAGTTGGCAGGCAAATGTCCGCTCGAACAGGAGCGGAGCTGCAGCGGGGCAAACAAGTGAATGATGCAGATTGGGGCGGCGAAGGATCCGCAACCCTGTCGTCGGGTGGTTGTTTGTTTCCCGCTTAAGTCCATAAGACCACCATACCTTATCTTATCGGCCCTGCCAATGAAATGGCTGATGCGGCCTGAGGTTGAGGGACGTTCGGCCATGGCGGCAAGCAACACCTCACCGCGCGTCTCTCGACCAGTGGAGGTGTGGGCAGGGCCAGCTAGGCCACCACATTTCGCAAGGCTCTGTGGAGTGGCGTTTTTCAGGCTCTGTGATTGAGACTCTCAAGCGACGCAGCCAAGCTAGAGTACTGGGTACTCCGTACCTTGGATCCCGAGAGACGTTTTAGAAGACAGAGAAGCGCGGCGGCGACTTCCTGCCCAGCTGCCCAGCTGGCCCGAGTGCTTGGAAATTCCATGTAATGTGTTAGCTAGTAGTGAGAACCTTGCCGGCCAAAGTTAGCTTCAACGCCAAGTCGCCGTCAGCTCCTTCTTCTCCGAGAGTTCTGGAAGACAGCACTTCCTGCCAGGGTCAGGCACAGCGTGCCAGAAGCTGCTCATGTGCGGCACTTTTTACCCATCGCCGGGGTCGCCGCTTGTCTCGAATATCGTCCTGCGCAACCTCCTGCGACTGTAGTTGCGACGTCTTGGCCAGTTCTGTGTCGAAGTCTCCCAAGAAAGCGAGGAAGCTCATCGTGCCTGAGAGCCCAGCAGCAGCATTGCTGGTCTGCTGTGTGTTGGCAACGGAGCGCGGTCCGGGGCACTTGATTGGGCCCTTGCTTGTCGGGTCGCAAAACCCCGCTAACACAGACGAGAGAGCGAAATCAAACACCACACCTTCCCAACGCGGAAACCCTTGAAATCCAATCAGCAGATTTCACGGACTAGTTCAATTGGACACTAGTGTCCTTGCTGACCCAACGTGCCATGGCGTGGAAATTGTGTGAAGGGGCCCAATGACGGGAAGAGTTGCGTCTGACACGCCTACATAGTACCGTAGCGCCGGCGCTTGTCATGGTGCGTTTATTGCTCCTCCTGGGACCAGCTCTGAGCAGCTGCATGTTGGGGTGCCACCTTACACGATAACGTTGAGCACGTGAATTCAAAAGGGGAGGAGTGATAGCCGAGACTTCTACAGATTACCTCCGTACTGCACAGTACTAGTACAGTGGGGTCTCGGAGTCCCAAACACCATGAGCCACATTCGCGCAAAAGCCCGTCAGGAAAGATGAGCCAAACTGGCGAGGTATGCGAGTGAACGTGGCTCCATGAGGTCGGGTTCATCCGTACGGAGGTGTATGCCTGATTGTCGAAGGGTCTGAGCCGGGCTATTGGTATAAGGACCGTCCAGTTAGCTGAACATTTACGTTTGGGGTTCGCTTGCGATATCCAGATGCTTTGGTTCGTTGATGTGCCGGTCCCCTGAGCAACCGACGAGTCAGGGACAGCAGAGAAACCCGGCTGGTCTGATGCGGAACGGAACTGATTGGCCACAAAATCGAATCTTAGCTCATTCCGTTATCTTTGTACCGCATGCCCCGATATTTGCATCTAGCTACTCCGTTTCGAACCAACCCGACCGATCCAGACGAGGGCAAGGAGTCATGGTTTGGGGCTCCACTACCCAGCCTACGGCCCCCAAACCTGCTCCCGGGAACACGACGTTTCCAGCTAAAGATGCATACAGTATTACATAAGATGATATGAACGGCGATAAGAGCTCGATGACCTTGATGCTCCAGGCCTTTGCATCCGTCAACAAGAATGTTCTTTTTTTTAAGCCAACCGTTCTTTTGCTTCTCTCAACAGGGACGGGAGTTGGGTAACGTACGGATACTGCGGTACGGACGTAGTTATGGATACCACGTGGTCATCCGTGCACGAGCCACGGGCGTTCAGGGCAGCCGCGTGCCTGGGAGTGTGCCCAAGACACCCCAGCCCTGCCTGGACAAGCCTCAGCCCATCTGGTGGAAACCCCCGGCTGGTATCCGGGTCGTGCCACAACCTAACTTCCGGGGTTTAGCGGCTTTTTATTCTGCTGCCTGAATGTCAATCTCGCGGAAACATCACCCCATATCGGAACCAGGATCTCAGAAATCGGACTTAGCACGCGGCAAATTGTAGCACATCGAGCAGTGAGAACCCAAATGCTGCGGCCCGCGGCACGGCGCCTTTACCCTTTGTCTCAGAATCATAAGTTACGCCGTTGGCTCGATGGCAGTGCTTGGATAGACAGTTTGCCGATGCCGAGAATTTTCAGGCAGTCAGGACGCTTGCCGGCCCATTGGAACTTTCCTCATTTCTCGCCATTGCAACGCCTCCCTCTGCTCGAGCTTCCCTCCGCCCGCCGACTCCCAGCTTAGGTTTTCTCCGTCGCTTCGCTCCTGCATGGCGCCGGTGGATGATGCAACCATGTGGTGGCTGCATTCTGGCGGCTAATCAGTCCAATGACCCTCCACGTCGGGGCAGTTAGTGTCAGATTTGTTCGAGTCCGCAGCTGCATTACACACACCATCCAGATGCCAAGCGGCATATTAACGCATGGCGCCAGTTCCCACAAGGCCGTCTTCGAATCAAGCGCGCTTATTACGGCAGCTGGACGGCGTGCTCTCCCGAGACCATGGTAGTATAACCTGGAATTGCGGTATCGACAAGTCCAGCGTTTTCTCGTCATTGAGATCCAGACATGTCCTGCTTGTGGCTGCCCGTTCCCCCACCTCCAACTCTTCCGCATAGCGGCGAGCCATGTGAGAGAGAGCATCGAGAGATCCGACAAACCAACCTAGAAACACAGCGTGAACAGCAGATCATTGTCCGTTTTCCGATGATCCCGCGGCCCAAGGAAGCGTGTTTGGGGGCCAAAGTGGCTTTCCAGGACGGGCATAGCTTGGGACTGTAATTCCGGGTTCCGATTGGCCGTCGTCACTCATCAAATCGGCCGGGCCCGGTTCCGAACTGATCTCGGGCCCGGCGCCACACCCAGCCCTCGTCCACGGACGGTCGGCCAGTTTCCAAGCGCAACAGCGTACTTGGGTTTGAGAATGTCATGCCACGGGGCCTCCCGATATCCGGCGTTGCTATTCCAGCAAGCGCAGCCGCCCTTGTGCACGGCTCAAATGCAGTATTCGTCGTTCGTTAGACTGAGTACCGTATGCGACACACCGGTCACCTGGTACAGCTACATACAGCGCCTTGAGGGGGCCTTTCTCGGCGTATTTCGTTTATACCGGTGTGTGCGCTGGGAACTTGTCCTTGGCCGAATTTTATTCCCACCAAGCTTCGCGTAGACGACCAGCAGGCCGAGATCCACTAATGTGCTCTTGTCAGATGCACGCCGCGTCGGCGTTCAACAGCCATTGAAACCTCAGGAACCACAGTTCAGACACCAATGCCGTGTAAGGCGCTCGACAACCGTGACAGACGTTCAACTTCTCCGCACGCTCGACGCCGCAGCGCCGCATCGGAGTATGTGTCAACTGACACACACAATCTTAAGTCTGCTTCGGGAACACCGTCCACTACGACACCACGCCCTCATCAGAAGCTCGTCGCCCAGTCGCTCTGAGCAGCGCACCAGACTACCCCTCTCTAACCTCTGATTCATCTCGTCACATCGCTTCCGCACAGCTGCTTATTACCACTGCGCATGACGACTTTCCTGGCGACTGTGCCCTCCCACCTCGAACCTCACAGGCCTACCTCTGACTGCATGCAGTGACGATAAAATGGCAGTTCTCCATATCTGCAAAGTCCTTGCATGCTCTCAGCTGGTAAACCCCGCCCCGATTGCGACAGGTAAAGCGGAAGAAATTCAAGATACCGCATGACGGCATCTCGTTTCTACTCACCAATGGTAGCCAGCATAAGCAGACTTGTCCCGCGCATCCGTGCAGTCGTCTAGTCCGGTTGATCACGGTTACATGATCTCCGATTCCGACAGTATTCCGTACCTCGGCGGTTCCGTGCAGGCCTCTGACGCGACGCGCTCGCTTCAGCTTTCTGGCAGTACTTGATCAACCATTCCTTGATGCGCATCGCGGTTCTGACAGCCTCGCGACCGGCAGCCGCGTACCATCCCAAGCGGTCAAAGCGATATGCAGCCAGCTCGTCCGGCCTGCTGATATGACGATCTACCCCTCCCACGACGTCAGAAGTCAATTCGCGATCCTACCAGCCTTGTAAGGCAGGCAAGACACAACGTCTAGTTCGCCCGGGTGCCCAAAATCGCTCACACCCTGATATCCCCCCGGCCTTTTTTTTTATATTATTTTTTTTCTGCCAGCCCGGTTGCCGGCGTTTAGCAACACCCGCACGATTTTGGGGTAGACGGGAGTGCAATGGGTTGGGCACGTACCCGCGCGGTTGACTGGGTTGGAATGAGTGAGTAAGGTAAGCTTTGTCATCTCCGTTTGTTCGGTTTCGTTTCACTTTAGTCAGCTGGCTGGCTAGCTTGCTTTTGTCATGATCATCCGATCGGCTGATCCCAATCCAGTCCGAGCATGGCCCCGAGTCCGAAGTCCGGTTCTGTAAGCGGCCCAACTGAGCCGGCCGGTTCGAGAGCTGGCTGATGGCTGGCTCACTCGGTATTTCCGAACTTGACACTTCTTCCTTTTCTTATTATTCGCTCCAACATGCTGCTGAGAATTTGCCACTAAGTAGTACATGCTTTGTGGTCATGTTTGGGTACTAAGGTAGTTCATGGCCAGGAAGACATTGCATCCCCTTAACCCACCGTTCTGGTCTATCGGTGTTGCCAAAGAACTTGATTCTTCCTGTCTCTCACCCAAACATGCAAGACCTTGCTTTTCCCTTCGGCAGATCAGGATGCTGTGTGCCCGTCATGTTCGTCTATCAGCCCTACGAGGCGCGGCAGTTAGGTGGTCAAGTTTCGGCCCACCTCCGTTCTCGGGTTCCGGGTCATAGGCGCTCCGGTGCCCCGGCTAGTGTGCCTGCCGTGCTTCCGCTGTGTTGTTGTCGGTCTGATATGCGGCTGTGGGCTGGTTACGGATCTTGTTCCTTCGGTTTTGCGGTCAATGATGCTGAAAGATCAAATCTTTTCTTACTTGTATGTGGGAGTCAGTTGTGTGATATATTGGTGAAGGGTGCTTTCGACTCGGGGAGGATGATGGAGATTGGTGGCTATGTTGGCTACATGCAGTGAGTTTCCGAGCTTCCCTATGATGCCGCGACCAAGGTAGTTACTCTCCGCCCAAGAGACAATGCACAGAAACAGGCTGAGCGTATTGTTCGAATGGGGACGTACACGCAAGACCGTCGGCTCAGCACTCACTGGCATCTGACTGTCTTCCTACCTTCGTCCCAAGCCTAGTACCCCCTGTCGCTCACCGGAGCTTGCCGGGATGTCCAATTCCTCGTCTCGAAGGTTGATGCTTTCTTCCCCAGCCGTGAGGGGTCTGCTATGGGTACTAGAAGCTGGTTGACGACTGCGTCCAGCTTGGCTAGGCTTTTGTTTCCGCCCTCATGTTGCATTGTGCGGAAGAAGTCCGGTAGGCGGTTCCTCGTCCCTGAAGCGAGTAGGAATGTGGCGCGAAGGCACCTTGTGTTGAGAAGGCAATTGGAGGGATCCCAGGTTTTCATCTGTCTTCGGCTATGGGGATGAGACTGACCCGACCGAAAAGGCATATTGTTCAAGGTTGGGTCAGGGCTGTGTTTGCGGGTTGAGACGTTGGAATGACCGATGTGGCGTGAAAGGGGTCTCAACTTGATTCAAGACCCCCGTAACTGACCGCCAATGGTAGCCCCGTGAGGCCAATGAACCATCACACCCTTGTTTCTTGAAGCAGGGCAGAAGAGTAAAGGCATCTGCCGTTTGCGGCTGTGTGTCACCGGCCATGGGCCGCGCCCAAGTCAAGGTCAGGCTCATGACGATTCACTGCAGACCCCTGCGGCGGCCACAATCTTCCCCATCAAAGGATTGGGGACACCGTCCCTCTCCGCAGAGACAAGCTTGTTTCCCTATTTACCTCATCAACGAACTCACCGACAAGCCGGGATACGTCAAGAAGGTTATTTGGACTGCAGTCCGGCTCGCATGAGACCGAGTCTCAACTCTAGAAAAGGGGTCAAACACCAGGGTACTACTGTCGACTGCAGCACGTAGTGGTACTGGGACTGAGCTTGATGATCTTCTTGGCCCCTGGGTCTAGTGAAACGACACCATCAAACCACTATCTGATGTGCTCTGCTTGACTCCTGGCGCCCCCTCCTTGCCGCATGCTTTTGATCCTGTCTCCTTAACGATTTCCGGTGGACAGCAACCAGGGATTCTAGGGATTACACATAAGGTTATTCAAGATAAAACATTCAGTGGTCAAGCTTCCTCCGAATGGATTCTCCGTAGCGGCAGTTACTTTCCATGTGGCCCCGCTGTTCTGCTTTTTGAAGCTCACTTTGCTCAAGCCATACTGGGATCTGGCGTTCTGGAATGCCATCTTGCTGCTTTCTCATTAATCTCGCAGCATTTCGGTACATTAACAACCCAGACCATGGTTAAAACAAGGATCGTGCCACCCCCCTGGCGGTGCTGTGCCTCTTCATGGTTCGAGTCAGAAACCACAGAATTTCGGCGTTACCGGCTCTGTCACAAAGCGAGAGACACGAGGTCAAGGCTTGAATATTCAATAACACTGCGTGCTTGTCCCCGCCACTGTGCCTAATCAGCATCCAGAGCCACAGACCCGAGCCAACCGTCCCGGTCAATGTTCGGTAGCGTTTGTAGTGTCGTGAACGGCACATGGCAGGCAACAAAGCAGAAATCATGCTAGAGTCTTCCCATGCGCCGTCTTTGCCGGTGGCAATGCTGATCCCTCTGCCCGAACCAGCCTTCCTCGACATCTCTCTCTGACTCGGTCGCCGAGAAGCCGAGGTCCCCAAAATTGCTCGCTGAAGGCTGATTACGGGTCTGGTCAGTATTGTGTTTGCTGATTCACACTCAATCATCTTATGTGCCAATAGAAAGGGCCATGGAGCAACGAAAGGGGGAAGGAATCGAATGATGCTAGCCCCTGAACCCCAACCGACAATGCTTCAGCCGCCGACTACCGACCTGGCAGAGCAGCTAACACCAACGTACCGGGCAATCTACACGAGGTCTGGACTAAACATACGGATACTCAGGCCACAACGCAGCTGCAATGCCCTTGGCACACTGGCTCCCGTCACTGAGACCTACAACCTCCCGGGTTCTTCACCCCAAAACAGTAGGAATCAAATCTGATGCCAAGCAAGGAAGTAACTTGCAAGGCATGCAAATCAAATGCTGTGGGGTATGTAGTAAGCTATATAACAACCAGATTCACCAGGTATCTTTTCTACGTTCGAACTCCCTCGTCAAGCCAAGAGGCAAATCAAGTCCACTCCCTCACCGCTCCGTAAGCCATTTCGCCCGAAGCAAAACCCGCGCGACCCATCCTTTAAACACCGTGCCAGAACCATCCCAATGAGCCAAACCAATCCATGAACCCAATCCTAGTCCCTCAAGCTCACAACTTTCCATGTCTCGCCTTGAAAATGGCCACCTTGTCATCATAGAACAAGATCTCCCTCAGATTCATCTTGACCCTCCCGCATCCCAGCTCAACAAACCCGTCACCGTCGTCCTCGTCCTCCCCCTCCGCACCAGTATTGACCCCTCCCCCGACTGCGGCCCCACTCCCAGCCGCAGTCACGCCAGCACCTGCAGCATCATCCTCAACGTCCCCGTCTCCATCCTCATCCTCACTCTGCGTCTCATCCGAATCCGACGTGGCTGTTGTAGGGGTGTTATCCCATGTCTCGTTCCCATTCACACCACCTTCCTCTGAGCCCGCCTCCTCCGCGTCAAGCTCATCCCCGCCCCCAGCGTTCTGGGCGCCCTCTTCCTCCCCTTCCTCACCAGACTCGGCTTCAGAAGAAGAATCAGAATCAACGTCATACTCCGGCTCAGCCCCATCCAACCCAGCCTCAACACCACCACCACCAACCCCATTTAACACACCAACAGCGGGCGCAGCAGGCATACTCATTCCACTTCCACCCGCAGCATCACCGCCAACCTCACCCTTCATAGCACTCCCAACCTTCGTCATGTCCTCCCTGGACTCCAGAATCTCAAAGCACTTCGCCCCGATCCCGACATAGCACAGCCTAATCTCGGGCCGCAGCGCCACAATGTCGACAATCGACAGCGCCAGGTCGCGGGGGTCGCAGCTGCCGCCGGCCGGGTGGTCGGCGAGGTAGGGGATATGGAGGGAGCGCAGTTGCGGAAAATTGGGGAGCCGCTGAAGGAACGTGTGCTGTATCCAAGCACCGCGTTTGTCAATTACGAATCTTTTTCTCAGGTTATCGGGGGTAGGAAATCCAGGACTCACCCAATCCTTATACTGCATCGAAACAGCCAGCTCACGCAGGTTCTTCATGCGGCCGCTCGTGACATACAACAGAACTTCCGTGGTGAGGGCCCATTGGCGCCAGCGGATGGTGTCGCCGGTCGGCTTGGCAGAGCTGTCGAGGAGCAGCTTGCGCAGGCTGGCAGCGTGCCGCCTGATGGCGAACTTGAAGATGATGTCTAGGGATGGGCGGGGGCCGGTGCTGCGCTTGCGGTCCTGCAGAAACAAGACCTCGAGCGTGTTTGGAGCGAGGGTCTCTTTGATGAGATTGATCAGGGACATTGTTGTTGTGTCGGTGTGGATCGCTTTGAGGGTCAAGTGGTACTGCAAAGGAGCATTGACGGGTGCCGGTTTGCTGCCGGTGCCCAAAGCCGCGCTCACCGGCGTTGGCTGGAAGTGTTTGCGCAGCATTTTCCATAGGTTGTCGTGCTGAGCGCAGTCAAGGAGCGTCAAATTTGTCAGGACGGACCAGTCAATGGCATATCTGCACACTTGCAGGGACAACACGACACGTTCGAGCTCCAGTGTGTGTAGCCTGAGCTTGCCTTCCCGTCTCTTCCTATCCACGGCGCTGGCCTTGGTAGACTCAAGGCCCTTGAACATGCCTCGGGCTTCTGCTGACGTATCCGGTTGCAAGGGTGCGTCAATACCATCGGGCTGTTGCGACTCTGACGACTCGTTCACTGGATCCTGTAAAGCGATCGGGGCCTGTGAAACCATTGGCAGACTGCTTTCGTCAGCCAGAGCAGGAATGGCGAATTGGTCCTGAGGTCTGCGCTTCCGGATGTCGTAGATCTTGCCCACCAATACGCCCAGGACACCGCCCAGTCGCCTGTCTCCGATGGTGCTTTCCCCCGGCCACCGTGCCTGGTGGTCTATCTGCAGCAGATCCGACCCATCCCAAGTTTGCGCGAAGGCCTGGTTCGCAGCTTTGGCCGAGATGCCCACTCTAAGCTCCTGGAGTGTATGCTTGGAGCGCTCGATAAGCACCGCCATTTCGTCCAGATAACCAATCTCGTCAATGTCCAACACGGCCAGACTCTTGAGCGGCGGCAGGACGCTGAAGGTGGGATACTCACAGTGGTATTCCGAGTACCGAACCGGTCGTCGAGGAGGCGGGTGCGACGCGTTTGGCGGCAGCATTATGCCAACGGGGGTGAGCTGGCTCCCTTGAGGAACGAGTGCGGTTCCGTTCACAGTATCGTTGGGATTCAAAACCCCTGACTCGCCAGGGTGTTGGGAACTGTCGTGCCAGCGCACCCATACGCGGCTTAGATTACACCCGCTGTCCGGCTGATGGGCCAACGAGGCGAGGGCTTCGAAGACGCGGGAGAGCACGCCCGTGGGCATATCCCAAACAAATGTCTCGAGATTCTTCATCCTGGTGATGGCGCTAGCCACAAGGGTACCGAGCATCTTGCCGCTTTCCTTATACACTGCGTAGTCGGCAACCCAATTGCTTGGGCCATTGCCCAGGGAGAACTTCCTGGTGTACTTGGCATAGTCATTGTCCACGAGCTTGGACAGTCGTGGGGTGTTCGGATGGAAATTGTTGCTCAGGGTGCGCGCGAATGTACTTCCAAGACAGAGCGTCGAGAGTCCGTAGGTTAGGGCGTCGACGCTCTTGGACTCAGTGGTCCCGATCGGCCCATCGGGCCACACTATGTCGAAGCGCGAGTAGATATGTGGAATGGCGAGGTTGTAGAGGGCCGAGTTGACCAGAGCAAGCGCTGTGAGGTCGTTCGTATGGGTGATCTATACGTGACCAGATCAGTAAGTAATAATCTTTGATGCAACGGTAGTGCAGTTACATGCCTCCCTGACAATAAGTTGCAGAATGTCGACGGGGAGTTCCAAGAGACTCAGGGGCCGTTTGAGGGGGTAGGCAGTCTGGCATTTCTGGGCTCTCTCTCTGACATGCTGCGCAACGACTCGAATCGTCCGCTCTTCGGTTGAACCCGCTGCGCTGGTTGGGGAGTCCATGGTGGAGACCACGTCCCGCTCAGCTCATCGACGGCGCCCGCATCCCCCGTGTCGTAACCTGTTCGGAAAATCGATGAAGGATCGGTCAGCGGCGGAGGTGCTCCCAGAATGCTAGGGTATCGTCGTGACGGCGCCGGATCCCAACTGTCAAGTTGTCTGTGTATGGATGCAGCTGGTGTTGTTGGCGTGACTTTGCCGTCTAGGTGCTAAATGTGGAGACGAGGAAGCTGTTTGCAGGCTTCAGCCAATGCAGACGGCGATGGCGCAACGCGCCGGAGATCTGGGCGCGCGGTCAGGCGATCGCAGTTTCGAAATTTTAACTATGCCACCGGAGTATGACGGGTCTGCCAGTGCCGTGATGAGCCTCTGCGGCCTTGTTATATCGATGTTTCCCAGGTGTTGGTACCGAACCGTTCATTGACGATCAGGATGGGATCTGAAGCTTGGGTTATGAGTCGTGGAGGGATCCATCCGGAAGTGAACGGCGAGCGGAGATGGCGCCAGGCAGCTAGTAACCTTACCATATCCGAAAGTGTACGGATCCGTAAATGCTTGTTATTTTATCCGTAAAATAGGGTGGGTTAGCATATTATGACCGAACAAACTTTCCAGTTCTGTGGGTTATGTCGCCCAAAGCAAGAGATGACAACGTGCCGTTCAATCCTTGTGTTCATAACAACTCCCTGAGAATATTATGTTGATCAATTGAGACTCCGGAACCGCCCATCATTTCCTTCGCCTCGGCTTCCTGTGTAGGGCTTTAGTGGTCCGTACCTTGCGTATCATTGCATGCAAAGACCCCGCCATAGGTCCAAAACAAACCCCAACTTCCCGTCTGGGTCTGCTGCCCTCCCCGCGGTTGCATCGGCATGCTGGGCAGCAAAGGACAGCAGAAGCGCAGTCCGAATCCGCTGCGAGTATAAAGAGCCTCTGTTGTATTGGATTCCTCATCGTGATCTGTTGTCCGGAAATCTCCAGAAGGCCGAGTTAGAATCCCATTTGTTTCTGCTCCCTGCCTACCCTGCGGCTCCGGTTGTGCGGCTTGGCGCGGCTGATACGGAGAGGTGCACGTCTCGTCCGATCGGCGGGACGGCGTTGTCGCGTCGTCATCTGTGCCCGACCACATCCCCTTTCTCCATCTGCCGCGGCTTGACACGCTGTTTTCCTCGCTACTTCAACCCAAACGAACAAACCACGTGGTCCAAGTTTAGAGTGAGTCGTCTGTGTGTGCCATGTGTTGTCTGGCCTTTCCGCAACTGTGCCATACAGGTACCACCCACTGTCAGGTTTCAGGCTGCCGAATTCCCGGTGGGCTGTTTAAAATGGCCACGTTTTCCGGCCCGTGATATCCTATGTTGACAGTGCAGTTATACAGTTCCCTGTGCCTACGCCTACATACCTCAAATGTCGCATTGAGAATTAAACTCAGACGCTCGTACGACTTTGACTTGCGGCACACTCATCAAGGTCAGCCCACCCTGCGCCAGCCCACTCTGGTCACCGTACTTCGGTGTCTGAATAACCTTCGAAGCCTCAAGACTCCTCCTAACCGACCATCTTTCGGAGCCATGGCATCCTTCTTTCAAGAGCTTTGGGAGTCTATCTTCACGCCGGGCCCGACGCCCACCCTGCTCGTCGCCACAAACGTCACGTTCGCCGCCCTGCAAATCGTGCTGGCCGCCCTGCTCTTCGCAACCTACAGCGTGCACTTCGTCGTGCTGTCGGTGCTGTGCGGCGGTCTCTGGGCGGCCATCAATTGGTTTGCGCGCGAGCTCAAGGTGCACCAGCAGCAGGAAGAAGAAAAAACGCGGCGCGCCCTGGTAGCCCGGCCACCACCACCGGCGGCGGCGGGGTCGTCAGACGACAGCGAGACCGAAGTCGAGGCGGCCACGTCCACGGCGAGTCTGCGCAGGGCCCTACCAGTGCCGACAAACAAGCCGGCTGCGGCTGTCAGTACGGAGGTGGAGGCGGCAGAGGCGCGCGGGGAGCTGAAGCATAGAGCTATTGAGGAGACTCCGAGTCCGAGCCAAGGGCAGAAGAGCACTGTCAGTACTGAGGATGAGTGGGAGAAGGTGTCGGAAAACGAAAATGAGAAGGACAAATAGGAAGTAGCCATATTTGGCTGGCTTATTACGAGGTACGACGGCCGTTTGACAGCGAGGGAACAGAACATAGCGTGGCGCCATTCAATCTGATATGACTGCAATGTACATACTTCTAGCCAAGCTGCCAGGGAACATGGACTTGCGATGGGCCTGGGCCAGCGGCAGCAGCTCATCAACAGCTCTGTCGTTTCCATACAGCTGAGCAGCAAACATCTAGCATGCAACCCATGCAGTGAAACCCGCTCCTGTTAATCGCTGATGGGCCCCAACTACGATGAAAGCCTAGGTACTTGGTTGCATACCAAACTGCACTCAAGCTTCCTCCTTGAAGAATAGCTAGTGAAGCCGCATTGTTGGCTCATTTGGCTGCAAAAAACCATTGTGCTGCTCATGAACATAACCCGCACCACGGAGCAAAATAGGTATGGCAGTACCGATGCTTTGTGCTGCTCAAGCCGCTCGTCAAGGCGCATTGTGATGATCCATGCAATAACTTATGGCTCGTGCAGACCTTAGAGCCATTTCTGCAGGGGCTTTGCAGCCAGAAGCATGGATGGTCAGGGCGAGTGGAATAACGAGCGCAAATCACGTGACCAGGGATCTCATTCAAACTTGGCGGCCAGCCATGGCTGAAGCTCCACCAGGCTCAAGGCTGAAGCTTCACACTGCAACGAAATAACTGACTATCGCACAACATCAACAATTCCGACCACACCTACACACCAACAACGGATTGTTTCTTTGGAGCAGATACCTGTCTTTTCATATCCGTCAAGATGAAGTTGGTCAGGTAAGCCACATTTCTCTTCGATCAACACTGCTTCCACCCACTTCTACCCACCAAAAGCCTGCCGCAGCGACGGCACCACACCTCTCAACAAACAAATGTGACATTCAAATCTGACTAACAATCCTACCCAGGTTCCTCATGAAATGCGCTAACGAAACCGTCACGATCGAGCTCAAAAACGGCACCATTGTGCACGGCACCATCGCGTCCGTGTCGCCGCAGATGAACACGGCGCTGCGCAACGTCAAGATGACGCCCAGGGGCCAGGACCCAATCCCGCTCGACACGCTCAACGTCCGGGGCAGCACCATCCGTTACTTCATCCTGCCCGACTCGCTGCCGCTCGACACGCTGCTCATCGACGACGCGCCCAAGCCCAAGAACAAGGCGCGCAAGGAGGCTGACCGCGGCGGGAGGGGCGGACGCGGCGGGAGGGGGAGGGGGAGGGGAATGGGAAGGGGCCGTGGGAGGGGGAGGGGTTAGAGCGTTGCTGTCATGGAGTTGTGGAATGGGGCTTGCTATGGCGGAAGTATTGGTGGGCGCGCTTCCCTCTTCTCTCTGCCGGTTCCGCTGCGCGCTGCGCTGCGCGTGAAAGGGTGCATGGAGGCATAATCTTGGGCGGCCGCATACAGCATTTACATAAGCATGCGTCGGCTTGGTTCTATCGCGAGTGCAGGCCCAGAAGAATGGAAGGGACCGCTGGCCAGATTGTGAGATGTGCCGGTCTAGTTTCGGCTGACACGGGACTCCCTTGTCCTGTTGATCACGGCCGCTTTGGAGGTGGCATTCATATGTATGGCGTTCTAGGATGGGTTGAAAAATACCAGGGGGGTCTGCTTGGCAATGGCATATCTATATCGCGGACATAGAGCCAACTTGTGAGCCGTCCTGCTCACCAAGGCGAAATATCAAGCATATAAACCTCCCAAATCTAATCCCCCTTACTCCCGCCATATCCTTACAATCTGCAATTTCTCCCACCCGGCCTGCTTCCCGCTCGTCCCGACCGTCTCAGCTCTCCACGGCCCGCCTCCTTTCATCCCCCTGATCCTCCCCTTCACCTCGTCAGGCTTGTTCTGCGCGCAAAGCAGCAGATACGCCACGCCCCGATTAGACAAGATGTCAGGCAGCGCCGCAATCAACCTCTCCGTAATCTCCATCCCGTCACGCCCGCCCGCGTACGACAGCGCCAGCAAAGTCGAGTCCTCTTTGTACGTCGTTTTCTTCTCTCGCGTCACTTTGTCATCGGTATCTCCTCCCAATAATCGGGGCGGCAACGACGGCAGCTCGGCGGTGGGAACATAGGGAGGGTTGAACACCAGCACGTCGACCTGTCCTGGCCGGACCGCGCTGGTCAGGTCGCCTTGAGCTGTGCCGAGGAAATAGCCCGCTCCACTGCTACTGCCACTGCCATTTCCATTTCCACTGCCACTTCCACTGGCATTCCCACCCAGATTGGGGTCGCTGGTGGCTGTCGTAGTAGTGGAGGCGGTAGCGGTATTCTCGGTTTCCACTTCAGCCTCGGCGACTGCTTTGGCCACGGTCTGCGCCGTGGCGACGCACGCGAAGCGGTTGATGTCGATGCCCAGGGTGAGGATGTCGCGTCGGGCGAAGAGGGCTTGGGCGTGAGCAGTGAGGAAGGCGAGGACGACGCCTGAGCCGATCCCGATTTCGAGGATGAGAGGCGCCGGTGAGGAAGGCCCTTGGGCCGGGGTAGAGGGGAAGCGTTGGGAGAGGAAGGCGGTTTCCGAGGAGGAGGAGAGCGTGTCGAGGAGGAGGAAGGAGTCCTCGGCCGGCTCGTAGACGCGCTCGTACGGGACGTGGGAGGTGGAGGGGGTGGAGAGCATCTTGGAGGTCTGGGGTGTTTTGAACGATAACTGTGGGTGGAGGCTGCTAAAAGGTGGGTTGGTTGGGGTGGTGGATGGTGATGGCTTCACTTTTGACGGATTTGGTGAGGTATAAAGGCAGCCCGAGTCTGAGGTGAGCGCCACAAACTGAAAACTGAAATTCCAACGGGTGGGTCACCTGGGGAGAGTGAATGACAGGGCTAGGATGAAACTGATTCTAAATCGCATTCATCACCCAACCTCGGTAACGAACAGAAAACAAACAGTATCTCACCAACAGCACCTTCACTTGACTTCGGTGGTGAGATTCTAGGTCGGTGTCTCGTGCTTTACTGACCAGACCACAACACCCCTCATCAACCCTAGCAGGACATTGTGTTTTGCCGAACACTTCAGAATTGATGCACTGAAAGATAGCCTGTGCAGACTCATATCGACTTCCAGGCGATGGGCAAGGTGCCATTCAATATATTTCACGGTTGTGGTTCATTAACTTACAACACGATAGTATGGGTCCCAAGAGGTCTCTCAAACCCGTCTTCAATAAACCTTTGTATCCAAGACTGGAATTGAGGCCCTTTCAAAAGAGAAATCCACCCAGTATCAGCAATAGCTATTGGACATCACCCTCTTTTCCCTTGTTCCACCCATCCTCTAGCCTCTCCTTGGCCGGAACTCCCTCCTTCCCATAACCCTGCCCAATACCCGAACCACCCAGACTCCCCTTTACATCATACAGCACGCAACATCACACCCCGGGTCCGTCTTATTCGGCCCCAACCCCCACCGAAACCCATATTTGACCTTGCTCACCATGCGGATCTGGTTGCGGTCATACACTCCGTTGAGATCACTACATCACACGGTTAGCCAGTCCACTCATTTCAGTCCCACTCCCCCTTGTCCCTTTCTAGTCCTAGCGAGGTATGCGAAAGTCAAGGCAGTGCATTTAAGTCGCCGAACTCACCACTGAGGACACAGCTCCCCCTGCGCGACCAGCCGTGGCGGCAGCGGCCTTACCTGGCCATCAATGAACGTCGGGCAGCTGTCGAAGCCCATGCCGGGGTAGCAGGGTATGGCGATTGCAGCCCAGCGGTGCTGGCAATGGAAGTCGCGGTAGTGGGTGACTACGCACATCTCTGAGACAGTGTCTTTTTTGCGCTTTTGGCTGGCCGAGTTGAGCTTGCTGTGTTGGGTTTGGTAAGTGTTTCTATAGGTTGATATCTGCTCTTTATCGAGATCGGATTGTTCAAATGCATGAGTTCTTTCGAGGTCATGGAAATGACTCGGAATCGTAGAGTTGGCGGAAATCTGCAAGAGTTTCGGGAACGGAAGTCGAAGGCTTGTGTTAAGAACCGCCGATATCGTTGGTTGCCGGGCGATGTCATACGTGGCTGCAACTGTGTGATCTGAAGTCAATAGACTCAACAATACCTGCAAGCAATGAACTGTTCATTGTATGTCCCAAACGGATCAGACGCAAGCTCAGACCCACCGCTCCGAACTCCTCGCAATGCAAGCCCACCGTTCTTTGCCTTCTCACTCCTCCTCCGCTTCTCGATTCAACTCGGCCAACGACAACGACCTCCTCCTCGTCGTCCTATCCACTTCCTCCGTCGCCGGAGAACTGTCATCCTCAACCGCCTCCTCCCCATCGCTCTCCGCACTCACGGGACTGCTCACCAAACCCGCACCTGCACCCGCCCCGCCGCCCACCAACTTCCCCAAATACAGCTCGATCCGCCGTATGCTCCCCTCCAGCGCCTCCAACCGCGCCGTGATATCGGTCACCTCGTCGCTCTCGCTCAGCACGCCCTGTAACTCAGCCCTCAAACCCGGAAACGGCGCAATGCTGTTCCTCCTGCCCGCCCTCTGTCCGCCCTGTTGCGGCTGCTGCCACTGCTGCTGCGGTCCGGGTTTCACCAACACCGGTGAGGGTTGCGGTAGTGGCTGGTGCTGATGTTCGACCGGCGAGTGCTTGCTGCTCGAGGAAGCGAACTGCCTGCGGATCAGGTGCCTCGTCAGGTCGTCGTCGGCGGCGATCTCGTTGAGCACCGAGTCCGGGAGGGGCACCTCGAAGACGGTCGAGATGTCGCTGTGGCTGGTGATGCGCCAGCGGTCCCAGAATCGGCGGCGGAGTTTGGTGAGAACCGGGTGGCCCTTGGCGACGCTGGGCGCCGGGGATAGGGGTGTGGGTTTGTGCGGTGAGAGGGAGCTGCGCTCGGCGAAGGCGATGACGAGCAGGATGGGTAGGTTGATGAGGCGGACCGACATGACGTGAATTTTGTGGAACCAGCGCGGAGAGACGCAGAACTTGAGCGGGACCATGATAAGAATGGCTAGGATGTTGAAGGGCGGAGGGTATGCGAAGATAGCGTCCCCTTTGACGCCCTCGAGGGTCATGACGGCGCGGCGAAACTGGATCTCGGCTGGAGCGTTGTTGACGATGTGGCTGAACGTGGTGGACAGCATCGAGACGAGAATGGTCAAGAAAAGGGTGTTGCCGAGGAAGGCGAACGTGACCATGAGGGAGGGGCCAAGGATTTGGTGGAACTCGATCTGCGCGCGTTAGTAGGAGGAGAGGAACGAACTTTCAGGGAACCGACCGAGTGCTGAATCCCTGACCCGTCCAAGCCAAACCAGATGTAAATCATCCACTTGCTGATGGTCCTGCAAGCTGTCAGTAACCGTCCCGTTTCGCAGCCAGGTCAACTTACGCAGCGCCAAAACTGCCATTACCCAGCCAGAGCAGCGACAGCAGGAAGCCGAGAAAGCACCACGTCGCCAAAAGAGACAGCAGCGCAAAATCCGACATCATGGACCGAAGAGACAGAAACACTAGGTTGTCGGAAAGCAGGTTAAACGCCAGGCGGGGAATAAGCACCGGGGCACCCATGGCCAACACGTCGAGGGCCTGCTGGCCTGCCTCGACGCTCCCCGTCCACCAACCGTAGACGCGGAGGGCCATGTAGACCCAGTAGATGATGGCAAAGGTGACATCTAGAAAAGACCACAAATTCTGGGCGTACACGTCCCTGAGACCGTTAGCCAATGCGTGCTGTTCATCAAGCATCACCTATCGAGAACGCCACATACCACCCATGTGCCAGGAGCGTCGCAAACTGGTCCAACACCCATCCGCAGGCATAGACAGTGAAGCACAACTCGAGATCGCTGATCATCGTGGCATCCCGCTCGCTCATGAAGGCGAGGTACAACCCCAGCAGCACCACAAAGTGCATGATCTCGAGGTACTTCCTCGTCCGCGGCACCACCAGGCGGTAGTGGTTGAGCAGGGGCCCCTCTCGTGGGTTGTACAGCGAGATAGGCCGCTGCTTGTATCGGTCCGGTATAAGATCCATGAAGCTGGACGGAGTATAAACGACCCTCCCCTCATAGATGGCATCGACACTTCTCAACATCAGTCACCAGCCATCAAGCATCCTACAACCATGATCAGAACACGGAACACTCACATCTTCTGGCAGCTCGTACTAGCCAAGAAGATCCGGCTCTCACTCAGAATCGCCACCTCGAGCGCGGGCAACGTCCGATGATGCGCGGTCGACGCTCCCACCTCGCGGCGAATCTCCTCGGGCGCGTTCTGGAACGGCTCAAACCCAGCAATCAGGATATGCGCCAGCACCAATAGATTCCTGCCACCGCCCCCAGGCTCCTCATTATCCTCGTTGAACCGCCTCAAGATCCGCGTCGCGATCAGCTCACACAGCATGGCCCGCGTGAAATTCACATTCTGCCGGTTGCTGAGGTGCGCCTGCTCGGCCAGGAACTGGGCGCGGTTAACTAGCAGGCAATAGACGATGGAGATGTCGTCCTGCTCGTACAACTTGTCGACGAGCGGGCGAATGACGCTCACGTTGAGGCGCACGTCGCGCAGCTGGTCCAGCGAGAGGTAGTCCTCGACGACCGAGATGATGTCGCGGCGGATGCGGTGGATGGTGGTATAGACGGGCAGGTCGCGGTGCGGGGCATGATGATTACTGTTGCTGCTATAAGAAGGGTTGTTGTTGTTGTTATCGTCGTCGTTGGCGCCGTAGCTGCCGCCGCAGGCATAAACTTCTCCGTCGAGGGTGTGCGGGAAGGTGGCGCGCTGGGCCAGGAGAGGGCGCCGCTCAAGGGGCTCTTGAATGCGGACTGATTGATGGCGAAAGGGAGTGGTGGTGCTGGTCGACGTGGTTAAAGGGGCTAGTGTGGTTGGTGTTACACGGCCTCCGCGGCCGGCTCCGACCCCGGGTCCGGTTCGTCGTCCGGATGGGTAGGTTGTTTCGGGGCTGCTAGGGGCAGAACCGGGGCCGCGACTGGCCGGTCCGTCACCCATGTCCTTTCTCTTTGCAGGATGCTAGATGACCGTGCTGTTTGATGACTTGCTCCTCAACAATGTTGGTTTTGGGTCTCTCGTTGTGCAAGATGAGGTGATCCTTGGGATACTCCTATCGCGTTGGGAATGGTTCCGACTAATGTGCTCTCCCAATGGATGAACTGGTAATGGAATATCCAGTCATAAAATCAGAGGCTCATGACTTCATATATGTTCCATGAGACTAAGATGGCAAGTTGAGCTTAAGAATGACCGGGATGAGGTCGTGTTGAATTATACTCTGTGAGGCGAAATAAGAGAGGACATGCTTGAGACACAAGCTTGAGGTGCGCCCCACTCACTAATAAAGAGCAACAACACGTCGAGTTGTCGACAATTTTCAAGTTTCACTGGACAGCACATGCTGCTTTGTCATGTTCATACCAGGTGTTCCATCACATGACTTAGGTTGAAAATTTTGAGCATCTTAGGCCTGCTTGATGCAGCTCCATTGCAAGCTTCTTACAGAGGAAACATTACATCACCAGTGATAAGCTCCAAACGAGCTGCGACTAGGCGGGAGGACCTCGGAGTTGCAGGCAGTCCCAGGGCTTCATGGCCATGTCCTGGCTTTGAGCTTAACAATGTCGACGTTGACGGGTAAACAGTCAATCAATTGGCGTTCGCCTTGTCTTTCAAAGTTGTCCAAAGCTGCAGCTTTCTGTATGCAACCCTAGCATCAAGAGCTGTGACAAAGAAAATGTGTTAGTGTCCAGGCCTATCATGACCCTGGCTAGCTGGCTGGCTAACTACTTGGGTGTCAGTTGCCGACTGGAACGCCAACATGGCGCGGTCCGTCAGAGTTCACCGGCAAACACAGCTAACAGAACCGAAGGCGAGGCTAGAAGAGGTTGTATTCGGGCTAATGCACAGGGGCGTGTATGGACACTGGTACAACAAAGGGAATTTCGCATCGCAACTCTGTCTGAGCAGTTACCGTCTATTGAGCCTTGGAAGAAACGATCCCTAGATATCATTAGCCACCGGCCGCCGTCTCAGGGACATTCTGGACAGAACCTACTCTCAACGTCTGCCACGCTCTGCTGCAGAATCTGCTGCAGCACCTTGGGGTTCTCCAACTCCTTCTGCACCTTGGCAATAATGGTCTGGGCGAGCTCCTTCTGCTGGCGCTGCTTGACCTGGCTTTCGTACCGCACCCACGAGTCCAGCACGGTCTTGGCCTCAGCGGCCAGTGCCGTCCGCTGCTCGAGCTCGTACGCCTGGGCCTCGAGGCGCGCAGTTTCCTGGGGTATTGTCAGCTGTGGTGCATGTTGCGACTCGCGTGCCGTTTGCCTACCTTGGACACCTCAAACAGGGCCTTGGTCACATCAACGACGCCCGACATCTGCTTGACGTCCTCAATACGCGTCTTGACGGCTTGGGTGTGGTCGGCGCGCGCAGAGTTGAGGATGTTTTTGATCTTCTCGTTCTGCGCCTCGGCCCACTCCTTGTACATGGGGCCACCGAACTTGATGAGCGCAGTCCAGACGCTGAGCAAGCAGAAGGCGACGACCGTCTCCTCGTTCATGACGTAGTACTCATTGCTGAGCGCGTAGATGGACAGGCCGGCGGCAGACGAAAGGATGGCCGTCTTGGAGAGCAGGTTGCTGCCGGGGAGGGAGTCGATGAGCGACTGGGCCTTCGTCTTGGGGTCGGTCGAAGGCACGTTCGAGTTGTGGCGGGCCGTGATGAGAGTCGAGACGGCGGGGAGAGCGCGGGGAGCGATGCTCGGTCGCAGGCGGGCAGCCCCTGCAGCAGGCGGGCAATAGGTCAGCTCCATTCTCGACTTCTCGTCGCTCCTAATTCTCGCAATTGACCGGTGCGGAGCTGCTGTTCAAACTCACCGACAGCACTTCTCACCAAGCGGGACGCCATTGTGAGGTCTGGGGTTATCGCGGATGCGTGAGGCTTGACGTTGTCGGAGCTTGCTGCTGCCAGGTGCGAATTGAGGTTTTAACGGAATGCAAGGACCCGGCTCTTTGCCGTGGAAGCATCACGTGCATCAACAGCTGACGGCGACGAAAAATCTTGGCATATCTAAAATTCCACCGAGCTGTAGGGCTCCACTTTATTTTTGCTACAGAAGCCTCAACATGTTTGCAATTAACGACTCGGCCAGAGGACGACGTAACAGCATATTTCGTTAGATCAGAGCTATTCGAGTACAAAGTCATCATGCCTGCTGCGGTGGGAGAAGCCGCAGCCAAGACTGCGGTCAAAAGGAAGCGCCATGAGAACGGGGACATCATCAAGAAGAGGACGAAATCCGACGCCAACGCCCATGATAAGGATGGCAATCTCAAAGCCAGGATTGAGAAGCTCGAAACCGAGGTTCAGGAGTCTAAAAAGCACTACAACAACATTGCCACCCTTGTCGAACTCGCGCGAAAGCACGGTACCGACGCAAAGGCTGCGCTTCTGGCCTCAGAAGCCCTGTGTCGCATCTTTATCCGCCTGCTGGCCGCCGGCAACCTGGTTAAGAGGAAGGATGTGTCGGAAAAGGAGGCTACGGTGACAAGTTGGCTCAGAGACCGACTAGCAGACTGTAGAGGAGCATTGTTATCCATGTTTCAGAGCAAGAAGTTGGCATCCAGCGCCCTGATGTTGGCCATGGCCCTGCTGAAGGCCGAGGCCCAGCACCTCAGCGACCGCGAGGAAGCAGTCTTCCCCCGATACTTTTTCTCCGACATTGTCGCCAGCCTCCTCGAATCCCCTATCGGCCAGTTACGCGAACAGTTTTCAGAGAAGTTCGTTGACGAATACCACGACATTCGCTTCTACACGTTCGAGGCCATCAGGTAAGGCTCCCCGTTAGCCACCTTGGCCGTTCAGGCCGTACTGACAGTAACAGGACATACCTGACGGAGCGAGAAGATGCTGTCGACGAGGATATTCAGATTACCGTTTTCGACATGCTGATCAGCATAGAGAATGTACCGGAGTCGAGCGAGGACCTGACGGATTTTTACATCGAGCCACCCCAGAAAAAGAAACATCCGCTCCGCTCTCTGTCGCAACATAAGAAGCAGGCCCAACAAGCGTGGTTGGCTCTCATGCACCTGGGCCTGAGCAAGGAGCAAAGGAAAAAGGTCCTGGACGTCATGGCAGCCTCCATTGCCCCCTGGTTCACCCAGCCGGAACTGCTTATGGACTTCTTGACCGACTGTTACAACTCGGGCGGCTCCATCTCGCTTCTCGCGCTTTCAGGCGTTTTCTACCTGATCCAGGAGCGCAACCTCGACTACCCAGAGTTCTACACCAAGCTCTACTCGCTGCTCGATGCCGACATCCTCCACTCCAAGTACCGGTCTCGCTTCTTCCGGCTGCTCGACACCTTTCTCGGCTCGTCTCACTTGCCCGCCGTGCTCGTGGCGAGCTTCATCAAGCGCCTAGCACGGCTAGCACTCAATGCTCCACCGAGCGCCATTGTCGTCATCGTGCCATGGTTTTACAATCTCTTCAAGAGGCATCCTCTTACAACCTTCATGATGCACCGCGTCCCTAGGACTAAGGAGGAGAGAGACTTGCTGGAGAGCGAAGGTCTGGAAGACCCCTTCTTGCCGGACGAGAGAGACCCTATGGAGACGCGGGCCATCGACAGCTGTCTTTGGGAGATTGTTCAGCTGCAATCCCATTACCATCCCAACGTCGCCACCATCGCCAAGATCATCTCGGAGCAGTTCACTAAGCAGGCGTACAGCCTGGAGGATTTCCTGGACCATTCTTATGGCAGTGTAAGTGTATAGTTTCCAGATTATTCCTGAGTTTCGCTGACCCTGTCTCAGCTCATCGAAGCCGAGATGACCAAGGAAGTCAAGAAGCCACCTGTTGTCGAGTACATGATCCCCAAGAGAATTTTTACCAAGGCCGGGCCAGTCCCGGAGGAGAACGACAGCCTCCTTGTCAACCTTTGGGATTTTGGCTCGTCATGAGCCTTCTCACTCATGCACGTCACCGAATTCGATCACGCAGCGAAATTTGGATGCTGTCGTCCAATCTCCCTGAACACCTTCACCTTGTGACGCCGGCTTCAAACACGCATGGCCGGCATGTGCTTTCTTGACACCTCCCTTTCGAATTCACTCCAGAGCATGCATGTCATCCAGCTTGAGACACGGGCAGGCGCCGTTCCCCCGCGGACACCAGCCGACTGCCGCTTCCGACAGTGCATCTACGCGTTTAGTGTAGGGAATACAAATGGCGCGGCCTCTCGTCACGGTGGCATCTGGAGTGACTCATATTCAGCTACAGGGAGGCTCGGGAGGAGATGATACCCCACTGGATAAACTCTTACGCACCCGGTGACACCTTCGAGCATCTCACTGATCCGCTGCATGATCGCCCACACCTCACTTGCTTTCTGGCATATGTGGTGGAGCCGTGGCACCAGGCAACAGGGCCCGTTTCAGGACCATAGGTAGGCCGGGCTAGACTGTGTAGCCCTGTGTATCGAATTGGTTTCACGGACAGTCACGCAGATCTGGGGTTCAGGATTGTCCCCATCCCAAACTAGATCTCTATTACAGGCCGAGTATGTTGATGCTCCACATCAAGGGGCTGTTCCATCACTTTGAGGAGCCGCGCAACCAGAGAATACAATGTGTTACAAACCAGCCTTGTCATGGTGTCCACCTTGCCTCACTCCCTTGTCACGTGATATGATATAACTTCGAAGTTTGATGGCAGTGACTCCCCTTGTTCCGTGTTTGCAAATTCAGGAAACGCCGAGCCTGGCCTGGCCTGGAATGCATGCACCTCCAAAGAGCCGGGATTTGCTTGCATGTGCATGTTAGTTTCTTCTCACTCCGCCAATTGAGCAGAGCCTCCTTCATGATGCCTGTTCATAAGTATGAGGGCAGTGCCGGCATTGTTGGGTATACTCCCACTCGCTCGCCAGCCCGTTGCTACTGCGCCTCCATAAACTCTACTGTCTATTCTTTCCTGCTCCAACCTCTAGGCCTTGAGCCCTTGCCACTCCTTACTGCTAGTCCCAGTCACTCTCCCTCTCTGCATGTGCGTAACCTCGCGTCGTGACGCCACACGTACCACCAGTAATGGATGGCATTCCGATCCCGCCCCCATAGACCTGGGGACGAAGACACTGACGCCCAAAGGAAGCCAACAAGCTTCCTTATTTCACGAGACTTCACTGTAGCTACCGGGGAAGGGGTTCATCAGGCATCGATCCCATGTCATCCGTCTCCTGTTCTAGCAAACACACAGTGCACCATTCGGGTAGCAGCCAACAGGATGGTCATTCCACCCGACTCATGCCCGGTCCGTTTCAGTGAAGGTATGATGCTGACTCCAAGATCAGGAATATAGGGATTGTAGAGGCGGAAGAACGAGAACAGGAATACGCTATACACGAAAGGAAGGGCGGGGACAGCTGTTCTCTACCCAACTACTTTCGTCCCTCCCAGTTTTACTCCTTCGGGAATGTACGGATTGTGCAATTGTTTCTCAATGCCCCAAAGACCGCTACAGTAGTCCAGAGGCACAGGAGTCTGCCGCTGTCTTCCTTCAGTGTTGATTGTTGCCTCAAGATTTGCCGCACTTACTGTCTGTCGCGTACCATGCAGAAGGGGAGCCGCAGTCTCCCAGGAGAAACTCATCACTATCATCAAAGATATAGAGATACACAGAGATAGCAAGAGATAGAGGAACAAACCCACCAAGCGCACCTCATCCGAACGAGTCCGTAGGGATCCCTCCGTCCCCATGTTCTGTTTTCACACCGCTCTCTGCTTCACTTGTCTTGCGTTTGCCTGTCTGCTCCACCCCGTCTCCGTCCGGGCCATATCCTTCCGCTCCGGTGCAGGCGTCCGGGAGACTCGCCTGTCTTGGCGGGCCGGGACGGCGACCGACGACAGGTTGAGGAGGCTGGGTTGGTTGAACATAGAGGCACGTGACATGGTCGATCGGACCATACATGCTTTCTCTTCGGTTGACCGAGCAAAACGTTAGTTAACCAGGGCGTTGAGGGAGGGACCAGCGCCATCTCAACCTTCACAAGTCACTCCCCATCTTTCGCCAAGGTGATATCTAGTGCCCACGGCATCTCCCGGCGAAAAGACGGATCGGATCTTGAAATCCATGCTGATCAGCGGTAGGGAGTCCACAGTAGGCCCAAGCCCGAATCGGAGCCCGGTGATACCAAGTGTCGGCTCCCCGGTCTGGGTAGGGTGTGTAAGTCCATGATGTTGAGAACAAGGGAAGGGAACAAAAAATAACGACATAAAGCAAGATCTGCACTGCAGTCAAAACGATCCTCGGGAACTCTTCGCTTCGGCCCTAACTAGGATTGAACTGGTCCAGTTGCGGACTGGCTACACCGTCCATCCACCGCCAAACTGTACCGTTTTGGCAGCGGAAAGGCCTACTGTTAAGGCAGTTCACAACTGGACCGGTCAATCCTATTCAGCGCCTTCATGGGTGCAAAACGCCGCCCAGTTCCGGTGCGGGTTCCGGATCTTCTTCACCGCTAGTTGCTTCCGACCCACGGGGTTCGTTTCAACGAGACTGAAAATTCGGAGCAATATGATGACCTGGTGAAAAATCCGCTCCGTTTGTCTGCCGTTCTCTGGAACAATTCGGAGGTGGAACGGTTGCAGCAGAGGATACACATGATGGATTCAACTAGGTAGCCCGCAACTCGATCTCACTGTCCGGCCGGTGTTGTAGTAGGCGATGCTTTCGTTCCTCCCAACGTCAATACTGGAGGCATCGCTTCTTCGAAATCAGACTCCCCGAGGGTCCACATGGCATGGAGCGAACTATGACGGGGACCACAGAAGGCAACACCGCTGCTTACACAGTACACGGCGTCAGCGAGGTGCGTCTTAAACGCCCCAACGCTGCACTTGAGCTGCATGTTGCACGTTGAGAAGCTACAGCTTGCCGCCAAGCAGGGCGGATCATGGCTTTGATGGCGGCTCCATCGCTTCGAAATCAGGTGCATTTCCCGCCTGCGCCGCTGCAGACCCACTGGATCGCGAGACGATCAACCCAAACTTCCGGATCGAGGCGCCAAACCCGGTCTCATGAAACGTGTTGGCTCTGACGACCGCGTCATGTCGCTCTGCTCTTTTGAGTTCACCGCCGAGGAAAAGTTCTTGATTGCCTGGTTTGGGGTGCTCACCGTCTCCAAGCATGACGGTGATCTCCCCGTGGCGGGCACGAGAGTCGACATTCTAGGCAGGCCATGTGATACCGAGATAGGCTCACAGAGTGCAAACCAGCCCATGAGGGAAAGTCAACTCACCACAAGGTATGCCATCCTTCTCGTAATGCCTGTGGGATAGTAATCCAGCTTGGGCCACCTCCATGAGTCTTCTGGACTCCAGACGTTGTTGAGTCGTGCGACTGGGTGCAGCGGGGAGGACGGTTGTTCCTGAGAGAACGAGCGCAAGTATGAGTCAGTCAGGCGGCACACGGGGTAACCTTCGGATCAGTCACCGTTAGGAATATTTCCTAAGGTCCCTAGCGAAGCCATCCTACAAAGAGCATGTGGGTGTGCCGAGGCGCTGCTGGAGCAAGCGTAATGGTAAACTGTGCCGTTGGGCAGGGAGCCGACACTTTTAGATCGATCCAAGTCGCAGCCCAGGTAATCGAACCGACGAATGGACGACATCCTGGGCGCAAAGGATGTCTGACTCCCGGGCTGTGGTATCCCGGTGCCTTCCTCGGTAAACTTATTGTGACATGCGAGTTCCGGAGAAGTCCAGGTGCGAAACTCGGGCACCAGAAAACGCTCTCAGTTCGATACTGGAGTTGAAAAACATCTACTGCCAGTACCGTGAACATGAGAGACTCCCACGTGCAGTTGCGGTTGTTTGAATTCTAGGTGAGGAGACTTTCCCAGAGAACCGGAACCACGGCGTCAGGGGTGGCTAACTCCATCTGGTTCGGGGAACGCAAGGAGGTCGGGACCGTTCTTTGCGGTACGATGCACAGCAGCCTCAAGACAATGATTGGTGGTAGCCTGTATGTCAGGTCTGTGGGATGGCCCTACCATGAAGCCTCGTCCGGGAAGTCTGGCCCTAGCATCAAAAAGACGACAGGGCGTGATAATTTCGCCGTATTTGCGGTCACGGAAGCAGCCACTGGCAGACTGGAATGTCCAGTGTTTCGGATGCTGGACCCTATTTTGGAGCCAGCAGAGTTGGGGAAATCACAGCGCATAGGGCGGTACGTCCGTACTAGCTGCCCAAAAGGCGTTCCTCTCCTGTTTGGAGCTTAGCTCGTCCTTCAAGGTCCATCCTGATTCCAGCGACGTGAGGTGAATGGTCGCCGGTATCAATGGGCGCGAGCTCCGGCCAGACGAGTCGTTGACAGCTGACCGCCGCGAGGCAGAGAAAGCCGGGAATGGGGCCAGTCCTGCCCCTGGCGAGTGCTCGGGCGATCTGCTTGGCACCGGTTCGCGATCCGATGAGACGCGTTCCTTCGTGTGTCAGAGAACAGAAACACACCGACTCTTTGTGTTGGGTAGGGAGGAAGGTAGCGCGGGCTTTGTTTGGGTTTCGATGGAGGGGGGCCTTGAATATGCGGCCAGGTGCGCAGACCAAGTCTGGGCAGGCACGGCGAATGGCCAGCAGCCGTCCAAGGAGCTGCAAGCGCTCCGTTCTCCGTTCATCGGTTGGCGTGCGACGGGCGGCCCGGCGGAAGAGAGTGAAGCGAGTGGAGCTGGAAAGGTCCCAGCCACCGCATATTTATTCTCTCCTGGCGCGTTTGAACTTTCACTGTTGGTGGATGGATGAGCGAGTTCGTAGGGAGTTCTCCATAGGGAGATGCGCAGGTAGTCAGAAATAGGTGGGAAAGCCGCAAGGGGTTTAAAGAAAAAGCAAACAAATGCAACAAATGGACAAGCAACAAATGGATACAGAGGCTGTTGTTTCAGACGAGCTCTGGAAAAGCGTTTAATGTTGTGTTGCGGCGTGGGAGCACTTTGACGCAGCCAGATGACAGCTTCTGGGAGATCTGGGAAAGGCACAGCAAGTCCACACAGATAGGAAGGAACCGGGAAGTGGTGCAGCACCATCACGTGATCTGGCCACCTAGGAACGTGGTTCGAAGCTTTGGCCTGTCGTAATGATCTGACCCATCCGTTGCATCCATTGTCCGTTGTTTGTCGGTCCGTCCCCGTCTATCTAAGGTACATTAGCGTTGTTTCTAAGCCCTTTCCAGGTTAACGACATTTTCAAACTGGTGCTGCTGGCGACATCACTAACCGGTTAAGGAATAACGTTACAGTAGAGACAATGTTCGCAGTCTGAATTGCGGCCCTCGGTTGTTCGGTTCCAGGTCACGACACCGTCAACAGTCTTCATGACACACCGTCCACAGGTCATGTTGCCCGCAGGACCCAAACGGGTTCTCGAGCACGCTCTCAAAGCCATCACCCCACTCGGACGTTGAGGGCTGCGCAAATGGAGCCGCATCATCGGAGAGTGGCTGGTTGTAGGTTCGCACAGCGACAAACATACGGGGGTTCATTCTCCTCGGCCTCGTCCACTGCTGCTCGCTGCTCACGGGGCTCAACTGTGCCCTAGCCCCCTCCTCGCTGGGGGGTGGGAGCTGCACGAGTCTGCCGCAGGCTACTGGCTTGAAGCCTGCCTTTGGGTATCGATGCCCCCAACTCCCATTTCTGCCCAACCTGCCGGGGCGGTCACCCACGACCACTCCTCCTCCCAAGCCCAATCATGAGGGCAGCAAACCTCAGCAGCCCTCGGTCCTGTGCACGCACTTCGTCGCCCACCCCTGCTTGGTACTCAGCTCTCTCTTTCTTGACTGCCTGCTATCAACGGGCGCTCCAAGGACACCCAGCGTGGATGCATCAACACCAGCTCTGGTCATCCCGCAACGGCACCTCTAACTCCTTGCCCTCCCCCCCCCCCCTCTCCTGGGGCCCCCGGAGAGCAGCCGATCACGATCATTGATTCAATCTCAGGGCTCCCATTCGCATGCCCAAGGCCTCTTTTGCCAAAACCTACCAGCGTGATAGTCCGCGGCAACATCATGACGATTCCCATTGGGAAGTCATCGTGGCACGATGCCCATCCGTGAAGCTCTCCTGAGGGCTCTTCGTACCGCCTTCAGGTACCTAATCCGTCTCAAGAAGTCCTCCTTTTCAACGGAAATACCTAGTCAAACAGCCGCTCAAGGCGCGCACACAAGGCGTTTTTCGATACAGACCCAATCTCAGGTTGAGCCTCGCCCTCTCAAACCCAACCCACCAACGTTGACATAATCTGCCGCCTGTTCGGGGCTGGGCCTCACTGCTCATCCGACGTCTCTCATCTTCTCTCGGGTGACCAGAAAAGGACACTGAGACCTTCCTTGGCCGCTCAAATCGGATGTCTGGTCACACCCCCATGCCAAGCCGAAACCCCACCCCTCCCGCCCCCGAGCAGAGAAGACCTTCCGCAACATGCTTTGAGGTACCACCACCCGGCCGCAGTCCCATGAGACCGCTCCTCTTGGATTGGGCAAGCCTCGGATGTACACCCGTTTTCGTAAGGGTATCTTGTAGACGCCGCCCTGATCAAGGCCGTACTACAAAACGTAGAAAGAGGAGCGAGCATCCCATGCTGACCTCCATCTGTCCACAATCAGAGCCCTTGCCATTGTACGCCGACCACTTTTATCTTCGACAGAAGCAGCATTAAGACTGCTTGGCTGAAGAAGACTTTGTTCATCAATTCCACACGAGGTGCTTTACCGCAGTACATATTGTCTCTTGAAGCTCCCTAACCCACTCACCTCTCATCTCACAACCGACTCCCACCACATCCGGGCTGTGGTTTGCATAACTACCCCTCCTTCCAGAAGACGTCCGCGTTGTACGACTTGCGCCTAAAAGAGTGTTAGGTAGGTATTTTGCTCTCCGCTTCCCTTGTTTAAAAGCCCTGCCCCTGCCTCCCACACTCCCGTCCAGTGCTTCCCCCACCCACTAGGCCTCTTGTCAACCAACTTGCAACACTTCAAGTCTTCGTCCACATCACCCAGTCTTGGTTCTCTATATCCATCAGTACCTTGAGCAACAACACCGCAATCCCTTACATCAGCGTTCTGCTGAAGGGTATGCGCTCCTTTCTTGTGGCTTTTTTATTTTCCATCTACCCGTCCTCCCCTGCACGCTCACCCCCGGTCACTCCCAGAATAAAAAAGCCCTCACCGCTCCGTTACGAGCTCAACCACTAACACACATAACAGCTACAACCCGCACATTTTTCAGCGGAAAATCAACCTTCACACACGCCTCACATATACACACATACACACACAGTGGCCCATCATGGTATCAGCATTCCAGATGCAGTCCTTCTACAGGTCACCATTAACGGTCGACACCACAAACGCCCAGAAATTCTTCGAGGAGGAGGACGCGAGCATACTAGACGAAAACATCCTTGAGCAGAGCGCACTTGACTCGGGTTTGGAGATGTCGCCGCCCATGTTGGAGAGCCGGAGGGACTCATTTGCCGTCCCCCCATCGCTCTTCTCACCAAAAACCGAGGATTGGCACTCGGGGGAGATGCAGTCGGTCCCGTCAAACAACCCCTTCTTCGACCAACACAGCAACAACCCTTTCCTGCGGATGGATCAGAGCCAGCAAGCGGCATATCAGAGCCACGCATGGCCCATGACCAGCTCTGGGTCCGCAACTCCCCAGCTTCAGGCCTTCGACGGCCTGCCTGTAGAGTACGACTCAACCAACCACGCCATGTTCCACCGGCAACCCACCATGCAGACTCCCACACCTTTCGCCGCGCCTCCCAATCCCGTCACCATGTTCCAGCAGATTGGCCATGCCGCTCCCTCGTCAATCCCCACCTCACCCCAAAAGGATGCCTGGATGGCTCGAGATCCCAAAGCGCAAGCCATGAAAAGGCCGCATCCCGGCAGCCCCCTGATCCGGTCGCACAATGAGCTCAGGCGGGGTGACGGCATCCGCAAGAAGAATGCCCGCTTCGAGATCCCTGCCGAGCGCAACCTCAGCAATATCGACCAGCTGATCGCCCTGTCCACGGACGAGCAGGAGATCAAGGAGCTCAAGCAACAGAAGCGCCTGCTGCGCAACAGACAAGCCGCGTAAGTTGTAGCCCGTCAGTCACAGTCTTAACAGCGAATCTCATCTAACCATGCCATAGCCTTGACTCGAGACAGCGCAAGAAGCAGCACACTGAACGGCTCGAGGATGAGAAGAAGCAGTTCACCGAGATCATCGGCAACCTGGAAGACACCATCGCCAGGATGGAGAGAGAGATGCAGAAACTCGTCCTCGAGAAGCAGAACTGCGAGTCGTACATTCACGATCTCGAGAGGAAGCAGGAAGACATAATCAGCAGGCACACCATCGAGACAGGCGAGCTGCGGAAGAAGATCAGCGTCCTGACCAACGAAGTGCAGTCCATGGGCCGTGCCGCCACCACCGCGCCGGGTTTTCCCGGTGCTTTTAGCGAGATGGACGGCATCGCCATGGACTGCTCCTGGGATAACATGCCGATGTTCGGCGACTTCCCCATGGAGCAGCCCACTCCCCAGGTCAAGCAGGAGCTGCAGATCGTTCCCACGGCCAAGAAGTCCGAGGGTGTCGCTCTGCCGACCGCCGACTCCGAGAAGCCTGCCCAACAAGGCGGATTCCTCTTCATGCTCTTCCTCGTCGGCGCTTTTGTGCTCTCCAGCCGGTCGTCGACGCCCAGCATCCCGCGCGTCTCGGAGGATGTCCGCGCCGCGTCCGCGACTCTCCTGGAGAACGTGCTCAAGGATGCCGGCGTTTCGCAGGGTCCCTCGGGCCTCCAGGCCCTGGCTTCCCAGCCCTCGGGCACCGCTCACTGGGCCCAGGCGTCTCAGCCGCCTCTGTCCATGGCCGCGCCGATGGTCGACAACGTCGCCCCGTCGGTGTTGGGTAAGATGGCGGACGCCCTGACGCAGCCGACCGAGCAACAGACCAACGAGCAGATCTTCTCGCTGTCAGCCGCGCAGTATAATGACCTGACCTCGCAAGATTTCCTCCAGGCTCCTCCCCCGGCCGAAAGGTCGATGAGCCAAGGGAGACGCAATCTCGCCGAGGCCCTGGCCAGCATGCGCAGCTCGACCAAGCAGCAGTCTGCCGCCGAGGTCTACACCCGATCGCTGCTTTGGGACCAGATCCCGAGCGACGTCGTCCGGACCTTTGCCAGGATGGTCGCGGAGAGTAACAACGCCGCGACCGTCGTCGGCGAGGACAAGGCGTCGTCGTCCTGTGCTTAATGACCCGTTGACGACCTGTTATGACCAACGACAACTACGATCATGACCACAAACGTCTCGAATCATGATTCCCACGAACGCGACAGCATGGACATCAGAGGAGGCATGCAACAGAACTCCAGCGTTTTTCTGTTCTCTTCTCCTTCCGTTTCTTAACTTTTCTTTGGACACGATACACTTGATCCGTCCCGCGACCACACCAGACATCGGCAGCTCACGCACCGGAAGTTTGTTGCTTCTTTGCGACCCCTGTACTGGGACACAGGGGTCGCCCGCCGCTTTCTCATCTCGGGTTGGCATTGTTACTCTATGGGTTGTCATTTATGAGAACTTAGCAAGCGAGCATTTGGATTTTGTTGTTGGCTTTTTGATTTCGATAATTTGGCGCATCTCGACTCTAATCTTGTGTTTTCTCTCTACTCTTTTGGCGCTGGGCATCGGAAATGGGTAGGGTTCTGGGCATTGCCTTGCTGCGAGATCGGCGGGTTTTAGGGGCTGGCAACGGCGAAACATGGCGGGTTTGGGGTTTGCATTGTTTTTTTGAGAACAGAAGACCTTCTTTGGACTGGCGACAGCGGTGAACACCAGGGCCCTCGGGTCGCCGCTTCTCTTCTTCTCACCTCTGTCCAGTCCTGAGAGAAGCATGGCTGGGTGGCTTGTCTTGCTCGCGAGCGGAGAAATCTCTCGTCGACACACAGACAGGCACCGACCGCGCTTGATCAACTTGGGCATTGGGAATTATGGAAAGGGGGATTCTACAACCATGTCATGCAGCCTGCGTCTACCGTCGCGGGGAGGAAGAGCCCAGCGTTGGGAAGGGCAGCTGCGACACCCACATGTCTGACGACAACCCCTTTCCTTTGTTCACCACCACCACGACGCTCATTACGCGATTCGATTCACGGCTACCTTCTCCATTGAATGGAAGCCCCATCCAGAGGGATACTTGGGGCAGGTGATAATCCGGCTGCGGCATCGCCGACATGGCGCGATCTCCGCTGTGATACCCACCCTCGATCTTGTCTTCCCCGATAATTTTTTTCAGCACCATCGCCGACCTGCGCTCACGCAACGCACGGTCTGAGCAAGAAATGTGTTCTTATAAACATTGAGAACAACCAACGCCAACCGGACATCACACGACGGACGGATCTGAAGGGGGACCTTGCACACCCCGGCAGGAAGGGCTTGGAACAGCCTGTTGACTCTTGCTCTCGACATTCATTCGCATATACTTCTGGAATCATTCCCCCAACGATCTTTGTAGCTAGGCTAGGCAGCACAGAACCGGGGCTGAAATTGAAAACGATACTTTTTGTTGTGGAAGTCTTCATCACCTGCACTTACATGCAAGCAAGGTACCTGCACTTGCGTCTGATTTACAATGCTTTGGAAGGGTGATATCGATGTTATGCACAGCTGAACAGACGCTTCAGGAGTTGTAAATGGGAGGATCAGCATTGCCACTAGGACAAGGTGACTTGGTACATAACGGGGTGATGGTTTCAATAGAGGCAGGTCTGGTATTTTCCCATACTTGAGCCAGTGGGCTTGCTTAGACGGGCAAATGGAGGAAACTCTGCGTTGGGTTGTGTACCCTGGCGCGGTGTGTGTCGGCAGCGTGGTCATTCTCGAGCATGCTACTACCTCTGATGACGGTGTACTGGCCCGCTGGCTTGGTGGACGGGGCAATTTTGGATCCACAGTTTGGACTGGCTCTCTCAAGGTCCTCTCGTGTGCTCATATTGCGGGGCAATGATGCAGCCAGGCACAATCATTCCCACCAACCGGCCACCTCGGAAGACACACATGCCTCTCGCCATGCATGACAGCTCACCGCTCACGAGGCCCCCGACCATCACCACCACCACCAATATTCCGCACCCAGCATCTTGGGTTAGGCTCACCATCATACCATGCCATCCATACCACATTGACGCATCGTTACATAAGAGACATAGTACAAGTTCACGGTATCTGGGTTCAACCTCGGGACCGAGGCTCGCCCTTGCTAGTATGCTCCCATTTTGAAGATACATAATGCCACCATCAGAACACCAGATCAGGGCAGGAGACTACCTATCCTCAGGTACTACTCTAATAGAGTTAAAAAAGAGGTCTGAGGACGCACAGTTGACGGGTTGTTTTTGTTCTTCCTTGCTCTAAGTTCTTCGGGGATATGGCCCGATCCGAGATGCCGGGCCGGTTCCAAGGCTTCGGTGTGGGTTTCGGGTGTGGGCTTCGGGTGTGAAACTTGTTTTGAACTTCCGTACGGTATGCAAACCATGTGTGAGTCGGGTGGTTTGGATGATTGGTTGATGGGATGGGTTGCGTGTGAAAGGGAGCTGGGGGTTGATTTGGTTGCTGATGAAGGGACTTGAGATTTGACTGCCGGTATCTAAGATGTCGTCTTCATCGTGGACCATGATCGCTTGTCAGCGTTGTGCTGTTCTGGCAGTTAGCCATTACGATTCAAACCAGCATCATCTATCCTGCCACTGTTTCAGTTATGTTAACTCCTCATCAAGCCGCGGGACCAGACGGCATGGCCAGGAGCATCCATTCCGGAGCACAGCAGTCATGCTGGAACATTCCGGAATACAGTTGTCGAGTACCACATAATTCCAGCAAGCAAGTAGACCAGTGAAACGCTGCAATATGAGCTCACTGTGGTACCGCAGGACTGTTGTGCAACTTGATCGATGGAAGACCCAGAGTGCTGTTGCTCGAAATCCTAGCCTTATATCTTCCGTCTCCAGAGATCTGGAAGGGGTTTCAAGGCTCGAGAAAAGCATTCATCCCATCTTGCAACAGTTGCTGGTTGTCAGGGCTGCGCCTCGACTGGACTGAATCAACCGGCGGCGGAGGGAGCCCCTGAGCTTCTGGCTGGCTTATTCTTGTGGTGAGTCGCCTAGCTCTGTACCCTGCCTAAGAAGCAGGCACCCGGTTTCCCCTGTCTTCCCCGGTTTTGTCACACGGAATGCTCGTAACACGTTAGTTCGGTCGTCAGTCAAGGGTAACTTCTGAGACTTCATCACATGCATACGAGGCATGTGTAGTCCAGCTCTGCTTTTGCCCATCCTCGCTCAGTCCGCTTCAAGGGAGGACAGTGTGACAGAGGGTTAATTTCGTCTATGCAGACGAGATACACAACTCACCTAAGTATCATATGAACATGGTCCGATGAGCGGCATCAACAACTCTCTTCCCGAATGAAGCCTGGATTATGCACCATAGCAGGCAGAAGACCAGTCTGTTGACCGTACAGCGGCGGTTTTGGAAGTCTAGGGTTTAACAATGTCCCTTCGCCGGAGCATCGCGAGCCGGAAGGAACGGCGGAACCCTTGGTTTCAGACAAAGAAATTGATTGAGAGAGGAAGGAGCCTGACCCAATTCAAAAGGTCCCATCTCAGATATGGGGAGAGGTAATGCCAGGTGGCCGAGACTGTAGCTGGGAGAGCATGTTGAGAGGCGTACACACAAAACCCAGCAACCATTCCTCGCGGCGCCTGACCCAAGCAGGTACTTACGGCACGAAGACAATGCGATAATCGATACTCGCTATCCAAAGCCTTAACTCCAAGAAAGACGCCAGCTATCGTCCGAATCGAAAAGGTCGCTGCCAACCCAATCGCACGCTCCCGCCTCCATCCAAAGGGGAATCGGAACTTCATGTTATGTTGAGACTAAGCCGGAGGCAGGAAGGGAAGGCAAGCAGATGCTACTTCTTCGCGTTCTCTGGATCGTACTTTTCCTTCCAGATCCTATCCCACCAAGCCCCGACACAAACTTCGATCAGCCACGACTCCGCAACGCAGGGACAACATACCAGTGTCGAGATGAGAAAAACCGACGCAAAACAAAAAAAGAAAAAAAAGCGCACACAAATTGGTTCGTCCGCAGCAGATACGCGAGAGCAGGAGACGCAACCGACCGCAAACATACACCACCCCACCCGCATCAGCTCGACTCGGCTCAACGCAGGCCAGCCCAATCGGAACGAAACGTCCAAACCGAGTCAAGTTGAGGCCAGACTGGGCCTCGACTGGGCCGGCCTCCCAACCAGACGAGGCCGCAGTAGCGGGTCGCAGCTGTTTCGTCCGCTGGCAAGCTCACTGGAGCGGCTGACCCAGCCTGAGCGAGGCCAGGAGGCGAGCAGGAACCGAAAAACATAAAAAGAGCTAGGCGGAGCAATAGGAAGGGAGGAGAAACCAAGAAACAGGGCGAGCAGGAGAAAAGTGGGCGCGCAGCCAATCGACCACCTGTCATGCATAACCCCCCCTTGCACAAAGAAGCAAGTTTATCTGGTGCTTGGAGACAGGCAACCAAGGAACCGAGAGAAAGGAAGCCGATTCACTTACCAAGAATTCCCAATGATCTTGTTCCCATTTTTCTCCGCCAGGCGATAGTACTTAGCTGCTGCGAACTTTTGCGGGTCAGTAGCCAGCCTGATGTGACAGGTCGGGAAAAAATGGGGGTAGTGGGTGGTTCGGGCCCGTGGTTCGTTGATATGGTCCGAAGCCCGTTGATGCCCAACCGTTCCGGATATAGCAGTAGTATCCAGGCGGACGGTATCAGTGATGCTCAGGGAAGTATCCCCCGGTGAAATTCGTGCCGTTGGCCGAACAACTGGCTGGTGAAACCTGTCCCTGGTGTTGCGTTTGACGGCATCAGACGATGAATGTTTGGAGAGAACCGACCTTGTCTTTCTTCGTTCCGAATCCTTCGAGATAGCACCACGCCACTTCGTTCATGGCGTCTGCAGTGGTGGGTTAGCGCTGCGTAGGGCCAAATGTGGGCTGAGAACGTACCAGTGTCTCCGAGGTTCGCTGCCGTCTCGTAGTACTGGCGGATCTGTGTCAGTCATGGATCCCCAAGTCACCTTTACCATGTACAACCGGTATTTCCTTGAGGAAAAACGCACCTGCTTGGCGGCAATTGGGTCTTTGGGGATTCCCCATCCGTGGCGAAAGCAATTGGCCAATTCGAAGATGGCCAGGACGAGCTCGCCCTTAGCGGCGCCGCCCTTCTTGAGCCCTGCCTGCAGCGCGAGATGCTCGATGTCGGCGGCATTGGAGGCTGCTGCCGAGAGGTAGGTCACGGCCTTGGCTGTGTCTGGCTGACAACCCCATCCGTGCCTGAACTCTGCGTTAGTATCAATGTGACGATGGCCGTTGGGTAACCCCACGCCTGCGTGGCAGTCCCGGCCGCCGTTGGGTGTATTTCGGCAAGAACGCACCCACGCCGGCGTGATCGAAACGCATGAGGCTCATGGTGTGAGACTCTTGACGAGCGAGTTGGACATACCTCAGCGCGAGACCGTACAAGACCTGGCTCAAGGGGTTATTGGCTCCTTTGGGGTCTGCTAGCTTTCCGAAGAGGGCTGTCGACTCCTCCAGCCTTCCCTCCTCATGCAGCCTGATCGCCTCCTGGATATTTTCGTCAATCTCTTTCGAGGACACAGCCTTGTCCTGCAGAGCCGGGGAGCCGTCCCGCGGCGAGTCGCCCAACCGCAGCTGGGGAATGATAGGAGGAGCAAAGCCGTGCACGGGGGTGCCGGGGCGGCTACGGTTCTTCTCGTTCTCGCGGGCCAGAAGAGTGGCGCGCTTCTCCCACTGCGACTCTGCGCCGTCCTTGTCCTCGTCTGGCCCGATCTCGGGCAGGTCTTGGGGCACGTTCTCGGAGCTGGAGGGGCTGCGGCTCAGGTGCAGGCGCTGCGACAGGCGCTTGTGTCCCGCGCTCTTGTTACTCGACGCCGAGGCGCTCCGGCTGCGGCCGCTCCGGAAGACATCGAGGCTGCGGCGCTGCTTGGTGTCGGACGCGAGGTCGGCGGACAGGAACTGGCCGGGCTCTCGGTGGCCGTCTGCACTCGGAGGGTGAATGACTTCGACGCTGTGGGTATCTGTGCGAATGAAGGTAAATTCGGGGTTGGAGGTACCGGCGCCGGCCTCGGCGTCTGAGTCCGGCTTCTTCCTCAACTTGTCGCGGAGGCCCATGGTTGCTGGGGTTGCTTCGGCGGGGTACCGTAGAGAGGAGGATGGTTTTTGGCCGGGGTCGAATCGACAAGCGCTCGGATTGCACAAGGCAACAAAGGGGTGCAGAGAAGAATGTAGAGAGATATCCGTGGGGTTAACTACGATAACGGTTGAGGACAGCAACTCATGCGTCCTGTCGCAGTCGACGCCATTTTAAGGGGCCGTCAGCTCGACGGCGACGCGTACTGGAGACTGCATGTGCCGTCTCGGAGGGACATGGTTCGGGGCCGGAGCGGGGCAGTGCCTGTTCAGCTGTGGCGCTTTTGATTGCCCGTCGACTCCATTACTCCGCACCCCGACATGTCCTCGACAACTCGAGACATTGTATCGAATTGATTCAAAAACACTAGACGACTTGATGCACAATGGACTCGGAACCCAAAGGAGTTGGAATGCATTTTGGAAGAAGCAACTCTTGATAGACATTAGCTAGGGAACTTCCTCTGATGGTTCCCGCGGCCCGCCATAACACGGAAACCGTTGAGGTTTAGTGCTCTGTAGATGATTGGGCCGCTCGTTGATCGTCTTGGCCCGGATCACGGCCCACCAGCGTCGCGCGGCACGAAGAGTGGAACACGGAGCCGAGCGCGATTCGACATTCATGGCCGAAAGGTCAAGAACCTCCAAAGCCAAACCGGAATCTGGACCGCAACCCGGACAGGATGGCCCCTTCGGCTCCGCCGCCGCCGCGAGTACGGCTGACCAAGTCGGGCCGCCCCTGGAAACGAATGGGCCCGGCGCCGAAACCGCTGGCAGAGCGATTGAAGAACAGAGGGTTGAAGGAGGTCAAGCGCGTCGAGCGCAGTTATACCCGCGAGCGCAAGATTGAGGTGCTGCTGTGGCTCCTCAACCACCGGGTCGAGGATGTGCGCGGCCACAGGCCCCGTCGCCGCATCGGCGATCCTATCGAGATGGAAGTCGCCAACCCGGGCACCGAGGAGGCCCTCAATGGCGTCCTGATCTGGAACCGCGCCCCCACCTACGCCGAGGCCTCGCAGTACTGGAAAATTCCCGTCCCGACCATTCAAGGATGGTGGGATGCCCGCAAGAAAATCCTCGACGGGACCGGCGTCGAGCTGCCCGAGGTTGGCCGCGGCGGTCCCATTACCCTGACACCGGCGCCCCCAGGCGTCGACCCGCATCCAGTATCGACCGCCAAGAGGCTCCGGGGCCCAAGTAACAAGAACAACGGGGAGCAGCAGCACGGGCAGCGTGCTGCGTCTTCGACAGAACAATCCGTGGGCACGCCGGCGACGACCCCAGCGACACCGGCGGCACCGGCTCCCAATGGGGCGTTGTATCCGTCCACACTGAACTGGATGGGGGAAAAGTCGTCTAATGCTTCTGGGACACGTCCTGCTTCTCTTCTCCCAACATCGCCGGCCGGTTCCGGGCAGCCTGCGAACGTGGCATCGCTGGGGCCCCCTGCCGGTCTGCCAGGTCGTCCGCCGGCGGGGAAGTCCAAGAAGTCAGCTGCCCCTGCTCCCCAACTGCCTCGTGGACTTCCTCCTGCTTTCGATCCAGCGAACTATGTCGTCGTCTACATTGGTCCCCAGCCCGGCCCATTGCATGGTCAACACTGCATCCACCCCGGCGCTATTCTGCCAGTGGTACACTCCGGCCAGCCGATAGAAGTGGCCCCAACGAGTTTTGTCTCTGTTTACCCCAGTCATCCTCCGCCGCCCGGCCCCAGGCCTCCACCTCCGCCTCCCAATGCAACATACATTGGAGAAGCCGTGTATCCCGATCCACACGATCCTCCGAATCCTGGCCAGCACCCTCCGCACGGACCCCCCGGCTCAGTTAGGTCCCATCCTCCATCCGGCCAGCCACACCCACCAATACAAGCCCCCGCCCGCTCTAATGGGCATAGACCGCTGTTACCTGCCTATGGACCTGCCGGCTACGTCAGCCCCTACGCCCCGCCGACCTCCGCTGCGGTCGCTCGCCCACCACCACGCCCTATCCCTCGGGCTGTGCAGGCCGGCGATCCGCGGAGGCCACTTGCCCCGACACCCCAAGCTCCCGCATCGGCGAACCAGTCGCCGGCATCGGCAACAAACACCGCACATGGCCAGCTGGCGAGAGACATTACAACGGGTCCACCAGAAGCTCAACAGCAAAATCATGTCGCGCCACCTGGCCAGCAACCGGCTGAGAGCCAACCTCTACCAACAGCAACAGGCACAAAGCCAGCGCCCCCCGCGGCTCTAACAGAGTCGGAGGCTGCAACCCGGCCGGCTAATGAGCAGGAGCCGTCCGCTTCAGGGAATATGGAACCGAACCTGCAGCGGCGGGGGATGGAGCGGCCGGATACGCCTGCGCCCGAGTACCAGGAACCGCCGCCGCCAAGCGCAGAAGACGTGAGCCAATGTCAGGATGCAGTTTCGGCGTCACCGCCTGACATATCCCAGGAAACACCCATGGACACGACCCCGTCCTTCCAAGAGGACACTACAAGCCCATATGCGGAAGACACGGTATACGGGACAGCGGATTCCGCGGAAGTGAATGCAGCAGAATCATCTGGTGAGGATAATCTGACATCCGGTCCTCTGGAGACAGCGGCGCAGACAGATGCCCACGAGGATACGACCATGCCCATGGAGATGGAACGCGATGGCAAAGAGCCAGCTGGAGAAGCGCCGACAGCGGGGTTACAGGGTGAACCGTCAGCAAATGAGGAAGGAGAGGAAAAAGAAACGACTACAACCCCAATGGATATTGACACTGCAGCTGACCAGCTGAACGATGAGTTGACTGATTCCCTTTCTGAGTCGGCCGTGTCAACACCTGCTTCTTGAGGCCTTGGCAATGGAGTCTCGCCAGCGGGCTTCTCCTTCAGCGAGGAGCTGGACTGACGCTTGGCGTGTGATCTGCATAGTGCAAGGTGTTCACAAAGGAGTGGAATATGAGCAAGTATGGTTAGCATTTGGAGTTATGGTAGCAACTGCCTTCCTCCCGGCGTCAACTGGAGTCGGTGGATAGATACCACGGGTTTATTTGGGGTTTCAAGTCAGTGGTTTGTTGACTTCAACAAAAACTCCTGCGGAGCATTGTTAATTTGAACATGATTTATCCTTCTGAAAACACTTTCAGGATGTTTAACGATGTCAGGGGTTTGTTTACTTCAACCATCCACCAGGCAATAATCCTGCCAGCATCCAAGCCTTCCACGCATCGTAGCTATGGAATCTTTTAGTTCGTTAGCGTCACTGCCTGTATCACACCGCGGCGTGCCCTTTAGAGATTGAACAATAGATCGAATCATGACTCCTTGGGGCCCAAACTTCCAGATATGGCTGTTCTTGGCTCTTTCTGCAGGCAGACATGTACTCCAATACAACACCCGAAAATCTCTCAATCCTACACCGCCACCCAACAGCCCCATACATTCCACGCATTCATCTTGCAATGCACACCGCACACTACGAAACATGCACAAAAGCCCTCTTCCTGGTCCCCTGCTCGGCACCATTTTCCGCTTCCCAATTCTCATCCACGTACTCCCTGACGCTCCTCTCCCTGATCTGCATGCCCACGACCCGCAGCGCAGCAATGTTGTAGCCCATCTCGTCCTTCTGCCGCCGCAGCGCCCTCCTCAGATTGGTCCGGATGCCCTCGAGCATGGCGCGCATGGTCCTGCTCGCGACGACCTGCTTGTGGTGCGTCTTGAGCATGAAGAACAAAATGCGACAGGTCAGCGGCACGTTCATCTCGCGCAGGGCGAACAGGTTGAGGAAGGTAAAGAGCATGGGCACGGCCGAGAAGGGGAGGACCAGAAGGGCGTCGTGCAGGGCCGAGGGCTTTATTTTTTGCAGCGTGTTGAGCACGTACGTCTCGGCGGGGATGTTGCCGAGCGCGAGGAAGATTGGGTTGCGCTGCGGCGGAGCGACCGACGGGTTGGACTGCTTGGCTTCTTCCCACTCGCGGAGGGTGTTCAGGTCGGCCATGCCGAGCTCGAGAGCCTCGGCGATACGCTCGCCTGCCATGAGGGTCTCGACGGTTTGCTTGGAGGCGGCGGCGACTTCGCGGTCGGCGTCCTGCGAGTCGGGGTCTTGCTCGAGGGAGGTGGTGAGAGTGGATTCGTAGAGTTCTTCGAGCTCCTTTTCGCGCTCCTCTTCGAGGAAGATTTGCTCGTCGGTTTCTTGCCAGACGCGGATGCTCTTGTCGTGGCTAGCGCTGATAAGGGTCGTGCCGCTGTGGCTGACAGCGAGCGCCCAGATCTCGCCGTGGTGGCCGTCGATGCGCTGGATCTGTTCGAACTTGTCGGCGTCCCAGTACTTAATGGTGCGGTCCTTGCTGGCGCTGAAGAAGTGGTGACCGTTGCCGTCCGAGTTGTGTGGGATGAAGACGACCTGCAGGATGCTGTCTTGGTGGCCAAACAAGGCCTTGTGGCAATCGCCGAAGTCAAGGCCCCATATCCGAATGTTCTTATCAGCCGAGCTGGTCACGATGAGCTTGCTGTCATACGAGATGTCCATGCTGAGCACGGGCAGCTTGTGGCCGTAGAGGTTGAGGTAAAGTTTGAGAGTGTCGACGAAGAACACCTTGACGGTGCTGTCGAGTAGGGCAACGGCCAAAAGCTTGGCATCCGGGGAGAAGCGCAGGCTGAGGATGTCGTCAGACACCTTGAGTATCCTCGCCTGCACAAGCTTGAGCTTGGGGGTTGTCCTGGTCGAACCAAGGACTTGTTCTTGAACGATCTTGAAGTCCCAGAACTTGGCAGTCTTGTCTGCGCCGCCAGACACGACCGACTTACCATCTGGGTGTACCTGCAGAGACCAGATGGCATGGCCCTCGTGCGCATTAACTGTCTCGAGTAGTGTTGCCGAGGCGACATCGTACAGCTGGAGCTCCCCCTCTTTGGTGCCCACTACCACGACCTTGTCGCCGGGCAAAAACGCGCAGCAGAGCGCATAGCCACACTCAAAGGTCCGCACACATGTCTCTGTCTTGATATTCCAAATCTTCAGCGAACCATTCGCGGCAGACGCCAACATCTTGTCGTCGGAGCTGATTGCCAGTGAACGGATGTCTGTCCGGTGCCCAGGTAGCTCTACAGCCAACGCCTTGTTGTAATCAGGAGCGTCGCCCTTTGACTCAAGCTTGTCCTTTCCAATGATCGTGTACAACTCGAGTAGGTTGTTTGTTGACCCGACGAGCAGTTGCATGTCTTTGTTCCCCTGGTTCGTGGCCCAGTCGATCGACCGGACCTTGCCCGCCGTCCTGACAATGACGTGCTGCACAATCACGTCGGAAATGTCGGCTTTGGTGATATCGTCGGCCTTGTCGTCGGCATCGTCCACCTCAAGCTCCCTATCCGCCTTCTTTTCCTTCAGCTTCTCCCTCCTCCTCTTCTTTTTCCTGGCCAGGCTCTTCTTAATTTCTGCCTCGTTTCGTATCCTCCAAATCTCAACCGACTTCTCTACTCCGTGTACCGCAAAGTAGTCACGCCGTGGGTGAAAAATGACTTCGACGGCTCTCTCCTTGCTCTGGCGGTGTAACGTTCCCCGATCCCGGAGGAAGTTGATGGATTGTGAAAGGTCGACCTGCTGCGCAGAAGAGGCGAGAGCAGCCACGTCTAGGGCCCACACTGTCATCTCGCCGTCGTTGCCCGCGGTAACGCAGCCGCTACAGTCGGGGGTCACACCCAAGGCCCAGCACTCGCCGTTGGTCTGCGCAACGTGTGTCTCAATGCAGTGGCGCGAAGCAAGGTCCCAAAGCTTAATCAGAGCGTCCTTCCCTGTCGTCAAGAGGAACCCCTCGGCCGCCTCCGTGTCCACGGCCATCAGTGGCTGCCCTTCGTCGCCCTCGCCCTGCATTACCGGATCCGGCTCGACAAAGTGCAGCCCCGTGATCTGATCCTTGTGCCCGCGCAGCTTGTACTGGCCAACCTCGGCGACGAGATCCCAAATAATAACATCGGTGTCTTTCGCGCCGCTCGCGAGGCGCACGCCCGTCTTGTCGAAGGCTAGAACTACGATGGCCGACTTGTGGCCGTTGAAGCTCACGACCGAAGTGGCAATCTTGCTGTCCCAGACGCGGATGCTGCCATCCTCGTAGCCCACAGCGAACACGTCCGGGTCTGTCCTGCTCTGAGCGATGGCCGTCACCTTTGCGCGGCAGTTCTCATCCTTCCAGCGGGCGAGCAGCTCGCCCTTCTTGATGTCCCACACAAAAACCTCCTCATTGGCAGCGGCGATGGCCTGGCCGGCGCCGGTGCCCGCCTTTCCCCGGCTCGACCAGACGATGTTCGAGTTGCTGGACGCGACGACGCCGAAGGAATTGGAGGGCTCGAATTTGCTGGAGGGAGTTAAGCATGAGATACGTTTATTTTTGTTGGGTAAGTTGCAACCTACAGGTAAGATTTGACCATGTTGGCGACGGGGGGTTCCTCACGTTGCAAGCCGGCTGCAAACCCGTCTCTCAATGTTCTCAAAGTCGTCCTGGCGTCGGCGAACGCATACAGTGGGATGCTCTCCCGGGAACTTTTTTTGTATGCGATAAGATAAAGGAGCGTTGAGCCTTGAGCACAAGCCACGCATGTTGGCTGTGGCTGCCACTCAGTTGATGCGGGGCAGTTCCAAGCTCCAGGGCTATCCGTCGTACCTTCAGCCTCCAACATGCAGGCAAAGCCAACCCTCAGCTCTCCTCCTCGAGTTGCGACCGGCTTGCGGCCCCACTAATAAGCACAGCACATCAAGGACAGCTGCCCGGATACACATCGCGACTCGACGAATAACCTCACACACACACGAGCAAGCAATTGAATTCCGGGGTTCGCAGTCAAGATGCTGCTTCTCGATTACCAGAATGTGTTGATACAGTCGGTGCTCACGGAACGCTTCTCCGGGTGAGTTCATATGTCCTCGCCGATGTTCGAGGCGCTTTGGGCCCGCTGACACTCCTTCACGACCAGAGCAACCCCCGTGTCCATCGACCAGACGGTGTCCGACTTTGACGGCGTCATCTTCCACATCTCCACCCCCGAAGCGAAGACCAAGATTATGATTTCTATCCAAATCCGCTGCTTCCAGGACTTGCTGCGCTATGGCGCCGAGGAAGTCCTCAACCGCGAGTACGGGCCGTATGTTGTGCCCCCAGAGCCGGGCTACGACTTCTCCATTGTCGTCGACCTAGAGAACCTTCCTGCTGAAAAGGGTTGGTGAATACACTGTACACCTGGCCTGCGCATGTGCTGAGATATTGTCCAGAGGCACGAGATGAGCTGGTCAACAAAATCGCCCTCCTCAAGCGCAACGTAATGGCCGCCCCATTTGAGCAAGCCTACCAGGAGCATTACCATCTCAAGGCAGAAGCCTCCAAGTTTACGTCAGAAGAGGCGCCCCAGGGCGTGCGCGAGGGTGGTGAGGTTAAGGCGATCCATTACCGAGAGGAGGAGGCCATCTATGTGAAGGCCAGCCACGACCGCGTCACAGTCATCTTCAGTACTATTTTCAGGGAAGAGACGGACCGCGTGTTTGGGAAGGTGTTCATCCAAGAGTTTGTTGATGCTCGCCGGCGCGCCATTCAGAACGCGCCCCAGGTGCTGTTTCGCAACGATCCGCCGCTGGAGCTGCAGGGCGTGCCGGGTGTGAAGAACACGGGCACCGGCGAGATTGGTTATGTTACTTTTGGTATGCGCCGTGGACCACGGAGTAGCAGTTCTGTTGCTGACTGGACTAGTTCTCTTCCCGCGACATCTCACACCTCAGCGCATGCCCGATGTCATCTCGCACATCCAGACCTTCCGCGATTACTTCCACTACCACATCAAGGCCTCCAAGGTATCTAAGCCTCTTACTGATTGATCCTGTCCCTTGACTAATTTGCATAGGCATATATCCACTCCCGTATGAGACGGCGGACGGCAGACTTCCTCCAAGGTGAGCGGCCTGTGGCAACCGATGACTTGGCACTGCTGACAATACGCCAGTTCTCCGCAGAGCCAGACCAGACCAAGAAGAGAAGGAGCGCAAGACGGCAAGCGGGAGGACCTTCAAGGTCGGCAGCTGAGGCGACCGGCTACTTGTGCAGACCTGGATTGATGATAGCCTGCGGAACAATACAGCAAGAATTCTTCACGAACGTTACGACTGCCACCTTGAGTGCCCTGTCCTCACCGTCCCCCCTACTAACAGCTTGCCCGAATCGCAGTGTCTTTGCTCCAAAGCCAGCACCTCATCTAGTAAGATCGCCTTGAACGAACAGAACAATTGGCTACGGAAAAACGCCATTGATACAGCAAAGCAACCCAAAAGCCCAAGACTCTTCGCAACCTACCGTCAATAACACCCCCGCCTCGCCTTGTATCTCTCGTTTTCCTCAGGCCGTCCTTCCACCGGCATATCCACCTCCTCAGGATTGATGTACCATTCACTCCTCCCGTTTCCCAGCCACCGCAACTGATCCCCACTGCCAGCATCATCGTCGATCCCCTCATAAACCCAGTCCTCTCACCTCGGCGCCCGTAGCGTCTCACGCGCATGCAGCGTCGAACCAGGTCTCAGTTCCACCACCTTCCCGCCCCGCCTGTACCAGGTCCTACAGTCATCCATACACACGGTGTTCTCGAAATATCCGTCCACAAACTTCATCAAGTTGCGGACTCGTTCCCGCTTGGGCTCCATACAGCTGTAGTCCTCATTTTGCTGCTTGCGGATGACCGCCAGGATGTTAATCGGCCTCGGTCTCGAGGATTCTGGTCGGCACAATTACCGCCGAGTGATTCAACCCAGATGTCGGCGCCGTGACTTGAGACGGGGAGGAGGGACATGGAGAGAGGGGCGTTTCAGCCATGGCACTAGATACGAGGCTAGCAGTATCTACAGAAGGTCAAGAGACCTTCTGGTGGTGTTGCTGGTGGATTACCGTTCACATCTCCCCGGTGGCGAAAATGGTCTTATTCAGCGAGTCCGGGAAAGACTCCAGAAATGAGAGCTTGAATGAGTCTGATTGTATCAATCATGCTGCTACCATGGGTGTGATACTGCTCACCTCTCCTCTACCTCTGCTCGGAACCTCGCTGTACCATGCCTTCCTCAAACGAGATGAGCACATGCTGACGAGGGATTATGCCTGGGTGTACACAATCCGGCCATCGACGTAATCACAGAAGCCGCTGGCAGTTTGCGCATGCCCAAGCAGGGCAAGTGGGGGTTGTCAGGCAAGGAGGTCAGGATTACTGGAAACAACACGAGCAAGACAGTTACCGAGGACTTGGCCATCGTCGGCTCCACCACAGTGAAGGCGTCGTAAGAGGGCGACTTACAGAAGCTTAACCATATGGTAGCAGTCCCGCTTAGACATACTTTCCATGTCCTCGGAGACTAAAAGAACTACCCCAGATCATACATAGCAATGTTCCCAGCAACTGTCCATCCCGTCAGGCAGTTTAGTAGGGGCTACCAACAATGGCACCACACAGCAAAGAACACACGTCTCGAGCAGCCCGACGGGACGGCGCCGAAATCTAGGTCCACACACCGAAGAGTGAGAGGAGCGCTTTAATGAATACACGTTTCTTCATCCCTCTATAAGGCCAACTATGTATACTCTTCTTCTCTGATCCAACATTATCGCACGCTGCGGTGCGCCGCCAGTTTTCTCTTTAAACGCCACCATATGGCCAACGTCACTCCGCTCCCAATAACATTGCAATGCAAATGGGGTATCAGGGGTAGAGATGTGCGCAATGCACGAACGGAAAATGGAAGTACCGGGCAGGGCGGGGCAGAAGGAAGCAGCATCATAGCTCGATGAAGTCCTTTTGCTCCGCAAAATCGAGACCCCCGTTCTCGTCGGGGCCGATGAACTCGTCCACCTCGTCCGAGTCGACGTCGTCTTCGTCGATCGACTCCCCATCGTCATCGCTGGAAACGTCTTCCATCTCCTCGTCCTCCACATTGGACAGATCCCGGTTGCCAGCGCCTCTCCGGAGGACGCTTGCCCTCTCTCGGTGCGGCAGCTTACAGCCCTTGTTTTTACAGACACCCGTGTTGCTGAAGTCGGGGCATTCGAAGGCGTGGCGGTCGCGGCAGCTAGCGCCTTTGGGGCAGTAGCCATAGAAGCCGAAGTCCCTGCAAACTGGAGCAGCTGGCGACACTTTTACGTGGGCATACTTGCAGTCAGGCTTGGTGCAGCTGTCCCGGGCAAAATGCAGGCAAGTCGGGGTGCGCTCGGGAATGGGGTCATGTGAGAGATCGCAGTGGTCGCCATTGGGGCAGTCACCCTGTTGCAGAAAGTCCTTGCAGATCGCAACCTTGTGCGGATCGTGCACGTAGCGGCAACGCGGGCCTTGGGTGCAGGAACCTGTGTCGCGGTTAGTGAATTCTCCGGTGGCTGACTTACCGAAGCCCGGTCGAAGACGTGTTGCTCGGGGGCGTCGGTCGAGGAGATTGCAGTTACCGGTCATGGAAAACTGTTTGCAAGGCACGTTGACCTTCTTGACGGCGCCGGATTGCCTGCCAGAGAATGTTGGAGTCAGTTGCCCACCGCACGATCCCGGGAGACATACCGGTGCGCTTTCACTATGCCGTGCCGATACAGATTGCCGTTTTTGCTTCGGTAGAATTTGACGCCGCCGATGACTGCCATCTTGGGGGTCGCCTTTGCCGTGTTGCCATCGCCTGCACCAATGTGAGTACCCTGAGAAGCTCTGGCGCATCTTCGTGACGCACCGGGAACCTTAACTAGTTTGCTGCCGTTCTTGGCCACAATGAACCGGACGCCCTGGACAGCGATCTCGTACTTGCCCGGAGTGGTCTGCTGGTTAGCTGTCCCAAACCCACCGCTGTTTACCATGCGGTTGAGGTGGCTAATCAGCTTAGCACGCTCTTGCTTGTCCCTCAGCGCCAGCTTCTGGCGCCGTGTTTGCTCCATAGCAAGCGTCCTCGTCTCGGCATCCTTTTTGTAGACATTCGAATTGATAAGCTGTAGATGGCGGTCGTTCTTGGTTACCCACGACGAGGTGGATGCGTCCGACGTCGCGCCTGAGTCAGCCTCGCCCGATTGATTTTGCTGAGAACCACCGTTTAGGATGAGGGTCCTGTTGCGGTAGACGGGCATTCGGGCGGACGAGTGGCCTCCACGATGAGGAAACCCGCCGCGACGCCATCCACCAGAGTAGCCTGCATCTCGAAGAACGTTAGATTATGTTCCAAGGATACATGTTATCGATCGATCAGTCGGCATACGGTGAGGTGGCCGAACAGGCGGCGCGGGAGCGAAGCCCGCCTGCTGATTCCTGTGGCGATTGATCTGGCCAGCCAAACGGCTGATGCGTTCCATCATTTCGCGGTCCTCTGACGACGCCATCGTGGCAGTTGTGCAGATATGTTGTGACGTTCCAAAAGATTACGTGTCCGCAAGCTCAATATCAAATGTCGGCATGCAAGATGCAAAATTACGATGCAAAGTGCGAACGCGAACCGGAAAGTGGGATGACAGATGGATGAGATGTGCGAAAGACAAAGAATGGAAACGGCCCGCAAATGCCAAGAAGTTCTGCCCTGGCGGTTGCGGTACGCGCTAGACCTACCAATCAAGAACAGTCCAACGGGCTTTTAAGCGGGGCTCCACTCAAAGCCTGGGGCATTTGCTTGCTGACCTCATTCGCCAACCTGCAGGTTCGAAAGCGACCAAAGACACTGTTCACAATTCGTACTTTGTTCCATCCACCATACTGCGCTCCATCGACACAACAACAATCCGCCAGCGCGTCCATTGCCCTGTTCGTCGCTGGAACATACTCTGAGTGTTCGGGATGGCGGAGCAACCACCGATCAAGGCCGAGCCCGACACGGGCTCGCCGTTCATGGACGAAGTGGACGAAACCCCCGACTTGGAATTCTACGACGGGCTACGCAACGAGGGCGACAACTACAATAGGATGTATCTCACACGCGTCCCAAACTACGTCTGGGAAGCTTGGTCGAAGCTCGATGACGATGCCGAGATTGAAATTGGGACAATCCGCCAGTCGGTGGACAAGGATGGCAAAATGGTCAGCCCGCTTGCCTGGACATGGCCATCAAACCGCCATTAACACGTGCCCCTCATTTAGAGATTGCAAATGCGACTCAAGCCAGAGTTAGAAGTGCATCAGAACGTGCCCAAAGAGTACGACATGGACGTCACGAACCACAACGTTACCAACACCTTCGTCTTCACCGAGCAGGATCTGCCGAGCTACGCCGCCAAGAACAAGGAGAGGGCCAACGCTCTGGCCCAGGGCATCCCGGCGCATCTCCTACGGAAACAGCAGAGGCAACTAGAGCCGCCTGCTGAGCGGGGCAAGAAGGGAGCCTATTCGCGCAAACCCATTCCAAGTCGGTCCCTCGCTTAGTCCCTCGCTTACCTCGCCGCTGCGAAACAGGCATGCTAACTTGGGAAACAGAGAAAACCAGGATCGCGGGCCGGATCAAGCACGAAGTTGTCTGCACTCCGGTGCCAAACGCCGAGGCCGACAGATTTTTGTCGATACGGGCCAAAGCCACTCAGCAGTCGGAGAGGCAGGTTCAGATGGTCTCTGGTTTTATGAGACCCGGCGAGATCATGAATCCTGCGGAATGGGACGACTTTCTCGTATGTAATTTCGCGTCTAATTCGCTATTCCCTACCACTGACCCGCGGCGCAGAAAACCCACGAGAAGCCGACCAAGGCGAAAAAGATGGAGAACAAGGCCGCGCGCTGGCCCGAAAACCAGCTGCTGGACGCCATCGCCAAGTGCTTTTCGGAGCACAAGTACTGGTCCATCAAGGCCTTCCGTGGAAGGATCCCGCAGCCCGAAGCCTACCTGCGCGAGTGCCTCGACCGGATCGCCGTGCTGCATCGGACTGGCACGTTTGCCAACCATTGGTCGCTCAAGCCTGAGTACCAAGGTATGGTTGCCTCTCTGCCCAAGCCGGCGGATGACGCGGCGGTGCCAAAGGCCGACGCGATGTCCGAGGATGAGGACGATGAGGACATCAAGATGGAGGATGTGATTTAATGATGTCGATGTCTTGTCAGAGCAGAATGGGGTTGCGACAGGGTTCTCAGGGATGGCGTCAAGCGGTTTGGGTTTGCATTAGGTTAACAGGAGGGGATCAGGACTATGGATGATACCCTTAGCAGAATGTAGGACAATGGACACCTCTACTGCTGGCACTTGACAGCGTTGATAGATTGGTTGAGTTTCATTTGATGCTGACGGTTTAAGCCGTCTCCAGCCGTTTGTCCTGGTTTCGGATTGCGGATCAGCACTCAACTGACCGATCTGCATTCTGCAAAGCCACCGCCGTCAGTTTCGCAACAGTTTTAAGGTTGGTTCCAACTTCCAAGGAATCGAAATAGTGGGGCCACATCCACATTCATCAGACCTGGACTACTAGTACAGGTAAACCGAATTCTCGTTCGTCAACATCATAAACCCGTTCTTCCTTCAACTCTCATGGTTCCCGCTAGTCCACCCATATTGACACTGCAAGCTCGACGCACCCTCCCCGCGACGTCTTACCGGATCCACGTACAGTTTTATTACCCAAGTACATACATCTCTACAAACAGGACAAAATGGTCCTCCTCCTCCTAGATTTCGACGGCACCATAACCCAGCACGACACTCTCTCCTCCCTCATAGCCTTGGCCATTGCCGAGACGTGTTCTTCCCCCCCTCCTACCGAGAGCAGCAGCAGCACTGCTGCTCGGCTCAGTGAGCTATGGGACGACATCGTCAAAGACTACGTGACGGCCCACAAGCGGCATGTCGACTCGTACGCGGGCCCGCCTGCCGAGCAGCGCGACACGCTTCAGGACGAGCTGGCGTATCTGGAAAGTGTGCGGGGTGTGGAGCTGCGCTCTGTCGCGAGGGTTGGCGAGGCGGGGTTTTTCCGGGGACTGGGAGGGAGGAATGGTGTGTTGAGGCGGTTGGGTAGGAGGGCTGTCGAGTTGGGGTGTAGAGCTAGTACTACTGCTGATACTGCTGATCATGGGAAGGACTCCGGGGAATTGGAGGGGACGCAGCCTGTGGGTGGTTGTGGGCCCGATGATGAGGGGGAGAAAAATATTACGGTTGAGGGCGAGCAAGATGGTGGAAATGGAGATGAGGAAGGAGAGCTGAAGAAAGGGGCGGTCGTGGTAAGGAGGGGGTTGGGCGAGTTTTTGGAACACCAAGCAAGTCGGGGATGGGATGTCGCGGTGGTCAGTGTCAACTGGTCGGGCGAGTTCATCCAAGGGGTCGTGGAGGCCGGGTGTGAGCCCGGTCGAGGGCGGGAAACGGTGAGGCGGATGGTTGCAAACGGGATTGGGTTCCCTAATGGGCGCGTTGAAGGGCCCAAGGAGCTGGGTGGCGAACCGCTTGTTTCGGCGGGGGACAAGTTGCGAGCAATGAACTCGCTGCGACGAGGGTGGGAGGAGGAGAAGGTGGTCTACTTTGGGGATTCGACGACGGATTTGGCGTGTCTGGTTGAGGCCGACTTGGGAGTGATCATCGCCGATGATGGAGAAAGCAAGCTCTTGAGGACGCTAAAGAGAATAGGGTTTGAAGTGTCGCATATCGGGGAAACAAAAGGGGAAGGCAAGCTGGTTTGGGCGAGAGACTTCATGGAAGTTCTCCAGAGTGGTACGATGGACAAGATGTGGATTGACTGAACTGGCAAATCCTAGAGTTCAGTGCTCCCAGCGACATAGCATCTCCACCACCTTCGTAGACTTAGCTTGGCAACGTGTTCCTTCAAGTGCCTTTCATTCGCATCTCTCTATTTTCTCTGTTTTGCCTGATACGCCCATTCGTGTCATGAGCAACATTGGTGATCCCTGAGTTTCTGAGGCGGACAAAGAAGACAACCGCTCCATACAAGGCCAAAGCTGATTATGTCGACAAAGAGAGCCTGCTAGTGCTACTAATCCTTCATTCTGTTCCCGCATCTACAAGGCCAATGCCTTTGAACCCAATGTCATTGGGTTCATCCACGCCCGCTGGACAACCCCATCCTCTCTCATATACTAAACCCCCTTAAGTATACTGACTGACTCACCCAAACCAACAGCGACCACCCTCTCTCAAAGCCGCAACACCTTCATCCTCTCCGTCAACACCGCGTTCTCCATCACGTCGTCCACCACAATGTGCTTCCACGGCCGCCTCGTCTTCAGCTGCCGTCACTACGCCTGGCTGGGCGTCACACAGCCATGCTCGGTGGAGAAGGCGTTTGACCGCGGTGAAACCGACACAGGCTGCGGCGTGCGGTGGTCCCATGGGTTCGACACGGTCCGTGTGCAGCAGCAGTGTGCTGGGTGCACCCAGACGCGGACCAAAACCGAGTACCGCTTCGGGGTGGTGAAGGAGCGGATCAAGGTGCTCAAGGGGCACCTCAAGTTGATCAAGGGCGTGGTTGTAGGAGGCCAGACGAAAGATGAAAAGGGGCAGGGGGTGGATCACGTAAACGAGGAGAAAGATGGAGAGAAGGAGGAGAGTGCACACTCGGCCGAGTGTGATAGCCCGGGCGAGAAGAGTTCTGCTGCTGCATCGTCTGGTTCGTCAGCCGCGGAAAGTGAGAATACTGGCGATACGTCGCTCGAAGACGGATGCGGGGGTTTCGATGAGATTATGGAAGAGGTGAGAGTTGACTCCAAGCACAGGCCCTTGAAGCTGCCCCGGATTGTTGCCGAAGGGACGGCGAGGAAGATTCAGGGATAAAATGGCTTTTTGAAAGACAGGCTAGTGCCTCTGGGCAAGCTTTGCTATCCATCCTTAGCTGTCAATCTCAATGAATATCTGTACATCGGTTGTACTCTGCTGAGAATGTGTAAAGAAACAGAAGGTGTTACAATCCAGCCCTGGCTTGGCTGTTAGCGTGGGAAATGGCTGGACAAAAATGGGAGAAACGGGACATGATGAAGGAAGTAAGAAAGTTAAGGAGCAAAAAAAAAAGGATATACAAGCAAGTTAAGATGGGGGCGAAGGAAGTGGAAGAAAAGGAAAGACGGAGAAAATCAAAAAAAACATAGGAGGCAAAATGTCCACCTGTTGATGCGCTTCAGCCTCCACCTCAGTACGCACGACAGCCTGAAGCCGTCGCCAGAGAGCCCCATATTCTGAGTGCGTTCCTAAGGTTGTTTTCAGTGTAAACACCGGTGTCTCGGAAACGAACATGGCTCCAAGGATCGGAGCAATTGACATAGAATTCCATCATTTCAAAACTCAACTATGACGGCAGCCGCTTTGGGCACCAACCTCACCGGCATGATGGCTTTTAATAGCAATAGAGTCGAGTTTTCATGACCGTTGTTGGGGGAAGAAGATTGGTGTCGCAGAATTGACTCTAAACCAATGTAAAGCGTGATGCGTCGTTGCAAGGAAGATAACAAGAATAAGAAAAGCTCATTGTTAGCTCTCGGAGGAGCTGAATAGCTAACAATACTCCTAGGATCCCAGGATTTTCCTTCACAGGAGCGGCTGGCGTTGAGAATCGGCAAGGGGCGGCGGTTTGACGAGTCGTGCTGGTGGCCTCCGTCGAGGAGGAGGGCACTTGTCCCAAGCGGGGATTTTGAAATCGACACGCCTCTCGCGTTGGGCGATTGGCCCTATCTAAACCCACAACATCTAGGGCAGCACTGGAAAGCGCGGTTCTTTTGTGAGAGTTGGAATGGAAGTTCGCGACTTCGAGAAGCTAAGGTATGCTGCGGTTACGTCCGTCAGCACCCAAACCCTCACCGCTCAATATCTTCCATGACAATGACAGAAGTTAACAATACGTCTCTAGTGGAATATATGCCGGATCGGCTTTGCCAGTTCGAGGAGACGGGAGTTCTTCCATTGTTCTGGTTCGGACCATTGAAGCAGACCCATGACACCTTTGGACATCGAGCATCAAAACAGTTGCTGAACAAGCTGCCGATATTTTTGATGTAGTTTCAGAACACTGACATACCTGGTCTCTGCTGCAGCGAAACCTGGAGTGATGTCTGGGCTGGACAGGTTCGGGCAATGTTTAGCTTGGTGTAAGATGATTGGTCACATGTCGACGTGGTAACCTCAAGTTCGACTTGGTGCGACTTTCGCAGCAGCATGTGGGGGAGGCCCGTGCACAACTCAAAGAACCGAGCCTAGAAGTGCCGATAACCATCACCTCAGACACTCCATCCAGCTCAGTCGGCAGTTGAACCATCATGCGATGGAGTCACTTGTTTGCTTCGTCGGCGAGCAGACAAGATGACGAAGAGAAGCCAAAACAAGGCCCGGGTATAACAAGGCTGCAGATGCCGGCAAACGACAGACCAAAGGCCTCACCGCCATCGGCAACACCAGCGCCGAACCAAGACTCGTGGTTTGATTCAATAAAATCCGACATCCGAGATCATTTGGCCGTTCCCCACAATTGGATCGCCCCAGCTGCTGCCGCTGGCCTTACTCTTGGCCTCTACACCTTCTACCAGTCCTACCTGCGCCGTTTCCCCGCCCCGGGCCACATCGCCCCGAGCTTCTTCCGCCGCCGAAGCCTTTTCGGCACCGTCACCAGCGTCGGAGACGGCGATGGCTTCCACATGTTTCACACCCCGGGCGGCCGCCTAGCCGGCTGGGGCTGGCTGCGCCACGTACCCAAGGACAGGAAGGAGCTCAAGGGCCGGACAGTAAGACTCAGTCCCCTCCCCTCCCCCGACACCAGAACAAGCAATCCCTGACCACGCTCCTTGCACTCTCCCAGATCTCCATCCGCATCGCAGGCATCGACGCGCCCGAAGGCGCCCACTTCGGCCGCCCCGCTCAGCCCTTCGCGGCCGAGGCCCTCGCCTTCCTCGAGCGCTATGTGCTGCGCCGCCGCGTGCGCGCCTTCATCTACAAGCGCGACCAGTACGATCGCGTCGTGGCCACCGTGTACGTGCGGCGCGCGCCCTTCTTCTTCCCGCGCAGAGACGTCGGGCTCGAGATGCTGCGGCGCGGCCTGGCGGTTACGTACGAGGGCAAGACGGGCGCCGAATTCGGCGGGGAGAAGATGGAGGCGCGGTATAAGGCTGCCCAGGAGGCTGCGAAGCGGAAGGGAAGGGGGCTTTGGGGGTTGAGAGGGGGGAAGGGAGAGGAGGGCCGGCTGGAGACTCCGATGGAGTATAAGAAGCGGATGAAGATGTTGGAGGAGAAAGCGGGTGGGAAGGTGTGATGGATCTGTGGATCTGTGGATGGATGCGTGGTCATGATACCCATGGATATGTCATGCTGGGGCTTTTTGGAGGGTGATATTCTTGGACAGGAAGCTCCGTGGTTGACGACATATTGACCGCGGACCCAGAAAGCTCGGTACTTGACCACGCAGGGCTCAATCCGCTGGTGCGGCCTTACTCGCAAGGTGCGTCTATAGGGCTATTCCTTCGGATAAGACGGACTTCCATGGTTTCAACTCCCAGATGTGGTCATAGCTGGATACGGACTGTCATGTTTCGCATAACATGGGAAAGGGTAGGTCCGTAATCCGGGTATTAGGGCTGTGGTTTACAGCAGTTGGCGTGTGATCGGCTTCGGAGATCCGGGAGCGCCGGGGTTAGCAGAAAAGAGAGACCTACCGTCCCCGTGGCATCGTCCTATGACGAAATGGTGGTCATATGCTCGACATCAGTTTGTTTGAACACCCGATCAACCTCGCTGGACACATATCGAGCCCTTCAGAAGGTTGACATGCTTCATTCCCGTCGCTCGGCGGACGGGCGTTTCCAACCGCATTTATCCAGAAACACATGATCTGGCACCGCAAAGTTAACTTGGTATTGAACAAAATGGTGTTGGAAGTAGTCCAACCGCCAGGACTGCTCCCACGGGTAAGATAAGTTGCGATGGTGGAGGCATCACATCGTCGGCCGATGCAAGGGGCTGGAATTTCCCCGCCGAGATGCATAGTCCAATGGCATCTCTCCCGGACCTGCATTGTGAGCAACCCCTGAACCTAACAGACGGTTGGGCCAGAAGAACGCCAGTTCTCCTCCCGCTTGTTTTTGTTCTTTTTTTGCACTCGAAGGGACTGCAGAGACGAGGACCAAGGACACTCCTTTCTCCCACTTACCCAACCCTGATACACTCCTTTTTTACTAACTTTACCTTACCTGACGGGAAGACTGAGAGCCCCCAGTGGGATTCGGAATTCTGAAGCACAGGCTCCCGTCCCAGACGTTCTTATTATTTTCTTGTGCGTTTGTAGTGTCGCCTATCTTGTCCAATCCAGTCGACAGCGAAACGGTATAAGCCCCTGATCCTCCTCCCCAGACCATCACGACATGATCTGACAACACACCTCCAATAAACCAGGATTCCCAATCCGACAACGGATAGCCCAACCATATGTGTTACCTGTCGGTACCCATTTCCGTGGGACATCCATTCAACAACTCACAGTAATCTTCGTTTCAATCTATTTAAATTCTTTGGACCACGGCAGCACACATCCACTCTCCGCGTTGCACGACTCTATTGCAGCAGATTGTACAACTCGGCGAGCGGCATCTGGGAGACTCAAAGTCAAGAGGGGCTAGGTGGATCTGGATCTGGAGGCCAACGCTTCGGCTTCTCCACCATCATCGGTCAAAGCATTTGCTGTGAACACGAGGTTCGTGCACAATCTTCCACGGTTATCTGATCCCATGTTTTCGCAAGTGATGAACTAGGAACCACCGTCCAAGTACAATGTCAGTGCCGCTTTGATGTTGTCTTCGGAGTGTTCATAAGTCGACCAAGCCAGCAATGTCTGTGCACTCAGAGCATCGTGCTTTGCTGACATTGGTGATAACTACTTAGGACATCTGAACTTGACGTTGGCCGTGTCTCACAAGGGGCAAAGCTGCAAACGGTTGATTCCACTTCGCTCGGTTCGTCCCATCTTCTTGGAACCCAGCCTAACCCGTTCTGGTCAAGCCAAATTGGGCTGACCACTAAGCGACCAGCGAGCGCCAATTCGCAGGACCGTGTCGCCCCGCTCAATCTCCGTCACGACCATTAGAAGGGTTGCGAGCAGGTGCCATTCCTGGCCGAGAAAACAGGCTGACGGAGGCCCAACTCACAAACTCGCGATCCTCGAGCACAAGCTTCAGCTCCAAAACAACTTGATTCGACATTCGTTTTCTTCGCTGCACCGATCACATGCCACCAAATCTCGTTCTTCACCACACTCGTTCCATTTAGTTCATCTCGACCGTTCAAGCGCCTTCGTGTTTCGGCCGAACCATTCTGTGCGACATCAACCTTCATTAAAACTTTACCACGGAATTCCCAGCCACGCCAGAACGTCGCTATCAAAGAGAGCCTCGGAGCTGCTATGGAATCCCGGTGCTAACATCTGGATCCAACCGCATCTAACAGAGCAACTCGATTGCTCGTCGGTCACAGGCTCGGCAATCGATACAATCCCACATCTCGACCGGCAAAGCGATGCGGTTACGCTCCAAGCGGCGCCATGTCGCTCGCAGCGACTTTTTCTCCTTGAACTCGCTCGCCACGTCGGTGATCGCTTTTGCAGCATCGCCAGCGAGCGCCGTCACCTTCACTCCCGCTCCCTCTCCGAATCTCGACCTTTCCCAGCTTGGACGGGTAGCCCTAGCAGGTGACTTCTCAGGCATATCCTTGTACCAGTTCGAGGAACAGAACGAGCATTCGTTTCGCAGCAATGGCAGCGAGAAGCTCCTCGCCCGCATGCCAAATGGCCTCTTCGCGCCCATCGTCAATACCGATGCGACCATTCGCACCATGTGCGCTTTGGACACCGACAATGGAACGGTAGTCGTGCTAGGCGGCAACTTTACGAGCATACGAGGGCCCGACCACGGTGCGCCAGCCATGCAGTCGAACGCAATTGCGCTCTTCAACCCGACGACTGCCGCCGTCACGCCGCTCCCAGGCTTATCGGGCTCGGTGAATGCCCTGCTCTGCGACCAGGACCGGAACACGGTCTATCTGGGAGGAAGCTTCGTAGGTGCTAACTCCACCAATGCCCTGGCCTGGGAGAGTGGCCGGAGCTGGGTCAACCTGCCGTTTGCTGGTTTCAATGGGCCAGTAATGTCCATAACCAAAGCCTCCAGTGGAAACATCATTTTTGGAGGCAAATTCACTGGGCTCGGCAATGCAAGCACTCCAAGCACCCCCGACGGCCAGGTTATCAATCTCTCGACTGCGAGTATTTCCGCCGGTTTCTCGAGTACTACTCTAGGCTTCAGCGATCCTAGGAACATCATCTGCAAGACGAGCGGAGGTGATGGGGCGGGCAACACGTGGCTCCTCTCGGACAACGTCGCGGGCTTCTGGCAGGCAACATTCAAGCATGGGTTCCGGCCGACCAAGCTGCGTCTATACAACACACATCAGGATGGGAGGGGTACAAAGACGTGGCGATTCACAGCCTTGCCGATCAATGGCATCATGAACTTCACCTACATCGATCCCGCGACGAACCAGAATGCAAGCTGCACGAGCGAGTGCCCGCTGAGCGACGACAAGTCTGTCAAGTTCCAGGATTTCCATTTTGTCAACGAGATTGGCATGAACGAATTTCGCATTGACATCTCGGCCTGGTACGGCAGTGGCGGGGGGCTGAATGGCATCGAGCTGTATGGCGACGACATCTTCTCGTATGCCGTCAACGACTTCAACGAGCCATCTTGCGCTGGTCTTGGATTCCCTTCCGCAGCGACCACAACTGGCCCATGGGTTGTCACGCCCTCCTACTCAAGCACGGGCGAATACCTGAGTGCCCAGCTTATGGCCCCCATCACGAACACGTCCGCCTCGGTCGTCTTCACCCCAGACATCCGGGAATCCGGGCATTATTCAGTCAATCTTTACACGCCTGGCTGCATCCAAGACAACACTTGCACTCTGCGAGGCCAGATCAAGCTCACAGGGCAAATGACAGCCGATCCCACCAAGAGCCAGCCGATCGATGTCGACCTTTACCAAACCAACAACTTCGACAAATACGACCAGATCTACTTTGGCCTCGTCGACGCAAGCTCGAGCAGCTTCCGCCCTCGAGTAACAATGACCCCATTGGCCGGCCAGTCCCTGACTCAGATGACAATCGTCGCGCAACGCATTGGCTTCACTTTGATCAACAGCACAGGTGGCTTGAACGGGCTCTACGAGTATACTCCTGGGGCCGCTGTGAACGCCAGCGAGTTCATGCAGTCCGCCTTCAACCGTCTGGGTGCCAACTTTTCCACTGGATCCGTTGTCAGTGCCCTGGCCACATTAGGTGATGTTACGTTCGTTGCAGGAAACTTCACCACCTCCGACAGCTTGCGCAACATTGTTGCCGTGAAAGGCGGCGACGCCAACGCCCATCGCCTCGACGGCGGGCTCAACGGCGAGGTCAAGTCCATGTTCCTCAACGGCACCTCCCTATATGTGGGTGGCACCTTCACCAGCACATCGGACAACTCGGCCCAGCGCCTCAACAATGTTGCCATGTTCGACACTTCCAAGAACACCTGGAGCCCGCTTGGTGCTGGTGTCGACGGCAGGGTTGTGCGCGTAGTTGGCGTGACTATGAACATCACCAGCTCGACTCCCGAGGTCGTGGTCAGCATCAGTGGGGATTTCGACCAGCTGCTGCCATTTGGCGGTAATCCAGCCGTCGAAGTGGATGGCTTTGGTGTCTGGGTGCCGTCTCAAGGAAACTGGCTGAAGAATCTGGACCTGCCAGTCGAGTCGGTTGACGGCGTGCTGGCCGCCTCCATCTTGAATTTCACTGGGGGCCACTCGCTCTATGCCGGCTCGCTTTCGTCCTCCGCTCTGCGAGCTAATCACGCCGCGATCCTGGGCGGCGTAAGCTTGGGCCGGCTTCCAGTGGACATTGAGCCTTCGACAGACTCCGCGTCCCCGAGCAATCTGACCAAGCGCGACGGTACTTCTTTCCACGGCGGTGTCAACGGTGTGGCGACCGGCGTCTTTGACACCAACAACGGCCGAAACTTGACGATCCTAGGTGGACACTTTACCGCCAAAGCCACCGACGGCTCTACGATCCACAACCTTCTTATCCTTGATGGCTCCGACAACGATCGGGTTACCGGCCTCAGCGACCAGATTTCGTCCAACTCGACCTTTCTGGCCATGGCTGTCGAAGGCGACATACTTTTTGCGGGAGGGAAAGTTACGGGGACCGCGAACGGCGCCAGCGTCAACGGCCTTATCACCTACAACCTTGCAAGCAAGTCATTCAACACACAACCTCCTGCCCTATCAGGCGGCAACGGCACCGTCTCTTCCATTGCGGCACGTTCCAGCACCAAAGACGTCTACGTCGGAGGGTCCTTTAGCGCTGCAGGTTCCCTGGACTGCTCCGGCGTATGCTTCTTCAGCACGACGGCTTCGCAATGGAACCAACCCGGACGGAACCTCCGTGGCAACGTCAGCTCCCTCCTGTGGGCTACCGACAACCTCCTGCTCGCCGGCGGCAACCTCACCATAAACAACACCGCCCCCACCTTCCTCGCCCGGTATGATGCGACTGCCCAAAGCTGGAACATCTACCCCGGCGCCGACCAGCTCCCGGGCCCAGTAACCGTCCTCGCCGCCGGCGCCAGTGATGGCGGCCAGATCTGGGCCGCGGGCACCTCCTCCCGAAACGGCACCGCCTACCTGATGAAATCAGACGGCTCCACCTGGCAACAGGCCGGCCAATCCGCCCTGCAGCCGGGAACCGACATCCGCGGCCTGCAAATCTTCTCCCTCACTGCCTCCCACGCCTCATCAGCCCTCGTCAACGAAGACGAAGCACTCCTTCTCACAGGCTCAATCGTCCTGCCCGAATTTGGCTCGGCATCAGCAGTCCTCTTTGACGGGACAACCTTCACGCCGTTCGCTCTCACCACATCGGAGTCGCCCGACAAGCCGGGCAGCATATCGCGCGTGTTTTCCGAGAGGAGCGATTACTTTGCCAAGTCAGGCGGCGGCCACATGCCGCTCGTGTTTGTCGTGCTCATCGGTCTGGCCATCGCCCTGGGCCTGATACTCTTGATTGTGGCGGCGGGCATCGTGTTGGACCGTATCCGCAAGAGGCAGGAGGGGTACGTGCCGGCACCGACGAGCATGATTGATCGCGGGAGCGGCATGGCGAGGATTCCGCCTGAGGAGTTGCTTGGCGGGCTGGGACGGAGGGGGGTGCCTCAGGTTTAAACTTATGACCTACCCACCTAGGGCAGGTTTGGTTGACGTGTGGAGGAAAGGATCTCGGTTTCATCATTGCGCTGATTCTACTAGAGGGTGGCTGCATGGGACGGGGTTCGGTTCGGTTCGGCCTTGGTTTGGGTGGCGTTCAATTGGGAGTCGGGTTCGGTGTTGGCAGAGGTTGAAAGTGTAAAGCGGTTTCTCTTTGCTTTTGCTTTCAGGGTGCTTTATACCACGATTTCTGGGCTTCTGGTTTTTTTCATCTTTGCACTTATTTTCTTGCTGCTGTTGCATGGCTCATCGGATGTGATGGCCCATGCTTTACTTTTCTCTTTCGTTTGTCTGGCGTTTGGCATGACCCCAGCGTTTTGTTCTTTTTGGTGGGGAGCATGTCTTCATGTCATCGACGTCTGGCCGAGCTGGTTTGTTAGAAGGCTCACCTGTAGTCTGCCCGCTTTGACATTACTAACTGCCTACCGGGGACGTGTGTGGTACGGGACTGGCGGAGGATGTGTTGCGGAAGGGTGGCGTTCTCTGTACGAGATGTGAGAGGGATGGTTGAGTGGATGGGCTGATTGAATAGGATGGGACAGGCTGGCTTGTGGGTGTGATGGAACGCTGATGTCTGTGTCTGTAATGACGCTACATCTGCATCTGTCCTGTCCGTCCCGTCCGTCCCGTCCTGGCCCTATCTCTGTTCTTTTGCTCGCTCGCTCATGGATGTCCACGAGGTTTGAGCTGAGCGGAAGGGAATACCTTTACGACACTATTCTTGCCAGTTTGTAATGTCTAGATAGTAACGTATTTTTTACTCAATGCTGTGTTGTGGGTGTCTGTACTGGTCCAGACACATCAGTGTCTCTGCACCTTGCTCTCGTTCTACTTCTGTTCCGTGTTGGATGGCCTGGTTTATGTGTCTTGTTGAAGGCTTGCTGAGTGAGTGGCCAGATTTGTCAGAATCCCGCCTTGGCAGATAGGAAGATGTATATGGCAATCCTTTGGATTGGAGGCGCTCGACTGGTTCTGTGCTGTTATGTCAGTGAGTATGGCCGTTTGCTTAATGTGAGTTATGTTGCTTGTGGTGTTGCAGTGCCAGTTGAGATTACTGTTTGAGCTGGCCCTCATCCGAGAGGAACCCTGCGACCTGGCGATCTGTGGAAATGGCCGGGATATGGCATCGAGGATGAAGCAGTATGGCATGATTTCCGGCCAGCTGGTGAGCTCTCGGCATGTTTGCAACCCATCAAGTAATAGATTAAAGCAAACGGGACCGAGAGAGTGTGTTATACTTCTTGCGAACGTGGAGGATCTGCATGCTGAGATCGTCAGCATGGTCTCCTAGCATTACGGAGCTAAAGTGGTGAAAACTGTGTAGGCAGTTCACGGTGATCAATGCTTGTAGAGGCAGACCCATGAGAAACGCTTACCCTGTGCCTTCTACAGTTTGTCTTGAATGTGAGTCCATTGTGAACTCGATTGTTTGTTTACTTACCCCTGAAACATAGGGGTTGATCGTCTTGACCAGAGTCATCGACCAACTGGAACACTGCCGTCGTCTCACAACTAGACTTACAGCACCTTTTGCATTGCACCTTTTGCATTGAAGGGGTATGATACGTCTCTTCTAGGGCGTTCGATTCCCATCTGACGGCTCTCCTCATCTGTGGAGTTGCGTGACTAGAGTCGCGACGGGGTTCGTTGCGCACAGGGGCACGAGTGTGAAGGGAAGATGCCCGCTATCTACTTAGTTATTGGGCATGCCGAACAGCGTCTGGTATTTCCAGCGGCGACTGGAGTATTGGGAATGGAATGGACTTACAGAGCAGGCTGAAGGCACCCTGAACGGAGCAATCCATCTACCTTAGGAGACCTACACCCGGAGGGGTTCGAGTCCCTGCCGAGGTAAAACCCCTGCTGGTTGACCAAGCCAGTTATCTGGAAAGAAAACATAACAAGTACTCTGGCCGCCTTGCTCTCTAATTTACATAGGTACCATAGTGCGTATATGCCGAGTCGGGACCTATGATATTGCATACGCAAGCCCTCTTGTGCCCATGCGGACCATACCGCGTACCCGAGCGTTCCCCAGCTTTCCAAGGACAACCAACAACTAGTATTCAACTTTCCATTGGGGCTTATTGCGTCCCGCACAGTCTCCTCCGTTAGCCGAAGGCAACCAAACGCGCGGAGAAGACACGCCGGTCCATGTCAGCAAAGCCAGAAGCGAAACCGGGAAGAACCGCAACGCTCCCTACCTACTACCACGCCTACCATCACGCCCTCCATGCCCTCTTCTTCGTTAACCAGTAGTAAGAGAGAGAAACCCCACGTCCAATCCGGTATAGGCAAATAGCAGGAATCATGGCAACCGGCCAATTCGCGGGCTATGCTTTCATACCTCAGGCTGGCAACCAGGCATCTCAAAAGCCGGGTGAGAACACATCACAGGGGTACGTAGACGGCGCCCGACCGAGATCGGGAGAACTGTCCCTATCAAGTTGGTTGGGACGCGGTCATGGTCCACCGACCATGATGCTATGGAATGAGGGCAAACCCACATGGTAGGAACAAAAATTGAAGAGGCATGGTCTTCAGCTGGGTTGGGTGTGAAACCGGAAAGGGAGTACATCATACACATCACAACCCTTGCTTAAATATCCGACCATACATGGCCACACCTCATTGGCGTTCGTCTGGCCGACCTGCCTCTTCCGACAATCTAGCAGTTCCCGTACGCGCAGCCCCATGCCATCATCATCCACAGCCAGTTCGAAGTGCGTATGCTATGGTATGTGACTAGGAGGAACTACACGGCTAGGCCAAAGTTGCTTGGCAGCAGACATCGGCGTGGCAAACAAGCAACTTATACGGGAGGAGGTCCTTCTGATTCCAGTGGTCTGTCCGATTGCGGGCCTGCAACATGATGGGGTCCTGCTCCTTCCCGGGCCGTCATCGGCGAGGGTGATTCTTGACGGGCTGCAGGCGAGAGTTCCAGTGGTTGGCCGTCGCACGGCAGGTGAATCCAATTCCATTCTCGTCTGCAGACTGGAAGAACCCGTCCGATGGGGTAAGACATACTGGCCTTGACTGGGTCGGGCTCGAGGCTGGGAAAGGACCCAGATATACGTAAGGTAGCTACCATGATATCCATTCATCTCAGAGCACGCCCGTTTTGACTGGATGGGGAGGGGCCGGAGGGCTAGCCCCCCCCTCCCCCCCAAAAAAAAAGGGGATAACCTTGCTTTGCTCGTAACTACTGCAAGATGGCGTATGTTGAAGATCCCCATGCAGCATGATCGCCGTGCAGTGCAGCGAGTTTTGGTGCCGGTGGGAAGAGACCACCATCATCATCACCAATCCGACCCGCAACGCTGGCGACGGGAGTGGGAGACTTGGAACCTGGGTCGGGCGGAGTAAGCGCGGGCATGCTGCTGCTTACTTTCGTTCAACCACCTCCATCCATCCTGCTGCTCCCAGAGCCCACCACCAGAGACACAGTCACTCCAAAAACGTGCTGTTCTTTCTCCTCCCCGCACAGCCTGCGCCCAGGCTCCACAGGCTACCCTCCACGTATCCTCGCTGTCACCACCCACTCCATCCCCCCAATCCCGTCGAAGCTTGCGACGATGCGGCCATGCATCCGGGCATGTACCTCTGCAAGCTGGGGGGTGGGAGGGCGACAAACCCGCCTGGCTACCCTAGTCGGTGCGTGTGACGGTGCCACGGTGATGGCATTAGGGTCGGTTTATCTGCAGAGTCTGAATGTGGGAGAGTAAGTGAGCGAGTGAGCGAGTTGAGATACCCGCAGTAGCAGGCTTGGGTAGGGGCCCATCTTGCGAGAAGATGGGAGGAGACGGCGTGGTTACAGCAGGGCCCGGCACATAGCTGAGCACGGTAACTTTGGCTGCTTTGCTTGGCGGGCAGCACTAGGCAGGAGAAGGCAGGTTGTAAACCACACGGGGGGCCTAGGCCATTGCCGTGTCTCACAATCGTACGGTGGTAGGAACGGTACGTTGGTGCTGTTCTTCAACAGCACGTCCTCCTCACTCGCACTGCTGCATCCGCTCATCCCGGTGAACGGAATGGACGATTGTCCTCCTGGCCATAGTCCACTCACCACTAGTCCCCCGGCCCGAGCGAACAAAAGTCGACCAGCAGCGTGATGGAGGACGTGAAGGGCACCATGGTTGGTCGGGGGGTGGTGAGGGCACTTAAGGACCTTCCTTTCTCGTCCGAGCCGGGCAGGAGGCAAGCAGCCTCGCCTTGTGGTGGGTTGGAGGGACGATTCATGCCTGCTTTGTTGATTTGTTGGCAGGGGCCCCATTCTTCGGCAGGCCAGGTCAGGCACAGACAGGGCAAGGCAAGCCGGATGGATTGGGAACGAGACAACGTGACCGGTGGGCCACGACCGCAAGTGGCTCATGAGGATGTCTCGGGGAATCTCGCAGGGCAGAGGGAGGGGCTCGGCATTGCTTGGTACCGTCGCAAGTGGACGAAGGGATGTTGATGATGATGAATGTGGGATGCCCGCAGCCCAAGCGGGTCCCTCCCGGTTCACCATAACTAAACAACAAACTTCCGCGGGGTTCGGGATGCTCCGGCGGACCGGCCATTTCCCTGCGTAGCGCGGCGTCGATCACTGACCGAAATGTGCACATGTCAGCAGAATTTGTCGAGCCAGGGCTGTAGTGTCATGGATACTCCTCATTTCTCGCGACTCGTGTCCTCAACTGCATAAATCCGCATAGGTATGCTGGCCGTAGCTGAGTTATTGTCTGTGTATTGTACAGTTACAATCGCTCATGGGCGTACTGCATCATCTAGTCAAGGTTGGCAAAATTGGGATTGTGGTCTAGATGCGCACACGGGACCTTCCGTGATGCTGAGGCAGAGGGGCCTCGGGAGTTATGGTGCGGCTCTGGCAGTTCGGTGATTTGCCCGTCGCCAAGCGGCCGGCGCACGCTCATTGCCATGACGGAACGGGAAGTGAGGTTGTCGACGAAAAGCAACCTTTTGCGGCGTAATAAGAGGGCTGAGAGCGTCCAGGGCAGCCATCGGATTGGCCAAATTGGGGGGTTCTCTCCTGTGTCGGTGATGATTTGTGAGTGGAGAAGCAAGAAAAGGAGAGTAACATCGCGCTGCAAATCATGGCAGAAGGCCCACCCCCACAAAGCATGAAACACGCGGGTCGAGATGATCACCAGACTACCGGTTCCACGACGGGTATCCGTACCACGGTACAGCTTTGCGAAACCGACGACCGAGGACAAGTATTGGGCGCGAGAGGGTCCATAGAGCGCAACTACCGGTATTGGCACCAGCCAAACCTGGTGACGAAAGGGGTGGCCAGAGCTGGTCGTTCCACTGGTTGCGTTCTGCTTTCCACTGCCCCGGCATGCTAGGAAGACTGGCAGCCTGGACTTCGTTGGCAAGTATGAGCTTTGATGCTTGGCAGGACTGTATCAAAAAGGGGCCAGGAGCGGAAAGACCAGAAGCCCCCATCATTACTAACAAGCTTGGGATAGTGCTCGATAAGAAAGTTGGGAACAGAATGTCCGTCTCTCCCTAGACTTGGCCCAGCTTGCTTGCCAATTGGGCCAGTCTTCGTACCTTAGTCAGCAGCCAGGCACCGTTTGTGGCGAGTGTAAATTGGTAACATCTCCTCCGCTGACTTTTGCTTCAAATCAACTCATAAGATCCCTGGCGGTTTGGCGCAGCTAGTCCCTCGCAGTGGAGATATCACAATAGGGCCATAAGGGAGGCGAGCAAATCACCAGTAACCAGCAGCATTTAGAGCAAAAGTGAGGTGTGAAAATGATGATTACTGCAGTTGGTGATATTGTGACTGCTGAAGCGAGGATGTGGAGGCTCGGATAGAGATGCGGTGCGGCAGGGGCAGGTCGACCATCTTGCTGCACGACAGATCTTGACAGATGCGCGGCGCGTCGATCTTGATGCGAGGGCACTCTTCCGGGGTTGTGTCGAGTGCCGAGTCTTGGCGGTGCGAAAGAGGCAAGGGCATCCTCTCAGAATCGAGGGAAGCGGGCTTGGCAATCCAAGCCATCACTAGGCTGCCAGGCTGTCAATTACTTCTGCCAGCCAGAGATCGAGCTTGGCAGCTGGCACGAAGAAAGGGAAAGGGTCCCAGTTCTTTCTCGTCTTGGCTACCTGGCCCTGTGGACGGCGACGCTCAGAGTGGGCCGAAGCCCGAAGTCACATCGCGCCGTTTGTTCGCCGATAACTCAACGTTGAGGAAGAGCCAAGTTACGGTACACCGTCCACTGGCTCGCCCGTCCTGCAACTTCCTTCAAAGGCGACGGCCACGTTGGGTCCCATTGGGTGCCTTCTGTGACCAGATGCCGTTCTTCGATGTGGCCGATTTGAAGGCCCGAATTCGACGCGGCTGGGTGCAGCATGGCGTTTTTGATGGCGTCGACACTCCTTGGTCCCGCTGGGCAGGGCCAAGGATTGTGATCTCCCTGGGGTTCGCGGAGCCGGCGCCATCCCGTGATCCTCCTCTGCCCCAGACCTGAGCTAGCGTCCGGATAACTACCGCGAGTTTACAGTACGAGCTTATTTCCCAAAGCCGTGGCTGGGTGACTCTCCACCTTGCCGGTCCACATTTTTGAATTTGCAATCCACCAAGCTGGCGGGTTTGCTTACAGGCAACCAGTTCCAACAAGAGAAAATTTGCGGTGGTCTGCTTGCTTCTGTGCAGTGCAAACCCACCCAGGCAATAAGCCGGGCGCAACAAGCTGTCATGAGGCTCTCGTATCAGGGAGAAGTTGGCCTGCATACAAGGGGGGAAATCTCTCGGCACCTGCTCAACGGTTGCGGGTCCTCTTGCGCCATCACCGGAGCCTTGCAAATCCTCCGGTAGATGCCACAGGATGGTCCCTCTCGAGCTGCTCGGTCGATGCGCTGGCAGCTCACCATCAGTCTGCTGGAGCTTAAACTATCATTCCTGCTGGCGGTATCACGGAAACACTTGGCCATCTTGTCAGGTGTTCGACTCTTGTCGGCGTTCAACCCCTACACACTATGTTGAGTGGACATGGGTGGAATACCTGAGGTGTGATGGCAACATCGCCGTGCCTCCATCGCCCTTCACGGTTCCATTGATCCGTCCTCGATGCCATTGAGCACGGTTTCCTCCCAGATGAAGCCAGAGCTCGTGATGCAGTGATTGCATTCCGCGGAGGCAAGCCACACGGCTCTTCTTCGCTCAAATTTAACGGGCACAGCCGCACAAGTTATTTAGCTGGCTGGGCTTGACCGTTGTCAGTGGCTGTATCCGTATTTCGAATTCGCAGGACGTTCATCCAACAAGTGATGAATGGCCTCCCCTTTTTGGGCCCCTGTGGTTTCTGTAACACACCCATGCTCGTCGATCTTGGCCCGTGCGGTTTTCCAGCAGTGGGATACTGAGCTTCAGCCCCACGCATGGTCCTGGCAATTTCACTGACCCGGCTTGTTGAGATGAGCCTATTTTCCTCTGCCGGTTTCCCAGATCTCGTCAATCTCACCCCCGACTCCGAGCTTCGGAAGGCCGAGCCGCGGCACGTGAGGGATGAGCTCCGGATCACCAGTGAGCCGGCTGTTGTCTGGATAAAGTTCGGATTCAACGATGGAACCCGTTCCTGATCCGCGCCGGGTGTGCCTGTCAATCGCTCGTCTTGTGACGAAGCCAAACCCAACGACTGATGGGGAAGGTGGACGTGTAGCCATCAAGCTGCTCTCGGCGAAGCTTCCTTTGGGTTCCCGAGTCATGTTGTCGACGTTGCTGGATATGAATTCGATTTCCACATCGTCTGCCTCAAGGCAAGTTCCGAGACAAGTCTGTCCACCTGCGGAATTCGGTTTGGGCTCGAAATCTGGTGGAGATGGTTGAAATTGCACGCTGCTGCTCTGTGTCACTGGATTGCTCGACCGCTGGTGGGAAGCGGTGGCTCAACTTTCTCTTCAAGGGTGCTTCTTTGCCCCAACCTGCAACACCGGGATCAAGAGCCAATGTCGGGCTTTATTCACTAACATCGCCGACCTACCGGGGTCCCCTTGTCAGCTTGCCTTGTTTTGTGCTTCCCGTTGTGGTTTAGCTTCCATAATTGATGACCGACTCGCAGGACGAACGGAACGTACCACTTTCTTGTCCAGTGTTGCTTTTCATTTCCTGTCATCAACAACAGATGCCGTCGCTTCCGGAATGCTACGCCTGAACTTATATTGTACACATCCTCTCACTCGACAGGAATTCGGCAATTCACCCGTAGATTGTGCAATATCGACTTCGTCCTCACCGAGGACAGCGAGCTCTGGCCACAGCCGTCATACCTAGGTCGTCAACCATGTTGGTAAGTGACTTTCAAGATCGTTGACTCCATCTTTTGAATGCCCCGCACATTTTGCTGTCATTGGTCAGTGTATGCCGTTGTCGGGGCAGGGGACGCTGCGGGACAGGCTGCCGTACCCTTGCTTGGTGGTATCGAAAGTGGGTTTGTTCAAAAAGCGTTTTCTTGCTGCATTTCACCTGCTCCTTGTTTGGTCAGCGGTCGCGCAATGCGATGTCTGCTGCGAAGCCGGGCAGGGCTCTCGACCCCTGGAGCAAGATCATATCGAGATCGACCAGCTGGCCAATGCCGTCAATGTCCTTTCTTGTTGTCGACCTGACAGTCGAGGGAGAGGACTTAGTAACAACCATAGCAGTATCTGTACAGAGTAGAAAACATTCAAATTAGCCGGAGTGGCCTCGCTCCTCGCGCTGACTCGAGGAGCAGCATACTTCTCACCTTCCGTCCGCAAGATAGGGACACCTGGGAGAAATCATTTTTGGCTCTCCACAGAGGCATACACGTGGCGCACGTCGCTGACATTGTAGGTTGGCGTCGAGGATGAGAACACTGAGCAATCTGGGTCTTTCCCCCTATTACCGCCGGCTTTTGTTCTCCTTGACTTGGGAGCGGCGGTGACGGCGACCCGCGACCGAATTTGGCCGCAGCCAGATCTGGCCGCAGCGAGGGATGCGTGAGATACCCCGTTCCGCGTCTGACAACGGATACAGAGCTCCCGTACAGTTACCGCGCCTAGGGTTCCACTTGAATGACCTTCTCGATATATGGTAAGATACAAGTGGTGAAACCAAGATGTGAGGAAAATCTGGGATAAGCTCATTAGCCATATACTAACTGAGCTGGATGGTGACGTTCTGTTGCTGCACACTGACATTTGCGTCATATGCCGGTGTGATGCCGGTATGTATCCGAAATCAAGTTCGGTGCTCGGAAAACTTGACAGCAGAGCTGTATACATGTACCTGAACTGCAATCCAACTTCCCCACAAGGTAGGAAGGCACCTCAAAATTAGGCGGTAAGTTCCCTCTCATTTTCCAGTCCTCCTAAGTGTTGTAGTTGTAAGTCAGACCATTCCTAAAAAAAATTCCTGGTCTCCAAAAGACACCTATGACCAACTCATTTCGTTCAACTTTTGAGATTCTCAAATGTCGAAGAACTGAACGGTACGTCGCCTTTCCCTTCTTGGGTTAGAAACTGTTGCCCTAACAGGTTTGTGCACTGAAGAATGATTTGCCAGTCTTGATCTTGGCTCCTGCCGAATCTGGCTACCTTGCAAGCGTCAGCATGCAATTCCGACACAATTCGATCCCCGCCGCTCTGCCGTGCTTGCCTTGGGGCTTGCAGGAAAAACGACATGGCACAGCAAGAGCGCAACAAGATAGCAACAACCACCGCCCGTCCCCCGGTTCTGTTCTCCTTGCTTACCCGGCCGGACCGACGTACCTACGCAACAAAGCAAAACCATGGTACACGCGAAAACTAATTTTCAGCGCTCTCTGCCGCCTCCGTCACACAAGATGCCGACAAGAAGGGGTTGCCCGCAGGACGCTGAGCAAGCGCTCGTCGGCTTGATCCCTAAGGTAGCTGTCGATATCGGCTGAAAAGATTACAACCCGGACAACAAGCCGTGCATGTACCGACGGACGGAAAATAAAGATAGACCCTGCATCATTGCTCTGCCGTACCCGAGCAGGATGTCGATCATCGAGACACTGCGTGCCTTGCTCAGTCTGAATTGGTACGTATCTTCTGTATGGAGTGCCTGACATCGTTCGCAGGGCACCTGCATGAATGGAATGGTTGGGCTCTTTTTGCCACTCCCCATATCCTGTTCGTTATGGAGCACTGCACAGCATCATGGTCACCACATGATAATATTAACGTACGCGAACATCTCTCCATCATCCCGGCAGCAGACCTCGCGGCATCACACAGGATACGTATATACAATTGTTGGGCTTCAACACGGCGAGTCGCCTTGTCGACATTACTGTCTACGGCGCAGTAAACGTGTAATATCTTCCGGCCCCGCCATCGGCGTCGTAGCAACTGTCACCGGCCAGAAGACCCCGGTCGTGGCGGGGACACCCCATCTTTTGCCTTTCTGAGTTTGTGGCCAGGGTCTTGCTCTCTCAAGGCGTCCGTCCTTGGGTGCCAGTGGGCTTGCGTTTGTGCAGCAGGCATCCACACGCACACCGGCTCTTTTCTGGCTGGCTATCCGGCTAGTGATTTCGCTGACTTCATTGTTCTTTTCCCGGAGCATTGGCTGGAGGAACCTCCTCGTCGGCCCTCCTTTTCACCTCGACTCCTCTCCCTCGCTCAGAAAAACACTCGGGAGCCGATACCTGGAGACTCCTGCAAACCACCTGTATGCGATGATTAGGTTCTCACTGCACTTCCAGCTTTCGCGTTCAGTCCAAATGCCCACGGCCTCTGCATCGTTCCCGCACTTATACACGCCTCAAATTTGACCGTCAATTCCCCCGGATCGTCCCCGACAAGCCCCATTTCGGCCTGAATCCCAAGCCTGGCGCTTCCCGATTGGGCTAGTCAAACGCGGTTTGATCTCGGGTAACGCCTCGCCAGGTACCGGACAGAGAATCCCACGGCCCTGGTCTGACCATCCCGGACCTCCAGCATCACCGGATTTCGAGCAAGTCCCACATCCCATCGTGGGACTCGCTGATCCTCTCTGAGGTGTGCCACTCGCTGGATCCACGCCATACCACCCGGTCTGTTAGCCCTGCTCCGCGCAATTCAGACGAGTCCACAGCTCGCCATCTGGCAATTCCGCCCTGGCACCCCCTTCCAGAGGGAGATTTCAAACGTCGATCGTTCTGCCGGGCAGGCGTCAGAGGCTGCTTGAAACCACTTCCCCACCAGTCCACCTGGCTGTCCACTTATCCCCGCCGGGCCCCAGGAGGGTAATAAGGTTCAGACGACATCTGCTTTGTCTTGGTGTGAACCCAATAAATGGGGCCCTAGCGCATGCCGTCCCGTCTCAATTCCTGTCGCACCCTCTCAAAGACACATAAGGACGCAGATCCGTCCTGCCTCGATTCTCGGCTGCCACACTTTGATCAACATCACTACTCTGGGTCATCTCACTTCCATCTTGGGCCGGAAGAGAGACAGCATATCGACACCTCACCACTATTTGGGACTTCACCATGACGATGACCATTGATGACCACCACCGGCGTCGCTTCGGTCCCTTGAGCTTCCACCACATGCCTTCTTTCTCGAGCCAGCCTCACTTTACGGACCCCTGGGCATCGTCGTCTTCGACGGCACCAGGGCCCCATTCCGAAAACCATCAGCACAGCCTCTACACCGGCAACCAGGACAGTGCCGGCCTGCCTCACCTGAACCTGAGCGCGCTCCCAAGGCAACCACCGCCAAGCCAGCAGCAGCACTCGCAACATTCACAACAACATGGGCATCACACAGCCCCCGCTGGAACCAGTGCCTCGATGGCGTCGTATGCTTCTCTTTCCGTCACGGCGCCGTCAGCCGTCAGCGCCCCGATCTCTGGTGTCTACAGGCAACACGAGTTGCTCTCGATGCCGCCAGATCCCTACAGTCTGAACCGTCTTCAGCCACCGGCTACGTCGACAGCCTACGACTCATCTGCATACACCACGGCCTCCTCTCCGGTGAGCGCAACGTACGCACCGACGTCGGCGTCGGCGTTCGAGCAGCTCGGCTACCCGCCGGCGCCGCTGAGGGGCTCGTTAGCTCTTCCGCATGAGGACAGCGCGAGGAGATACTCTCAACAGTCAGTGGCCTCCAGCTACGCAGAGCTCCGCTCCCCCGTCGACGGCGGGCCAGGCGTGGGCGCGCCACGGCTCGGATTGTCTGACTATGATCACAGGGGCTTGCAGCCCGACGACCGAAAGAGCTTCCAAGATGCGCTCGAGGCGAGCCACGGGATGCTTTCCATGAGCCAGGATACTCCTCGAAACATATACGACGTCCGCAGCAGGGAGCGGGGCTCCGCTGACTCGTATGGGTTTCCGTCGGCGCACTCGTCAGCGTCGAGCATGTCCTCGGCAGGCTTCAGTGGTTACTACGGAGGCTCTGTCGACGGGTCAGTAAGCGACTACTCGGCGACGGGTTCCGATATCGAATCCTTGTCGGGCAGAACACTCCCGAGGCCCCAGGGACTCATGTCCAACCAACCACCGGCTCCCCAGTCGATGATGGGCTCCTTCAGCTCAAGGGTATCATCAAGCACGCAAAAGAAGCACAAGTGCAAGGTCTGTGACAAACGGTTCACAAGACCCAGCTCGCTGCAGACGCACATGTACAGTCACACCGGAGAGAAACGTAAGTCGTTCTCCTGATTCTGGCCGGCTAGTCGTCAGACTAACACGATCCTTTTCCAGCGTTCGGCTGTGAGGTAGAAGGCTGCGGTCGCCGTTTTTCGGTGGTATCGAACCTTCGCCGGCACAAGAAAGTCCACAAGAGAGGAGGCGAGACACCGTCAGATACCGGTTCAGAGACACACGAGTCGCCTTAAAAGAACGCTGCGGCCCACGATACACAAGAATAAAGTTCAGCTTTGCAGCACCGTTTCGGCCCTTCTTGCACGACAACCCCGATAGACTTGACATACGACATTTTAATCCTGATTTCCATCGTTGCATTGCTCCACGACCATTGGCTCCCGGCTATTATGAGAGTCGGCTGGGCATATCTCTTTTTTCCACTCACGCGACATAGCACCTTTTAATCAATCTTCACTCGGCTTTCGGGGGCGACTTCTTTTTTTCCACGGCAGAGGCGGAGAGGCATCTTCCCACAGGCGGCAGGGTAGGTGATGCCTCGAGGACGATACCCTCATGGATCGGCGTTTGGTATGATTTACGGGGTTTCCTTCTAGTGTCGATAGGCTGGAGCTATCACATTCTGTACTCTCGTTGCATGTCACATTATATGTCGGCCTTCAAAACGGCTCTTGGGGAAGGGGAGTTTCGGGGAATATGGGTGGCAGGGTGGCGGTAACTTTCCATGGGGTCGCAACGTATACGAATCTGTTGTCCTGGGGTTGGGCTATCTGGTAGATACAAGGCATTTTGGCGGCGACAACGAGTACTTGGGAAATGGGATGTACATGAATGTACACAACTACGTATAGCGTAAGGTACCTTATTAGACCTTACTACTTGATACAGTAATTTAGTCATGTGACAGATTGCAAGCCACTGTGTTCCGGTACTCTTGTTCAGCTTTCGTTCCATGGTTCCGTCAGGTGGTAATCTCGTGGGAGCCGGCAAGGCGGAAAATACGGACGGTACTTTGGGTAACATTTTCCGGCTCCGGCTCCGGATTGCACGGACTGAATCTGCCACGAGCCGCCCTTTATCGCGGTTGTTTCCAGCACCAGGCGGATCATCAACTCGGACTGCACACATGACATCTGGCATACTCTTTCGATGATGGCACGACGGCTGAAGCGCGACTCCAGCACCTTACCTACACATGTTTCAGGACAATTGCCTTCCCAATCGCAATCCAAGAGAGTACGAGTAGAGCCTGCAGGGCTTCGCTCTAGGATGCAACACAGCTGCAGCGCCGGCGCATGGGCGTGCGCCAACTATAACGCGGGACACTCAATGACACGACCGGCACAGACGAGATGCAACACCCGATGACCGGCTCCCCGCCGTAACCGATTTGGTTGGTTCGGCCGTGCGTCGGGGAGCAGCTGCCGTTGCGGATGAGGCAGCAGCATTTCTCATCTGCTCGTTCGTCCGTCGGCACTGACCCAACGGCGTGCCCGCCCCCGCGAAAGGGGGCTTCACCGGTAGGCTCGGGGGAAGAGGGGGGGGGGGGTCAGGGGAACAGCCCGCGGAATGTAATGGAGGGAGGGCATATAACGTTATGCCAGAAGGGGAAGGCGATCTTCACTCGTCGCCCCTGTTCAGGTCCTTTGGCCACGGCGGCCCGCCGTTGGTGATTACCCATGCAGCACACGACCATACCACTTCGCCTCTGGAACGAGAGTTACGAAACAAGGCGTCACGGATGGAGCGTGAATCACGGGCGGTTGGGACTGTGTGAGGACCAACTCATCAATCGTCCGGCCAAGCAGGCTCCGAGAGGGCGGTGGTGGAGATACAAGGCCAGTCAACACGACCGATGTGCACCACTTCCAGAGCTGTCGCCAGTCCGCCGTTTCAGATGTGCACATCACTGCATCATCGGGCTGGCTCGGTTGGCTCGCCATAGCCTCAAATCCTTACCTACTATGGCAGGGCGCCTCACGGAACAAGCACTGGCAAGACGGTAAGCTTGAACGCCCTTCTGGAAGACTTTCCGGCTCCGGTACGCTGAAGGCCCGGGGGGACCGGTTGGGGAGGCGGGGCTGCCGGAGGCAACTGGTGCGGGGAATGTCGCACGTGAGAAGCCAACACCGGAGCCGTTTCGGCACGAGTCAACCACGCGGCCGCCGCTCGTCTCGAGTTCAGTGATAACCGGTCACAGGATCCGCACGGTCGCCCGATGGGGGCGACTTCCGCGGTTATTCAGACTTGATATTGGCGCCAGCGAGCCCCCTCTTCCTCCTCAAAGCGGGGCGAGGAGGAATGGCGTTGAGGTGGTGCCGAGGCAGAACGCTGTCCCAGTTTGCTTTCGACCAAGGAATCGTGACCGCAACGGAAGCCCGGGGTGGGGAGGGGGGAACGAACTGATGGAGTCAGTCAGCCCCTGGTACACTCCTAGTTGACACCGATGACGCGTGTCAAGTTGGTGACACGGTTTACACCTCAAAGCACATATTTTCGGATACCAGCGAGGTATCCTATGCCAGGCATAGCAACAGCTCCAGTTCGGCAGCTTGAACGAATAGCAAATGAGACCAGGCAAGATCTCCAAATACCACAGGAAGACCAGTGGACAGCTGAGACAGCCTTGAGACAGTATCTTGATCGATTGCTGACACAGCTGTGTGGGTGCTCACAACAACCCGCCGTGATGCCGCCGTGCCAGGTTTTTGATTGTGTCTTCAGACGTCACAGTGCACGCTTTTCCGACGCCGAGGTTGGTGACAGCTGGACGAGGTCCCCCGCCGGATGACGTCGGTTTGCGGAAACAGAAACTGCAGGAATACCAATTGGGGCCGCAGACATCCCGCTGCCTCAGAATCTTGCCTGGCATTACACGTGTATGCAGTGGTTCGAAAGTTACCGCGACCCGGAATGTGACAACTCCTTCCATTCGTACGGGGCATGGCTGATGAGGCAAGATCCCGGAAGGTGTGCTGCAAAGTCGATGGCAGCAGCGCTCCACAGATCTGGGCCAATTAGTGACGCAGCACGGCGCCCTCCCGCACCTGAGGGATCGTCAGGGTCCTTTTGGCTGTCCACATTGGAACTCGCGGGGAAGATTGGCGGCGGGACAAAAATCGCATATGGCCAGGGCAAATTACCGATGTGAAATGCATCGCAAACATCAATGTGAGGGATGCAGATGTACGGATGATACGGGGAATGCTGTACGTGTTCTGCAGCCTTCAGGACAGCGCAAGGCACAGCCGAGAGTCCGACTCCAGTTTTATGCACCCTTGCCCTGTTTGGCGTGCCGTTCGCCCACATCTGGGAAGAGGGAATTCCAAGATGGCCATCAGCAGGCGGGACAAACTTTCGAGGAATTGCCATACCAGGGCCGAGCTGCAACTCTCAACGAACGGTGGTCGGAGGCCCCCACAGCGCCCCTTCTTGCAACGGGAAGGCGAAACCTGGAAGTTGAACCAAGACGACGAGCGATACAGGAGTACCTAGCAGTGCCAAACACAACCATCAACCACAAGAGGGTTCCGGTGCCATCCACAACGTCACGGCGCATTAAGAACGGCGGGGCATCACCATAGCACCACACACCGTCCATTCCCAAGAGTGCCGAGAGTGCACACCCAAGGTGCTTCGTATGCTCCCCCATGTCGCCGTTGGAGTTCAAGCAGTCGTTGAGATACACTACCTACTGCGAGCGCGGCGATGACGTCATAGGGCGACACTGTCTGACCGCGGAATGCGCCAAGGCTGGACCAACTGGGCAGGGGCCTGTGAGGCTCGTCGGCCAACCCTCAACAGCCCCACTGCACATAGAGGTAGAATGAAAGCTTTACGCTGCGGATAGTACGTACCTAACCTTTGCGGTGTCATACAGCACCTTCGTCGCTCCGTAAAACGAATGGTGTAACTGCTCCGTACCGGGCACACTGGACTCAGGCACGCAGCCCGCAGTTCTTCACCGTTTGCTGTTGTAGGGGAAACCGTGGCTTGCCTTTCGCCCTGATGTGTCCCACCCTTCGGGCCCCCAGACCCTTGCCAAGCTTTCTCAAGATTCACATTCTCTCCGTAATTGTATTTACACTCAGCCTCTCTCTCGACAGTAGTAAACTTTCACTCTGATGTGCATCTGCAGACTTAGGACGGTGATCAGAAAAGGGCCGAGGAAAGACCGGGGACTAACAAGTCGTATTTAAGATTTTACCACGTTGTTCACTGCTTCCCTGGGAACTTTACAATTTCATTGACTATGTGGAATGTGGAATGCATGGGACCTGAGGAGCTTGCTAATTGTCACATGAACCCTCTTTCTGTAGTACGTCTCCTGAGTCCTCATGGGGTGTCTGTAGACGGAGTTACCAGGGCCGCTGTTATTGTGTTGAGGGAGTCGAAAATGAGGGTTTCATCCCACAGTTCAACTTTCGTCACATCGGTTTGGCAAGAACCCCAAGTCCACAGCTGAGGCGCAGCACCCCGGAATTGCAGCATCTGAAACAAGCTGTGATATCATTGACGGGGATCTTTTGGTGGAGTTAGGTTGCATCTCCGTTCTGAACTGCCAGGCGGACGGGGATTAACTGAAAGAGTTTAATGAGTTATAGTCGTTCCTTGGCTGTCAGGTGCCCATTTGTTCGTGTTGATGGGATAGAAGGGAACTTCATCCATGGGTGTGTGAAACCGGAATGGAGTCTATGTTAACTACTGCTTGCCACGGACTCTCAGTGGGCGGCGGCTGGGATCGGGCCAGAACTGACATGAGTACACGTGTACACACAGTAGGTGGACGCTCTATGTATGCCATTCTTCCTGCCGATATTCCTTGAAGCACTTCATATCCACTTGGCGAAGTTCCTACTCCGTAACTTCGCTTGTTTCCTTTGGCTTACACTCCTCTCTAGCGTCACCGCGTCACCGTCGGCACCGCCATATCCTGGCCGTGTTCTGGTCCGACACAAGACAGCCAGTGTCATCTTTGGAGATGCGCTCTAGAATAGTCACCATCCTGCCGGCCTTGCTGAAGACCTTGTCCTTGTCTGCTGAGGACGCTGGACTTTTGCGCCGCGGGTTTACTGCTTTATTAAGTTTTCCTTAACATGTCTGCTATTGTAGGGTTCTTGTTCACATGGCTGGCCGAATACGACCCTGAGCCCCGGCCCCCGACTTCAGTAAGTGCTTTTAATTCCAGCTTGCACAACAGTGCTTGGTGCCATTCTCGCCTTGCGCGAGTATCCCATCTTGCCATCCGTCCATTGTGACTCGCTAGCTTCTGCTTACAGCGCCTGAACACAGTCCGTTTACAATGACAGCAGTGCTATATCCTTGGACGCGTATTGTAGATAGCTACTCCTGGAGCGAAAGCACAGGACCAGAATTGGCCAGACATACATGCGTAGGCCCCTTCCGGATTCTGACCCGTACTTGGAACCCTTAGTTTGCCTCTGCGCTTCTCATTCGATGCCATGAGAGCGCCGCAATGGTCCGGACATGGTTCCCTATGTAACCCTGAGTGTGCTATTCACCTCACAGCGCCTCTGGCTGGCGGCAGGGACGGCGAGGGTGTGGGGTGCGCCTTTGGAATTATCCCGAGGTTGAGACAGGTCGGGGGATAATTCTGCCGGCCTTGCGGTAACCCTGGCATGCTGAACCGTTGGGGACAGGAAACAGGCGACGCTTCGCCCGGCTCGGACTGCTGTTTATCCTGCGGCTGCCACCACGGAGCCATGCCGGTTTAAATCTGGGCTATCTGGGACTCGTGATAGAGCCAACCTCGAACCATGGCGTAGCATGAATCTGTGGAGGCGACCTGGTCTCAGCAATGGCATCTACCGGGATGTCAGTTTCAGCTTCAGCTTCGGGCCGAGGTGCAGGTGCAAGTGTAACCTTCTCTGCCTGTTGGCTGTAACCGCCGTCTGGTAGTGGACTAGCTATGCATATCGAGACGCTCGCTCGGCTCCTGTGATCGGGGTTGCGACACGGTCGGGGATTACACCGGATATGTTGTGTTTCCAAGTGAAATTCGCCGTATGCGGTGCTATGTGAGATGCGAGATACTACCAGGCATGGTTCAGTCAGGGTTCAGCAGTCAGGGGATAGAAACACTTGCCAGTGTGTCAGACAATAGAGGCTGGAAAGCAACCTCGGTTCAGACCGTGCAAGAAGGGAACGCACGAGATCCTATAAGCTGCCCCCTTTTCATCCTCGCGCTCTTCTCTTCTGAGTTCGCAGAGCTGTGACTTGGATTTCGAGCTCCGCGACAAGGTCTGAGCCGCGTCCAATTGAATCTGGATGACATCCCAGACGAGGCGTATCGTATAGCACGGAGTATATTCCTTAGAGTTTCCGTCATGCATCCATACTTGTTTCGCTGGTACTCAGTTCACAGGCTGAGGGCTTATCCTATCTGTCCTCGCGTTAGCATGCAAGCCCCTAAGTTGAATGGGTTCGAATAAAGCTAGCGAATGTCGTGGAATCCGTGATTCGAGGGAGTTACGGCCCATAAGGAGGTCTTCCACGCTGTGTTGATGTGATATTGTCGTGCGAAGAGAATTATCCGCCGTGGTACGGAGCGGTGTGACAGCTCCGAACGTGGTCCGACACACCATGGTTTGAGTTCGGTGGTGCGTGTTTTGTGTAGCATGAGTCAATGGCCGCCGGCTGGCTTGGTTGCATCTTCTAGGCTACGGAAAGGGTTAGTGAGGCATTGCTTACGAGTGTGGCCGGTGACTGAGGCTGTCGGTTGTGGTAGCCTTATGACTGCTGACTGTTGGGGCGCAATCAGATTTCAGGAGACTTGGTGTTTCGGTGTCGGGAGTGAGAGTTGTGAGTCGGCGTTGGAGGCATCAAGGGACCCCTTCAGATCTATCACACGTAAATCAACTGTTCGTGACCGAGGCGAGTAGACCAAGCCATCCAGACCCTTGATGTGCATACACCATACAACTCAATGATAATAGATACAGCCCACTCAAGCAAACCACCTTTCCAAATCCAGATGCAAATCACCCTGAGCGACGCGTGGACAGAACCTATGCCATCAAGAGAATCCGCTTAGTATGGTACCACCGGTTCTCCCAACCACTTTACCAGCTATCGAGCCCAGCCAGCCAGTCTCACTCACTTTCAAGCCCTGTTGTGACAACATGTCCTTCATACCCTCCTCAAGATCCCATTTCCACGCAAACAAAGTGCTTAAAGAAAAACAGCCAGCTCGCTCCGATCAATTCCCTCCTCAACCAGATTCGGATAGTACGGCACCATGGCATCCGCGCCCCACACATACGCGTCATTATACAGCCTCCAATACGGCGTGCGAACCTTCCTGGCCGGATGGAACAAGCCAGCCCAGACATAATTCAGAACCAAGCCCGGCCCGACCGCCATGCGCACCGCCTCGATGGCCTCGATAATGCGGTCGATGACGTGCGGGCTCGTCTCAAACAGGTTGGGGTACAGCAGGTTGAGCAGATGCAGCATGGCGTCCTCGCATCCCAACCCGACGACGCCCAGGGCAATGTGCTTGACGACGCTGGCGGCCGTCTGGCGATGGACCTGGTCGCGGTCAATGAGCGCGTCCTCAAGCAACGGGGTCACCGCGTAGACGTAGTCCTTGGCCATCTCGCCGATGTACTCAAACAAGAAGGACAGCGATTTGAGCACGCCGTTCTGCACGTTGAGCTCCGGCACGCGGTACTCGTTCATCAGGGCCGGGAGGACGGTGAAAGGGGCGCACGTCTCGGCGACGATGCCGATGGCAACGGCGGTATTGACGCGGGACTGGCGCTCCTGCACTCGCAGGTTGTTGAGCAGGGTGGCGAGGACGTCCTGCGGGCCGATGGCCTTTGCGATGAAGCCAAACGTGTTGTTGGCCGCGCGGCGAATGCCCTTCTTGTGCGCCTTGAGCATGTCGAGCAGCTCGAAGCAGATGCGCATCCACTCGCGCGCGTTGACACTCTCCGGTCCGCGGTCCGCGATGCGGCCGACAAGGTCAATGGTGTTTTCCTGGACCTTTTCGTGCCGGTTGCGGAGAATGGGCGTGAGCCGCGGGAGGAGGTCCTTGATGGGGGGCTGCATCTGGCTGATGCCGACCACGGTGACGATGGAGCGGAGGGCGCCCAGGATGGAGCCAAGCACCTCGGGGTATTCCTCGCCAAGGTATTCGTAGAGGACGATGCCCAGCTTGCCCATCAGGGCGTCCTCGCCGCACTGCTTCATGACCATGGCGATTCGCGAGACGAGGTCGGCTGCCTGCTGGCGGACTGTGGGTGATTTGTTATTGAGACGCCAGAGAATGGTGCTGACAATTTGCGGAAGATATGGCTTGCAGCGCGTGCCGAGAGCATTCACCACGGAGCCGAATCCGTTGAGCATGACGATGTCTTCGACGCTCTGCTCCTGGAACGCATGCAAGATGCCGTCGATGAGCCGTTCTTCTAGGCGCTCGCCAATGTCGGCGGCTCCGAGAGAAGCCACTATCTTCTCCACCGTTTCCACCGTCATCTTGCGATATGCTTCGCTCTCATCTTTCAGGTTGCCCACAATCCTCTCGAGGATCTCGCTGACGCCAACCTTTTGGCCGATGTCGACCGTTGTCTCAACTACTTGCCTGTAGTTGCGCTTATCGAGGGCCATGCGGCGCACCCAGAAGCTCTTAAAAAACTCGTCCAGCACGTGTTCCTTCAAGTAGCCAGCCGTGACTCCGTCGGTAGCAGCGCACTGCGAGATAACCTTCAGCACGACCTTCTTCATTTCCTCGTCGGGCGAGGCGAACTCGCGTAGAAGAATCTCCATGATCTGACTTGTGTAGTAGTTTGCGTAGTCCTCGTCCATGAGGGGGATGATGTAGCCAACAGCTTTGAGGAAGCCGGCCAAGCCCTTACCTCGCTGCTTGCGGGCGCCCGTCCATAGAGGGTTGAGGATGTCGTCGAAGCTCTCAATACCGTACGGGTTTGATGCCTCAGCGAGGGCAGCGATAGCCAAGCTTGTAACCGTTCGCACCTTGGTCTGCTCGTCGTTCAGGTTGGGCCCGATGCAATCGACGAGCTGCTTCAAATGGGGGAGGACTGCGCAGCCCATCAAGATGGGGATCTGCTGCACAATCTTGACGCCAGTATGGCGTGCCTGCCACGACTTCTTGCTGCGGCAGACAGCTCGGAGGAAGGGGAGGAGAGCGGGTATACCAAGAGCAGAGGCGACGACGGCGAATGCTCTGGCGGTGGTGTTTCTCACGTATTCATCCACGTGATCGATGTCGGGCCGCATGACGCTTATCATGGTTGCAAGACCGGCGGCCTTGGCGAGGTTGGAAATGATCTCACGACCCTCTACCCGGGCATAGTAGTCCTGGTCAATGAGCAGCGGCTCGATGACGACCAAAATCTTGTGGACGTACGGCCGCACCATGTCGTCCAGCTTGTACAGAATGCGGTCGATGACCTTCACGAGCAGATGGCGCTCCTGGTCCTCGAGCGTCCTCTCCATGAGCAAGGGAAGGATCTGGTTGAATAAGGGTCCCGCGCCAAAGTTGCGTGCGTTGTCTGTAAGCTGTCTGAGCGCGGTCTTCCGCATGGGAGGAGTGCCATTCTTGACCTTCAACAGGAGGCGCATGATCTTCCTCTCCTTGAGCTCTTCAACACTGAGATCGTCCTCGTTGGCTCCGTCTGTCAACTTGCCAAAGTAGGCCATGTCTTCGGGCTTAAAAAACTGCAGATCACCAACGCCGGGGATCTCCTTAGGCATCTGCTGGCCGGTAACTTGCCCGCTCGTGGGATCCTGTATCATGAACCCCGTGGCTGGGGTGGGCGCCGTTACCAGCTTGTGGGCGGGGGCCCGTACCGGTGCATAGCCCGGTGGCGGCTCTAGGACCTTGTAGCCCTCATCGGGGCCGGGAAGCATGGCGTCCAGCTCTTCGTCACTGAGGGGCATGTACCGGCCCGACGCATCTGTTCCGAAGGTGGTGGGCAGCACTGCAACCTGGGAGGGGTGCATCGGGGTAGCGAGGCCGACGTTGCCAACAGGCGTGGCAGACGGGGCTTGGTCCCACCTTGACTTTTTTTTTAGCTCTGCGCCTGGCGCAGCTCCTATGACAGGGACTGAAGGCGCCTGGTCCCAGCGCGATCTCTTTTTGGGCTCGGCCGGCGCTTGAGCAGTCTGCTCGGTGGTCTCAGTGAAGGCAACATCCCACCTCTTCTTGCGCTTGCGGCCAGCAGCGGTCTCGGCGGATGCATCCTGATTCTCCTTGTCGGCACCATCCTGTAGCACCGGCTTGTGTTCCTCAACAGGACCCTCCTTCATCTTCTGCTCGATGGCGCGGCGGACACGCTCTTCCTCACGCTCAAGCTCGCGGCGTTCCATGATATCGCGGTAAGTCTCGCCCTCCCTAGCTGAGCCAACGTCAACGGCGCGGTCAAAGCGGCGTTTCTGGTAGTCGGTCTCGCGGTCGGTGATGCGGTTGCTGCGCTCGCCGCGGCCAGCGAGGGGGTCGTCTTCCTCGACGCCATTTCCACGGGCGAATTCCTCAATCTGGGCGCGGGTGGCGGTGTACTGGCCAACCAGGCGGCGAGAGCTGTCGGCGTCCGTCATCTCCTCATCCTCGTCGCCGTCGGCAGCGGGCAGGGCGCGGTGGTAGCCGGCAAACTTGTCGCCATTCTCGCGCTCGTAGAGATCCGTGTCCCAGGCTTCGCTCAGCTTGGCCTTGGTAGACGAGTCAGCACGCTGGTTGGCGGGATCGAAGGCCCGAAAACCTTTCTTTGCAGCGGCGGCGGCATTGCGCTCGGCCTGGAGCTTCCGGATCTGCTCAAACTCGGCGTCCATTGTGCTGCTGCCGGCTCGGCGCGGTGCTCATCCCATTCGTGATACTATTGAGGATTCGTTGTGCCAGTCAATGTTGACCGCCGGAATCTCGAAATGAACAGATGCGTTCGAGCAGCGTGGCGAATGTGATGGTGCGTTGACGATGGAGGGACGGGAAGCGACCAAGTGTGGATGTTTGCTGATGATCGTAGCTGGAGAGATGCGTGTGTGGTGGAGTGTCGTCGAGTGCTGAAATTTTGGCGGCGCAGAGTCGAAGTAGGGATGCGTAATAACAAGGGTCAATTTGTTCGAACTATTTGGGCTCAGGGATCCCATTTCACCATTTTTCAACTAACCGAATCTGGTAGACGGTGGCCCCAGGTTAGGGTTATATATAATACTCCTTTCTGCCACCCTTCCCAAACCTCCTTTTTTCGGCCCACAGCACAACTTGAAAGACCAAAGCAGCCAAATCCCCCAACCAACCAAACCACCATACTGTGCCGTCATTTACTCTATTTCACTGCGCTGAATAGCGTTAACAATATGCCGTCGATGCCGTACGAATGAGTGTAGCGATTTTGATGGATTTGAAGGATGAACATTAGGCCCCAGATTGAATTGGAGGCGTGGAGCAATGGATAGACGCTGCCATTGACGAAATCCTAGGTGATGTGCCTCAGATTACTAGCAAATGGGGGTGTGTTCTTGCACATCTTGGCCTGCAATATCCCTAACCCTTATCTTAGTTATATTTTCAACGGTAATTTACAACCCGGTTTGGGTTTCACATTTTCTCGGGGGGCTTTGTCAACAAGAAATCGAAGAACGGCGACCGCGCTTAAGGCTTGGCACACCAAGGCGCGCTCGGGTGTTATGTAAGCAGTCAAGACCTCACGGCGCCAGACTTCACCTATGGCGAGATGTACGGAGGTAGCAGCAATTGAACTCTACGGTTCAGTTCGTAGTTATGCTCCTCTGGTTCTTGATCAGACCAACCCCGACAGAAACTGACTGAAAGCAGCAAGGGTGACTTACAAGTTGGAACCACTTGGGGTGGCAGGGTAGCCGACAACGATTCGTACAAACTGTGTCGCATCGCTCCGCAAAAAAGCGCCTCGCACTCGAAGTTCTTTTCATCTACTTTTCTTCATCAAACCTTCTGCAGTACGTTGTCGCTTAAATCAAGACACGGAATGGGCCCCTCGGACGAGTGCCTTCTTTATGCCGAGCTGCTGGCCAACATTCGCCAGATTTCCCTCGCCGCATCGCTCCCTACACCATGCGATGCGTCGACCCAACTTGCCCTTTCGGCCGATGGCCAAACCGTCCAATTGAAGCATGGCCGCAGCAGTTTCCATCTGACATTGCCGGCAAAGGCATCCTTGGGTGCCAAGCTGCTTCCTATCCAGGACCAGCAGAAAGGCCGCACAAGTCTCGCATGGCGTCTGCCACTCGATGCGACATCGCTCTCGACCTCCCACCAAGCCGATCCAGTTCCGTGGTCTGCGACTGACCTGGATCCTAGCTCCGGCGTCGCTTGCAGACAATGTAGAGCGGTTGTTGTGCCCTCTGGCGCGGTGAAATCATGGAAGGATCTCCCCAGCGAGAACTGGGCCGAGATGATGGAGTTTTGGCACTGCCACAAGCCCGACCACAAGCACAGGACAGACCACGGGGAAGAGTCTGGAGAGGCAGATGATAGGACCCTCGCCGCCCGAGGTTACGGCGCTTCCTCAGCGATCTCGGCTCAGGAAGGTGTTGGCTTCGTGGACTTGACGACCTTGCTCCTGGCCGAGTCGGACTGTCAGAATGTGACGGTAAGTTCTCAAGCGGTCGAGTATCAAGTGCTCTTAGTGCTTCTTTGCTTTTACACCATCCTCAAGGTAGGTCCTCATCTCGGGCATTAAGAAGGTAGCCAAGCCGGCGTACGCCGCCTCATGGCATGGATACCGATACAAATGCCCCAGATCGTACAACCCGGCATCTTTCCTGCTCACGCAGACGCGGCCAGTTGCTAATGAACCTTCCTTTGGGAATGGATCATTGCCTCTGATGCCTAGCCGACCCTCCTTATTTCACCAGATCATTCACGAGTGCATAATGCTCAGGGATTAATGGAGGGACATTCCTGCTTGCATTTTCTGCGTCTCTTGTAACACCCCCTGCGTCAGTTCAGTGGCTGACCGTCGCGTATACCAGTTCTCGTTGTCTGGTTATGATCAAGGTTCAACTGATAGGCACGCCCTACCATTGGGTGATCCTACCACGCAAACCCGTAGTTTGAACGTCTTTTGCTCCTCCTGCCAGACCCAGCTGGGCTTCTTCGACTTTCGGGCCGTCGCACTCACCCTGCTCAAGTGGCAGATTGCCTGCGCGTCCGCCTCGTGCGTCGCCCCTGGCATCCCTGAATGCCTTGCAGCCACCATCGTCTCCACCATTTCGCGGTGCGGCGCCGCCAAATCGCTAATTACACCATTACCGGAAACCATCCGAGCAGGCGAAGAACATGGAGTTGCGCGGGGCGCTATCCACATCTGGGTGCTTAATAGCAGCATCGTGTACTCTTCCAATGGTACCTCGCGAATCACTCCAGCGATCAAGCTCCTTTACCGGCCGATCAGCCGGGGCGAAGCCCACAAGATGCTCGAGGAAATCAACTGCGACGCCCAGGAGATCAATCTACCCGCGCAGGCAATTGGGAAGGTCGTCCATCACTTGGAGGAAAGCAATGCGCTGCTACCGCCTACAGAGCGTCTTTTCAAGGAGTGGAGGGTTGGGTTGCTCACAAGGTGGGAGTTCAAGGCGTGAATGGCGTCGAAACAAGCTTCGTCCGCTTTTCACTTCTACAGATCCCATATCGCGACGACCAGGACGCTGACCGAACTCATCGTCGCCTGCAATGCTGTGACTGTTTCAGATTCGTGCGCATCATGATGTGGATGCACATTGTCTCGTGAGTTCATGAAGCAGATCTGGTCTCGATGGAATCTTGTGAATGGAAGTTGAAGGGAAGAGTGCGAAACCAAAGGGGGGGGAAGGTGGGGGCGGGGGCTTATAGGATTTCGTGCCTTCCATTCTGGCAGGGTACGTCCCGATGTTCCTTCCCATAGAAATATGCTGACATCACTACTAATAGCGTACAGGAAGTCGCGAGTTAAGCTAACGCTTCAAGCGGCAACTGTCACTCAGAACGTTTTGCTGAGTGGAGTCGGGTCTTGTTGGGTGTACGGGAAACGAGGAGCATCCGGGCCCTGGCACTCAGAGCTAAGGTAGAAGAATACCGTAGTCAATCTTCCATTCCTGGGCGGCATGCCGAGCAATGCGAGCTCTGTACGTGTAGCTGAGTCGACTTGCAACTGCCCGTCTTTTATGCTCATTGAGTTGACGGGCAAGCAGATGAAGGGCAAACTTGAGTGCATCACAGTCATGTATACAATTCACGCACACCCTCCAAGCCTAAATACTAGCTCGCGGCAGCCTTCAACCTCTTACTCGTCCTGCGCGTATGAACCTCCACCTCCACAGCTCCCACATGCTTCTTATCACTCCCAGACACCTTGGTCACCGCCGTGATCCTCCTCTTCCTAGACCTGACGAACGTCGTGGTAACCTCCTCCTCATCAGTCTTCACCACGCCCATCCCATAGTCTTCGGCCAAAGAGTGAGCTTGCTTGCTCCTCCGGACCATCTTCTCCGCCTTGACGATGGCCTCCTCAACGATGCCACTCTTCGTACCCGCCCCAGAAGCCTGCCCGGCGAAGGCTTTCAAGTTCGACGTGAATAGCACGCTCTGCGCCCAGCCTGCTTGGGGCCCCCAGATGGAACGGAAGTGGTCGCCGACGGAATTGTACATGACCTTGGTAAATGTCTTGGTCTTGGTCTTGGTGCTGAAATGGTAATCGCGCTGTGCGATTTGCCAGACGTCTGCCCCGGAATGTCAGTCATTTATGCCGTTCATTTGGATCAATTTATATTGTAAAGTGGCTTATTAGTTGACTCACGTGTGTCGACAGGCACAGCTTCGCCCCAGCCCAGGCCCATCAAGCAGACACAGTCTGCTACCTTGGGTCCGACGCCGGGGAGTGTGAGGAGGGCTTCGTGGGCCGTTCTGTACGTTATAGGAGTTTCGTCGCTGCTGCTGCTTGATTGGGTCTCATTTTGTCCGGGCCTCGTGATGGGTGCGGCGAAGGCTGGCGACTCCGGGTTCCGGAGCCTGAGAAGCCAGTCGGCGCCTTTGAGGTACGAAATGATCTCAGCTGTCTGGGCAACTGCCCGACAATGTCAGCTTTTATTTTTCCTAATCCGGGCGTGTTGGAGGGTGGCGGGAGTACTAGAATCGCTGTCCCCGGAGCAAAATAGCCTGATACAGCACTAAAGGGGATGGACAGTCCCCACACAAGAGACATTATTGCTTACTGTATGCGGCGCGGTAGCCGAAACCTAGCTCGCGGAGGTGGGCTTCTACATGGGTCCCTGACAGCGCTTGTGGTTCGGGAAAGTCGTGGAAGGCCTCGCCTTCGATGGTTCCTATGTAAGGGCCGTAGTGGATGCAGAGCTTTTGAACCATCTGGCTGATGCGGCCGATGTTGTTGTTGCTGCTACATATGAAAGCGACCAGGGCTTCCCAGGCGTCTTGGTTGAGTATACGAATGCCCGTGAAGGCTGGGGCGCGTCGGGCGAAGTTCGCGTCGGAAGCTGCCCACTGCTGGTAAAGAGTCGACAGGGAATGTGAAAGAGCAAAGTAGTTGCGTAAAAGGGACTCGGTGTCATCTTGTTCGGTGTCTACATCTCCATCACCTGCTGCGGGTATGGAGTCTGAAGACGTCACGGGGCTTCCGGTTGGCTTGGGCCATGTAACTCGATAATGTAGGTGAGAAGCATCCTGCTTGAGCGATATGAGACGGCCCCGTAGCACGCAGTGCCTAACCTGGGTTAGAAGAAGCAGACCTCACATTGTTACTTATTGGCAGCGAGTGTATGTACTCACCATTCATCACTAATCTTGCGCCACCGGAACGACTCTACGAGCAAGTTCATCAGTAAAATCCAATTACCATACTTAGCACATCAGTTATGGGTATGAGACCAAGCAGTCGCCAAACAATGAACTGAATGTGCATGGGACCGGAAGACGTACGCCCACAGCGGAGGGTCGTGTCGATGCAGAGCTCAGTGAGACTCAGGGGCAGCTTTCGCCAGTCTGACAACTTGTGCGCTCCCATGGGTATCAAATAAAAAATAAGAAGGACAGAGATAGTATGGAAAATGAAGGTTTGAAGTATATGTCCTCTATTTTCAACGGCGACGAAAATATAAGGTAATCCTTGAGTTCCAATACTCCTAGTACGATTCAATTTCAATTGAGTGAGGTCTCTCTGCTGCGTCTTTCTGTGTAAGTTCCCTCTGACGGGAATCCTGAGTGCGAGCCGGCGAGGCGACAAGAACGCACTAACCCGGAACGGACTGGTGTGGCCGAGCAGCTGCATTCCTCGCCCCAAATTTCCAGCCTCGCGGTCCACCTAAACTTCTAAACGCCATTCACATCACTTCTGCAAGCTCCTCAGTCTCTGCGATTCAGAGGATCGCATCGAAACTGGGCCATCAGGAGCAGCAGTGACGATGAACGGTGATAATTACTCCTCTAGAGGTGCGCATGCTTGTCATCTACGCACATGGGTTGATGCTGACCGACGCGACAGACAGCGGCCGACACGGCTCCTCTCGCGACTATCCAGTGAGTTCACATTCATCTCCCTTTCTGCGACCAAACTGAAACTAACTTGACTTTTAAAAGTCTTCTAGAAGAGACCGCGACGATAGGCGCGATCGAGGCGATACCCGAGACCGAGGCAGTGGCCGAAGAAGGTCTCGTTCTCCCGATTACCGCAGCGGCCGGTCCCGTCGCGAAGATGGCGACGTCGATGCCTACTCCTCCAGCCGAAGCCACCGCGATCGCGAGCGTGAAGACCGCTACTCGGGGCGCGACCGCCGAGGCGACAGGGAATGGGACCGTGACCGGGGCGGCAGGGGTCGGCGAGAAGACGACGACAGGCGCGACCGTCGCGGCGGCCGGGACTTGATCGATGACCGCCGCGGAGGCGGGGACAGGCGTGATCGTGAGTTTGAGAGGGAACGCGGGGACCGGCGGCGTAGTGTGTCGCCTCCGCCCAAGAAGCGCGAGCCGACCCCAGACCTGACCGACGTGGTCCCCATTCTGGAGCGGAGGCGGCGTCTGACACAATGGGATATTAAGCCGCCGGGCTATGACAACGTCACGGCCGAGCAGGCCAAGCTGTCCGGCATGTTCCCGCTCCCAGGTGCGCCGCGACAGCAGGCCATGGATCCGACCAAGCTCCAGGCTTTCATGAACCAGCCCGGCGGTGCTGTCAACAGCGCCGCACTCAAACCAACGAACTCGCGCCAGGCCAGACGCTTAATCATTTCGAACCTACCACCATCGACTACCGAAGAAAGCCTGGTCAATTTCTTCAACCTCCAGCTCAATGGCTTGAACGTGATTGAAAACGCGGACCCCTGCCTGCAAGCGCACGTCGCCCACGACCGCGCCTTCGCCATGGTCGAGTTCAGGAACAGCACAGATGCGACGGTAGCTTTGGCTTTTGATGGCGTATCGATGGAGGCGGATGATGCACATGAGGCCAACGGCAACGGTGTGGCGCATGGTGGTCTGCACATTCGCCGGCCGAAGGACTACATCGTTCCTGCGGTGGTGGAAGATCCGAACTATGACCCTGACTCGGACGTACCGTCGAGCGTGGTGCTCGACAGTCCCAACAAGATCAGCGTAACCAACTTGCCGCTGTACCTGACAGAGGATCAGGTTATGGAACTACTGGTCAGCTTTGGCAAGCTCAAGTCGTTTATCCTCGTCAAGGATAACGGTACGCAAGAGTCACGTGTAAGCCCTCCTTCAAACGCCACAAACCACGGCCGTAACTAACGTTGTTTAGGGAATCGCGTTCCTCGAGTACGCCGACCCGAGCGTCACCAACGTCGCCATCCAAGGCCTGAACAACATGATGCTCGGCGAGCGCGCGCTCAAGGTCCAGAAGGCCAGCATCGGCATTACGCAGGTCTCGGGCGAGCTGAGCGTCAACGCCATGTCGATGCTTGCCGGCACAACGTCCAGCGACACCGAAGGCAGCAGGGTGGTGCAGCTGTTGAACATGGTCACTCCGGAGGAGCTGATGGACAACGACGACTACGAAGGTACGGCTACTTGCTGACGAACAGCTTGAGGTTTTTCCCTGCTAACAACTCCTCAGAAATCCGTGAAGACGTCCAGGAGGAGTGCGAGAAGTTCGGCAAGATTCTCTCCCTCAAGATTCCGAGACCGGTTGGCGGCAGTAGGCAATCTGCCGGCGTGGGCAAGATCTTTATCAAATATGAGACATCAGAAGCCGCTACAAAGGCGCTGCGGGCTCTGGCGGGCAGGAAGTTTGCTGATCGTACTGTCGTCACAACGTATTTCCCAGAGGTAAGATCAAGCTAGCAGCCGTTGACGAGTTCCGCCACACTGACTACAGGACAGGAGAATTTCGATGTCAATGCATGGTAAAGGAGCGGCCGAAGAAGGTCCTGATGATATTGAGGTATAGCTGGGATGCAAAGCGCTGGGCATGAGATGATTGCGAGATGTCCCCTTGGCCATCGACTCTGGAGCTCGAATACCGGTATTGCTGCGGCGGGTGGCATCAAGTAACATGTACAAAACTACCTAGTTACGGTGGAATCGGCTTGCGCTGCGTAGGAGAATGTCAATGGAAATCTTCGACTACATTCTCTAGGACAAGAGCATGTGGAGAGTTGGCGTCATATACTTGTTTCATTCCGACTGTTGAATTGCTATCTAAGTACTAGAAGCGGCAAAGCAATCCTCTAAGGTGAGGGCCCAGCTCATTATCCCATGGCCCTGAGAGACCATCCCGTGCTGAACGAGCACCACGACAAGATGCACACTGATGGCATATTCAGCTGCATAGAGAACTTGACACCGCTGGCCTGCCCGTGTCTCCTAAACGACAAGCTCGAACTCTCGAGACGCAGGAGGCTAGCGGTGTCGCTTTCTCCAGGCAACTGAATTTGCCGTCAGCGTGCATTTTGTCGTGGTGCTCGTTCAATACGGCTCCGTCCTTCAGGCCCATGGGGTAGATAGGTAACTAGCAACCGGCCTACCCTGGGTTGACTCTGACCACGGCAATGTTGGGAACTATGAGCGGGTTAGCTCGGCACGCATCACGATGCTTTAGGGTCGAAGTGAAAGGTGCCCATCGAATCAGAAGTCCAGTTCATTCATCGAGTCCCAAAGGACCCTAACATAAGAGGTACCAGAATATAAGAAAGAGGTTGTTGCTCATCAGGAAAGTGGCTCGGGAGGCATCAAAATGAGAGTTGGTGACTTACTTGCTTGTAAGCGCACTGTCGAAGTGGCATGGCACATGCTCACTGAAATGTAAACCGGCACGCCCAAAGAAAAAGATACTCAGCAGTGAGAGATGAAACTCGCAGGATGAGAGACATAGTGCATTAGACCAAATTGCCGAGAGCTGGTTGCCAGATTGCGTTCCCGGATGAAGAACAAGAAGTTGGTTGCTCGATTGTTGATTTGAGAAAATTTAACCAAGCTCGACAGCCCACCTGGTCGACGAAATCTTGGCGTGCTAACGTTCATAACCCAGCTTCAAGTCACACCTACCGTCACGTGGACGACTTCGATTCCAGCCAATCAGGAACCGACCCTACCAATTTCTCTGCCCACAGAATCCAGCTTCGATCAATCGCCTTGGGAAATTTTGGCGTTTCGCATCCCTCTCCGGCCAGCCAGCGACCAACTCGACAACCCATCGTCAACACACCGCCACACCAACAGTAACCATGGGTCGTCTTCACAGCAAAGGCAAGGGCATTTCGTCCTCGGCTATCCCTTACTCGCGCAACCCGCCCGCGTGGCTCAAGACCACCCCGGAGCAGGTCGTCGACCAGATCTGCAAGCTCGCCAAGAAGGGCGCGACCCCCTCGCAGATTGGTGTCGTTCTCCGTGACTCGCACGGCATTGCCCAAGTCAAGGTCGTCACCGGTATGTTTCGAACTGCGACGAGAGGGGATATAGCTGGAAAGTGGAAATGTCGATGCTGACTTTTTTGTGCTCAACAGGTAACAAGATCCTCCGGATCCTGAAGAGCAACGGTATGAGTTGAGCCGCTTCCTTGACGAATACTGGAAAGAGATGGATCAAAAAGAACTTCGCGACGTTGCCTCGCCTCCGCGCCAACCCCTCGGGGCCGAGGACTGTGAGCTGCCGCGGGCACTCGCAGAAAGTGGGACATGGGATAAGAGACGGATTATGCCTCTGTTTGGTCACCAGGCTGACAGAGTGATGTGTGACAGGCCTTGCCCCCGATATTCCGGAGGACCTGTACATGCTTATCAAGAAGGTATGCGCACACCAATGCCGCGTCTCCTTTTGCTCGGCGGCTTTTCGCTCCGCAAAGTGTCTCCGTTAACACCGCCCAGGCCGTTGCCGTCCGCAAGCACCTGGAGCGTAACCGCAAGGATAAGGACTCCAAGTTCCGCCTGATCCTCATCGAGTCCCGCATCCACCGTCTGGCCCGCTACTACAAGACTGTCGGTGTCCTCCCGCCGACCTGGAAGTACGAGTCGTCGACCGCCAGCACCATCGTTGCCTAAGCGGGAGGCTGTGATGCACACGCCGAGTCGAGAAGGGGTCGTCTATGAGAACGGAATGGAACGGTTACTGGTTCTTTGCAGCTTTTGGCCCGCCTCCTGTGTAGTCGTCCGCAGGTCCGGCTTGGGTCAATTGGAGTTGGGGAATGGAAATGAAATTTGCATTATAGAGTAATGCAATAGGCGCAGGGTATTGCTGTCTCCCGGGCGTGAAAAGCATGGGATGATGAGCGACGATGACGGAGGATACATATGCAATGCATTGCCTCAGCTTTTCAGTGATCAAACGCTACCTTGCAAACATGATTATGCAATCCTCACTCTGCCCTCGCCTAGATGATTTTCACCTTTCCGTACGCCGACGACGTCTTTAGAATCTTCTGTCGTGATTATCTCCTCCCAATCATACCGTCTTCCCTCCGCTGCCGGACCGCCTTCGTGCCCTCCTCCTATGTTACACCCTCCTAGCTAGTTGACTACTCATGGCCCAGATGCTGCGACACCGTCCTTCCCCTCCAACTCCTTACTCCTCTGTAGCAGAAACTCCCCCAACACCCGCAGTGGATCCTTGGGCCTGTTTATTCCAGTGTCAGCGAGCTTTCAGTCAACTTCACGTTGCCAGAATAATCCCCAGCCCTCGTCTGTCCCGGACACTTGTAAAACCCTCTGCCTCCCCAACCAGTTGAGCAACCTCCAAGCCATACCGAATCTTCCCAAGCAGACTTCTTCTCTTCTCGATATGTATGTATCTGGCGTTATGAGATAGGATAGTGACGAAGGGGCAACACTCACTGCTCCCGCGCAACAATCTTGATACCCTCAAGTAAAACGCCCGTGATCTTGCTGTTGATGTACTGGCGCACGGGCGCGCCGTGGGGAATCGCTTCGGTCGGCATTGTCGGCCCTGTTGTCGAGGAGCTAGCGGTGGATGCCGCGGGGTCGGGGTGTAGCGAAGGCGCACGGGAAGTGGATTGCTGCTGCTGCTGCTGCTGCTGCTGTGGTTGCGGTTGCGGCTGTGTGGGAATGTGGATCGCTGGGGTTGGTTCCTGGAGGTGTGGTTGGGATGGTGGCGCTGAAGGCTGCGCGGAGGAGTGAAGGTTAGCTTCGGGGCTCTGAGAATGGTGCGAAGGTAGGAATGGTGTTGTTTTGTTGCGCTATTGTGCAGAGAGCTCCTCTGGTGTCGAATGGATGGAAGGGCGGAACAGGGACTCACGGCTGTCGGGGCGTCGGTCATGGAGATGTCGTGTGCTTCGCGGGGAATGCCATTGAGTGTTTCCGAGTTGGCATTTGCGTTATCCATACCAGCAATCGGCTCTATCGCTGCTTGTTCTGACATGTCTGCAGTGTACAATGGTTCAACCAAGTGGTCCGCAAGCTTCAAACCCTGGAGCAATCATCTGGAAGCGTGGAAGTCGATAGCTCAAGCTCCAGCAAAGGTGCCCCCCGTCCGCCCCACCGGGAAACGCGGGAAACGCGGAGTCACGCGCAGCGACGTCGCGTCAAAATAAATGAAAGACAAGGGGACACTGGTCGCGCCCCAACCAAGCCTCCTCTGCCTAGAACCAGGAGGAAAATACTCGCAGGAACTTCCACCTCACGCTTCTGAAACCGCATAATGGTCTCGATCAAGCCCCAGCTTTTTATGGAGAATGGATCGATTTATCCAGAGGTCCAGACCCAACTCCGCAGCCCAAGCTCAGGCTCAACCAGCGTCGGTCAAACCGAATTCGCAGCGGAGATCAAACGAGCCGCCAAGGAAGAGAGCTCGGCTTGAGGAGGTCAAGGACAGCTATGACGAGGATGTAAGCTCAGAGCCGGCTTCTGTCAATGGAGACGATGAAGACCACGAGGACATGTGGTATATCAAGGAGCGTGCTGCGGACAGCACTCCTGACCCTGACGCCGACGATGAGCACGCAAGACCAGGGCATCAAACAGCCTTTGAAAGCTCCCTACCTGCGGTTGCAACTGGCAAGGAGGCCATTGAGGAGTATGAGTCCATGCGGGCATCTCAACTCTCCCGCGACGAGACAGACACTGCTTCGGTTGGGGCAGACAACCGGCGTTGGGTCCGAGGGAGGAGCTCCATCTACGTTGATGCCTTCAATTTTGCACTAGATACAGTCATGGAAGACGAGGCCCATCTCTTTGATGCCAAGGAAAAGCGTATCTTTGAGGAATGGCGAGGCTTGAGTTATGAGGCCCAATACCTGTAAGACTATCGGCCCATCTGTCACGAGCTCGCTCTAACACCACAGCTATGTTCGGCTGTTCTTACGCAAGACGGCCCTGTGGCATCGCGTCGAGCATTTGGGGTACCACAGCGATATCTCGGACATGCCGGCTGCCATTGCCACCTTGCTCGAGTTTCGGTCCTTGCCCGATGGCGGCACCTCTCATTCAGACGAAGAATCCCCCGAGGACTTGCAGGGCCGTGCGTTCGATGACACTTTCTGCTTTGCCGACGACTCAGATTCGTGCATCAAGACTGTCGAGGAAGCCGCATCACTGCTGAGTCTGGACGAGCTGCGCGGGCTCGCCAAGGAGGCAAAGGTGCAGGGCAAGAACAAAGCCGATCTGCTCAAGTCCTTCTGTCGTGCAAGCGCCCAACAATCTGGCCTCTTAGCAGTTGGCCTCAGACGGTCAAGTACCAACGGGTCGACGGAGTGTGTGGACAGTCACAAAAGTCAGGACGTCAACCGAAATAACCACTTCCTGAACAAGATCCTCGCCATTACGGGACCCTTGATAAGGCTCTCAGAGCCGGTCTTCAAGCTGTTCGAGCGCGTCCATCTGGTCTTCTACCGCTCGACCGAGTGGACTGAGAAGTCGCTTACCACCATCATTCTAGCGAAAATGGCCAGGAGAAACTACCCCGAGTACATTGTGTGTCGCTCGACCAACATCTTCCCGTCCAGGCGCCACCTTCTCGACTTCGAGCTCTCCATGAGAAAGGAGTTTGAAGTTGACCGGGTCCTCGAGTTCAACGGACCGCCCGGTGAAGAGGGTTTCCGGAAGATTCTTGACATCTTCGACAGCATAGCGCCGCGCTGGAGAGAATTGATCAGGGAGGAGAGGAGCAGAGAAGATCACGTCTACGAGTTTGGAGAGGGAGGATACCTCCGCCGATTCAACGCAGGCCATGCCTTCACTCGCATTGCGCACAAGGCTGCCCATGTCCTTGGCCGTTTACACATGTACAAAGAAGAGCACAAATTGCTCACAGAGCTGCTCGATCAGCGCCTATTTCACCCAGCACGCCGCGGCTCCTGGTACCAGCGCAAGGCATTGCTGGAGGAGCGCTATATGTGGGAGGCAGACCCTGACCCCATCTCAAGTGACCCCGAGGTACGGAAGAAACAATGGCAGCGGATAGCTCTGGCCACTTGTGAGACCGCCCTGGAAGACAGGGATTGTCATCTCATCTACCACTACGACCTCCAGAAGCGGCTCCTCAAGCTTGAAAAGAGGCTGCGTGTGCCTCGTCGTCTCCAACATGACTTTGGTCATGTCAAGCTTCGCGAACCGGAAGAACACACAATACAAGGTGTCCAGATGGTACGAAACGACCCAGAGAACGGAAATACAGGCCGTGCCCTGAGCACCAAGACGGTGTGGCTTGACGAACTTGGCGACCCGGACGAAGACGGCCAGCCTCGTCACGTCAGCGTCGAAGAAATGTGCCTTTCATACTACCGCAGCCAGGGCTGGAAGGGGTATCACAGCGAGGGAGGTATTATCCGAACCTTGTTCGCCTATCTATTCTTTGACGTGCTCTTCGTCTACATACCCAACGTCTTTCAGACCCCTTACCAGACCTGTCCGCTCGATCTACACACCGACGCCTTTTACCCGGCTCGAGCAAGCCAAATCAACCATCGGCTCGTGGAGATAGCCAATGGTGAAGCGGAGCGGATACTGCGGGAAGTCCACGAGCGGGAGCACGAGACTCGGACCTGTGTTGTGGGCCTGAACTGGGACTTTGATGTCGAGGACCTGGCTGAGCTGGTGAGCTGCTTCGATGGCGGTGCGCTGGCTGCCGTGTGCAAGGTCATAGCCCAAGAGTACAGGACCCGGGGAGGCGGCGTGCCAGACCTCATTCTGTGGCGAGCATGCGGAGACGGGGCCTCAACCAACGGCAGCGGTACAGGCCTCCGAAAAGGAGAAGTCATGTTTGCCGAAGTCAAGAGCGCCAACGACCGGCTCAGCGACACCCAGCGCCTGTGGATCAATGTGCTTACTGGGGCAGGAGTTCGTGTCGCGCTGTGCAATGCAGTGGCACGAAAAATGCGGCCATTGAGTTGATTGAGAGCCACCCGTGTCGACATCGCCGGGAAAGCAATCTCTCGCCGACTGGCAAACTCAAAATAGCAACCTCATTTCCGACTTTCGGGCCGTTATGATGAACGCTCACTTCCCGCGCCGTGGCAACCCAACGACTGCTCACCACAGGGATGCCTTTGATGGCAAACGGCCAGGGTACTCTACGTGTAGACGAGCGAAGCCCAGTCAGAAGTTAATGGCCAGCGGCACCCACGTCGAAACCGCGGAAGGAGACGAAACATGTCCGAATATAAAGATACCCCAGAACAAGGCGTTTCGAAACGTTCTACAAGCCTTCGAAACGTGGACGTTACCACCGCCCGTGGTATTACGGCAAAAAGGGGGCAAAAGGGGCTGTCGGCCGCGTTTCAGCTTCGACACCATCATGACTCCGGATTTGAAGGCGAGGAAGGGTAACGCCAGAGACCAAGTTTGAAGACGGCAGCTGGGCCAAATACGTCTCCTCCCATCAGTCTCTCGCCACTTGTACTCCCTGCCTGGACTCCATTCCGAAGGCTGATATTGCTTACGATCGGCTTCTGCACGCCGGGCTGCGACCCTGGGCCAATTGGATGTGCTATTTGACCGTAGTCTCCAGCGAGATGTGATGTGGAGAAAAGAACGGAAAATTGCCAGCGCTGCAATGCATGTGGTTGCACACCGACACCCGCTGCTCACCTTGACCCTGCGGTCCAGACGTCTCCGTGCTGGGCAAGCAAAGGATCTATCGATATCCCCAGCGCAACTCTGGGTCCTTCCCCAGCTCAAAGTCTCAGACTCACACGGTGCAGCGCTCCGTGCTGTGCCTGCCGCGAGTGCAGCGGCGCAGGCCTCCCGTCGCCCGGCCTTTCGGCGGAAGCGGACACTACAGTGACCGATACGACTGGCGATGAGTGAGCAGCTCGCGCAGGAAGCCGTGTCCTTCTCATATCGCTCGCCACCATCCAGCGATTCTCAGGACACAGGAAATCTTTCCCACTCGCTGCTTGGTTCCGCTTGACGAAGAGCAAGAGACAAGTACGGATACTGCTGATCAACTAAGGGATGGACGAAACACACACCCGCATCCGGGCGCTTAAACGCCCCCAACGCTCCCCATCAACCAATCATCACCCGATCCCTGCAAGCTGCTCTCCTGCAAACTGCAAGTGACGACACACACCAATCCAATCGGGCCTTGTCGCGATCAGATTCTGGGCGCTTAGCAGGACAACCGTCCGACCACTCAGGATTTGGTAGTGGGGGCTGGCGCGGCCGGCTTCGAGCTTGACCATGGAGACGGGACTGAGCTAGGACGAATCGGGCATGGAAGGGCTCTCATTCTTCGCTGATGTGATCTCCTAGGGAGGCAAAGCTGGCAAGGTAGGGGCAATTTGGCTTGCATGAAGAGAGATCGTAAAAGACATACAGGCAGCACAACACAGACATAGTGACTTGCCTATCAGACAGAAAACGTGACTGTCTGAAGACACAAATTGACGAGCACTTACACCTCCGTCCAAACTCCACGGCTCGGCGCACAGTGACATCTGCGGGGCCAAATCGATATTCGAGCAGCAAGGTTATCTGATCCGACAAGCGCAAAGTCACCCAGCAAACACCGTCAGACAAGTCCACATGCGTCTTTCTGATGCGTGCCTGTCAAGCAGAGCCAAGCTATCCGTACTCCGTAGCCGGTCAGGAGAGTGAGTGGGCCACACTGGTCAAGCGAAGAAATAACATCCACCGATCCATGCATGGATGGGGCGTGAAGAAACGAAACAAAAAGGACCGCTGGCCTCTCAAACAGGCCATGTCTTGTAGGATAGTACCGAGGGTACACAAACAAACCAGTAAACAAAATTAGATGATGGTCTCAGGATGAGGCCGCAGGATCACCTTGTGAACAATAAACAAGCCGCATAACCAGGAGGCAACCAACCTGGACTGTCATGCAGTTGCAACAGCAGACGATACGGTATTTGTAGGAGGTAGGTGACCCTAGCTCTTCCACGTTATCTCTTGAAATACTCTGCCCATCTTGCTTAGATACAGTGTAGGTATCGTAATCAAAAATTCCCATTGCTTTCCCTCTTCCTTTATTCCTTTCCATGGTTTCTGCCTTGTCATGGGCGGTACCATCCAATCCCAGAGCTGGTATCGAGACGCCGTCCCGCAACGCCGTGTGACTCCGTTCAAACTACAGTGCCTCCCACTTGGCGCCGCCTGTGAAAGGAGCCATGCATGACATGGCATGCCCCCTATCCTTCCAAGCCGGCCACACGACGCCCGTGTCCACCTCTTTCAGAAGACTCAGTCCCTGTGGGGTATGTGGTGCTGTATGCCATCGTTGGTCCAAAACAAAAGAAATAGTTGTCGTGTCGCGGCTGATTTACTCGGCTCAGGGTCCGGTGGTGGTGTTGGTGGTGGCGGCGGTGGTGCTGTATGTATCAAGGTCCGCGGTATCCAGTACCGGGTGAATCAAGTGTAGGTCAGATATTATATACGTCGATTTTATGGTCCGCAAGCTCCAACCACACTGCCAGCCCAATGGTACAGCTCCTCCTTCCTCATGACTTGACTGCCGTCTCGGGGTCAATCTTCCTCCTCTTGCCCTTGGGCGCGGGCCCCATCCTTGGTGTGTAGGTGACCGTCCTCGTGACCACCTCGCGGATGTGCCGTATGCTCGTCCTCGACGATGACTCCCGCTTGGTGTGCCCTCCGCCGGGCGTTTTTGGCGTGCCGGCTACCGCCGCTGGAGGGATGCCAGGCGTGTCGGGTGCTGCGGGACGTTTTGACCCGCCGGGCGTCTCGGCAAACCGCCGCGACCTGAGCGCCGCCTCCCAGTCGAACGGCGACCTCACGGATGCAGCGCTGAGCGGTGACCTTGGCGAGTAGATAAGGCCGGATGTGGAGATCGCGGGCGAGGCGGGCAGCTTCATGCTGGGGAAGACGGCTGGCCCAGCTGGCGGTGCGGAAAGCGGGCAGTTGGAGCTGTTGTGGCGAGGCGTGTTCGGCCGCTTCGTGTCGATGGGCGCCGGTCTTGGGCTCTTGGACTTCTCCTCCTTATCCTCCTTATCCTCCTTGTCCTTCTCGTCGCTCTCGCAGCTGACGTCGGTCCGTGCTGTGGATGGCGCACTCTCGACTGGGTCGCCCTTCTCCTTCTCCGAATCCTCGGTCTCGGCTGAAGCGCTACTTGTCTTGCTGCCGTTACTTCGCGTGCTGCTTGTGCTGCTTGTGCTGCTTGCGGTGCTTGCCCGGTTCAGGACAGACTTTCCTGTTTGTGGTGGTGAGGCGAGACATGGTGACACAAGCGACATGCCCTTGAGGAAATCCAGATATGCAACTGGCGGGGTAATGGGCGTCTTTTGCAAATCATGTTCGAGCTTGATAGTGGCGCTAAATGGTCCAGCAGAAGGCAGCCCGGCGGAGGGTAGTCCAGACGAAGGGATGGGGTCCCTGAACGCCGATGTCCGCGAGATGGCAGAAAGAGGAGTGGTTGTCGAGACAGCCGAGGGTAACGAGACAGCGGAACGGAGCTCTGAGGAGGATGGCGGGATATGAGGGAAGTTGGCAGTGAGGGGTGTCGATACCCTCAGAGTAGGTCTGGCCGACATGTTGGCGGTTGTATGGCGACGTGAGAACAGCCGATGCTCCAAGCTAGCAGTCGACTCGGCTCGGGGAGGGGAATCGAAGAGCCGGCAGTTGGGTGGAGAGAGAGATCGAAGGCGCGGGAGGGCGAGTAGCCAATGACTATATGAAGGGAATGGTTGACAAAACGGGAAGGGTCCAGGCGCCAGAAGGAAGGATGGAGCGCTGATTCCCCGCGTGGGCTGGTTTCGGACGAGGCTCCTAGCGCGAAGTCCCCTGTATCCCTGAATCCCAAGACAATGGGTTGGCGCGCCGGGGTGGCTTGAGAAGCTCTCAGCAGGTCACCGCAGTTGATTTGTCTACCTAAATCCGACCGCGATGAGGCCTGGTGGGGGGCATGCACCCTCGAGTGAGGATCGGCCTGGAAAGCTGGACAGCGTTAGCCACCGGAGTTGATACTGGTGCCTCGGCGTTTAGTGGCAGACTTGAAGCCGGACTCGCCCAGGAGAGGAGGAGGATCAAGCAGCAGACGACCTGAAGGAACAAATGTGTCCCGGGCAAGGATGTGTAAGGTAGTCAACAGCGCACCTTGTTAGTTGAGTGGTGCTTTTGAATCAACAAATCAGAAGGGCGGCAGAAGGTGGGGCAGCTTGACAAGCGACCGCCCTGCTTGACAGGGATGCTCGAGCGGCAGTGAAAGGGTGAGTGGGTGAGAGGTGCGTGCTGGATGTGACTCGGGTTGCAGCTTGCTGCCCCTGTCGTTGCCCGTGCTGCAGCACTCGTTCCTCCGCTGTTCCTCTTGGGAATGGTGCTCCTTTATTAGAGGAGACCCTTGAACAGAGCAAAAATCCTTGACCGGGTACGGAGATGGGCAGGAGATGAGATAATGAAAACTATGCACTCACGGAGTACCGTGTAATTACTGCTTCTGAACAGAGCGCTTAACGGAGCTTCTTTGATATGGCGAGCCGCCGGGATCAGACCAGGGTGAACTCTGTCGCCAATGTGCTTTGCAGGCAAAACCGCGAAATTTCGAGTATTGATGGAGGATGCGGTCTCTGAGGAAGCAAACAGGCCTGTCTTCGCCGGGTGAGAGGATGCAGTCCGATTCGCAGACCGGGAGGATGAGAGGCGCGCAGGCCCAGAGCTTTGGATGGTGTTGTACTGCCACGAGCCACCGAGGCGATGGCGGAGATCGCAATGGCGTTGGTTCAACCGCCAGAAGGAAAATCCTCGTGTCTAATTGGCGGTACACACCGGAGTTCTCAGCAGGGATAGGCGCTAAGGTCATATTATTAGCACAAGGCAACTTTATTGGCCAGAGCTTTGTCGCTTACCAAGGACCTCAACGGCAGCTGATCGCAAGGACGATAGCCAGAAGTCGAGTCTGCGCTGAAGAACTGTGACACAGCTTTCGAAAATAGCCAGCAATGTCTCCAAAAGAGCGTGGTCGGGCTGGTCACGAGAAGTAGGGCCTGGAACAGAGCGCCTGGCAGTCTGCTTGGAGAGACGGCACCACAGTAATTCGAGAGCTCCCCGAAGGACGAGGGAAGAGATCGGAAAAAGGATTCACGGGACCGGCCTGTGAGTAACTAAGGGAAGAGTCTTCGGCTGCGGTCGAGCTGGCGGCGTGGCCTCAAACCTGTGAGCGACACGGAGAGGAAGTTGCGATTGGAAAACGTGTGAACTTCAGTCTCATTTGAGATTGCTCTGTAAAGGGAGTTCAACACATATATCCACAACCTCTTGGAGCGAATCCGCTAACCGCTCGCTGAGCCGCAACTCCACGCTGCCCATCCGGCGGGTAGCCTGCATGTCTCTCACGGACATTCGGCCACACCCACTGGCCGGATCCTCGGTTGAGCCGCTGCCAGATACTGGATCAGAGCGCGCGTCATCCAGCTGCATCTGTGGCTACCAGCCTTTACCCAGCGGCTTCGTCATTCCCCTCCCCGGCGCGCTCAGTGGCTGTCCGGCAGCGAATCCTCAACCTGGGGGGCGCGCTTAATTCTCAGGCCGCAGCTTCTAGACCTCTCCCGGGACCGCGACCAACACAGCGCGCGGCTGTTGACGCGCTTGCCACAGCCGGTCCTGCTTGGGGGACTTCCGTTGGCTGGCGTCACCCAGGCTGTCGGCTTCGGTACGTCCCTTGCCGTTCTCCGCACATCAACCATTGGCTCACCATGATCAATCCACGATAAGTACCTTGGCCCTGGGAATATAACATGGACAGCGCGCGCCTGTTTCTCCGGTAACACTGCCTCCGTCAATCTGATTGAGTTGGCCGACCTGTTCTGCGGCCTTCTTGCGGGCTTGGTCTGCCAGGGCAAATGCCGGCTTTGCCTTGAGGTCGGCCTCCGCTCGCCGTCTGCACGTGGCTTTCACTGTCTGAAGACTGGCATAGACGATGGATCGTGGTGGCACGTAGCAATGGCCTACATCTTCGCTGATGCTGGATGATAAGCCTTGCTAGCCCGGGAACGATTGGCTTGCTGGCTACCTCAGTCAGGTTGTGCAGTGGCCGCTATCCGAAGCAGGACGACATCGTGCCCTTCCGACCATCCCTCACCGACACGTAAGCAGTGTGGATAGCCGCGTGATCTCGCGCCGGGCCTCCTACTGTTCTCGCGCGACCCATCTTGTTGAAACTCCCGGCTCTTCAGTGGGCGGGTAGCGCCTTGTGGTGGACAGAATTGCCGCCTCCTCAAAGGCTGCTGTGCGACAGGTATGGTTCAGCGCTTCGCTCTTCTTTCCATCCTTGACTGCCAGACGTTTATCGTTCAGGATGCCTCAAGTGCGACCGGCAAACCTGCGACAGTACGTGACAGCACCCGCCTGCCACATCTCCAACAGAAGTTCCAGCGACTCCCGACTCATTGGCGTGCGTCGAGACCCGGGCATTCCTACAGCCTCTGATGTTGCTGCAGTCTAGATGCCGCCTGAACACAAGGAGAGGCCACTGCTCTTGCTTCGTCTGCCGCTGCGGCGCGCAAAGCTTGATTCAGGCAGAGCAGTTGCGCTTAACCGGTTGGGCAGACTACTGCCAACCAGCCTTCCATCAAGCAAGCCGCCCAAGCCCCTCCCGATCCTTCACCGATGAGATACACATACATCTATTCAGACAAATCGTGTGCGTGGAATGTTCCTGCAAGAGGCGGGTGCTCGGCACTACCAGGGCCTCTTGGTTGCATCCTTTAACCTTTCATCCTCTGCAGTGACGTTGTGTTATCCCATGTCATTCCATAATTTGTTGTCCCGCTCGGGTGCTGCTTTGGTGGGAGACACAATATCCCCCCGCGGCCGGTCCAATCTGCAGTGACCACAAGTCTGGCGAGTGGGCGGGACTCGCCTGCAATGCTATGCTTTCCCTTCTCGTATGCGTCGGATGGCAACCGGTGAGTTCCAAGGCGGAATATACGAACACGGCCTGTGATAGGAGAGGTTGTAGTCTGCCTTGGTTCCAACGGACCAGTCTTGTATTCGTAAGTTCCTGGTCCCTTACGTGTACTGGACGATGTCCCCATCAAGTTGTGGTCCAACAAGACCCCAACCAGACACTCGAAAGACTTACACCACCACCCAGTTTTGTTGATGTGCGAGTGACTTCGTTGTGTCTGCAGGCAGTGTTCCAAGGTGTGTGGCGTCTTTGTATTCTTGGTCAGTGGCTGTGCCGGCTCATACAGAGCCTTGCAACTTTCTGTCCGAACCTGAAAGATCTTGGCAATGTCAGAAAGACGTCCCTTCGTCGTCGGCAGTGATCGGTTGCTGCTGGATTGCCATTGGTTTAGCCTGGGATCAGTATGCTTTGCTTGTGTGGAGGTTCTCAAGGAATTAGGGAGACCTGCACTTTGATTCATCGAATGCCGTTGTGATTTGCGGCTCTGATATGACTGAGTGTGGGCTTGCCTACTCACTCCCACATAAGTTCTAGGGATCCTTTCAAGTCTGGACGCAGTTACCTGTCGAAGCCCTTGAACACGACGGCATCAAGCAATCCTTGGGCAAGTACCTTGGATGGGTTCGAATCCTGAACTTGAACTTTTCCTCACAGCTTGCCTTGTTCTTGCCCTGCAATTCCAACAACAAGCGTCAGCTTGTCGTCTTGGGGGACGCATTTCTTTCTTGGCCAAACAGCCAAAACAAGCAGGGACAGGGAGTCTGATGATCGGCATTGTTGACTCGAAATGTGGCAATCAAGCCATCCTTCAAACTCCCTTTGTCAGTTCGGCCTTACGACGTTAGCAAGAACCCAGAAACTCCAACGGGCCGGGGCTCCGCGGTCCCGAACACCTCGCATGTCAAGAAAAAAAGCGCCGGTGGCATTATCCACCTAGCCATGCCATCGGACTGTCACCACAATTACCTACCAGCCAAGGAGAGAACTTCTCTTTATAGTGGTCATGAGCAGTTTGCCAACAAGCTTAGATGTATCTAGACTGTCCCTCGCTACCTGGTAGGTGACGGGACCTTCTGGCCGTGGAATCCGCATCATTCTTCAGCTTGAGCGAACTGATTATTTCCAGGTTCATTAAGCGAAGAGCATACACACCCTCGGTCACAACCGAAATCGCAGACTTCATCCAGAAAGACTGCATCTGTATGGAGAAGCCCCCCAGGTGGATGGGGAGCTTGCTATTCCACCAGCCTGTGCGCCTGATCGTCTTATGGCATCGCGCCTCCTGCAGGGGTAAACTGGATCAACCAAACGAAACTGGTATTTTGATGCCAGCATTCCCTGGGCTGATCAAAGGCATGGATGAAAAAGGCGTATACTTTGTTTCACAAATCCACTGCGCAAGATCATCTCCCAAGAAAACTGAAGCTTTGGCGACCCGGCCATGGTATCTCAGGGCCAACACCATGTCGTAGGCTGACAAGACAACGTGAACCATTTGATGAGAACCATGAATAGGACTCTTTTCAACCGAGCATAAAAGTAGTGGCTTCGTGCTACTTTAATGATGCGGTAATCTACAAGGCACATACATGATGGATCACCTCCCTAAGATACCTAAATAAAACTCGG